TGTTTGAAACGGGCGAAAAATCTCCGCCATTGAACAGTCGCAGTTATAAACCGGCAAAGAAGGTGCGCACTCGGGATCTTTCAATATACAAACACCGTGGTTCTGTTCGCTGTATTCCACGCCATGACTAAAATTTGTCGGAAGAGTAGGAGTGCAGTCGCTGTGACAGGTCAAACGGTGAATAGCGAAGTTACTTAATATTTGCCCAATACGCCAAACGTTTCTCGTATCGAAAAACGTCGAATGATTTATTATCAATTCTTCGTTTCTATTTCGTAAATCATTGTTAGCGGTGAAGATTTGCTATTTTCGTAAGAACGGCAGAATTTACGGAACAAGAAGAGAGCAAGCGCAGAAACTAAAAGGAATGGAGGTTGGTTACAATTAATTGTTTCGAAATTAATGTTGCATGATCGATAACACTGTATCTGCTGGAAATACGTTACGTATACCGTGTGTCTTATTCCTTCTCAAAAAGGATAACATCTTCCTTCGTTCCTGGTATATTTACTATTTTCATTCTTACAATTGGGTAATTCATCAAGTGAAAAATTAATTAATCGAACGCTTCTTGCAACATTACATGCAACCTATTTTTTATATTGCAACGATAAGCATTTAGTGTTTCATATCCTTATCTATGTACATGTTACGTTTATAGGTGGACGAATGTTCAGCTGGTGGAGACAGTGCAGCAGAAGAAGACGAAGATGATGCGTCATCTCATGGTTCCAGAAGCGATAGCAGCAGTAGTAGTATTAGCGGAAGTAGCACATCAACTGACAGTGGTGACGATAGCGGAGAAGAACGTGCTACCAGTGGTAGCGAAAGTCATAGTTCTGGCGAGGAAGACGAAGAAGATAATGAAAATACAGAGTACTCGATTCAAGCAGATAGTCCAGATACTCTGGTACGATTTATAATTGTATATATTAAATGAACACGTTCTTTCAAACCTTTATTCATGAAAAATTTGTTTTTAGAAATGGGAAACCTGTATCGCTGCAAATACCAAGGTGAAATTGCCACAGGACCTTTGCGAACACGTTGCAGTTTTTAAGGAGTTTTTAGACTATCCTTATATTTTTAACGAATGTCTCACTGAGAGTCAGAGGGAAACTCTGTACTCTTTGTTACCAAGCTTCCCAAAAGATTGTGACGCTGAAGCAGAAACAGAGAAGACATTGCGTATGCTATTCGAACGCGAAAATCACAGGTTAATTAAAACAGACGAACATTTAATGAACTTTTTAGAGATAGAAAATCATTTTAATTATATAAATGGTAAATGTATTTTAGATTTGGTGTAGCGCCTTTAACTGCATTTCACAATCACTTATCAGCCGGTCATTACCGGCCTGACATTAGAAGAATGTGCAGTTTAGTACGGAAAGCGCAGCAAAGAAGGCTGTTATTCGAAGAACGAAAACGATCGTACGAACTTGCCAGCCAGTTATTGAAATCCAGAGAAGGCTTGCTGACAAACGCGTACAAACAAGGTTTCTGTCAGCCGACGCAGAGAACGATGTCGAAAGTCCAATGGAGAAAACCGAAGCCTGCTATGGGTAAGTTAAGCTATTGGCGTGAATGATTATAAAAAGTTTTCTGGCTGTTTATACTTCCCCCCACGCTCCAGCCGTTTGGCAGAGAAGTATGTAGTAACTTCCGAGGGACAATACTAACAAGCAATGAACCGACAGTTGAAGAGAAAACGCAACTGCGCTATGTGGAGGAACTGAATGCAATGAGGACAGAGCTTGGGGCAAGCGCCAAGTTGGCTGCCGACACGACGTCCGAGAACGACGAAAACTATCCGCATTATCAATTATCCGGCACTAAGCAGAAGAAGAAGAGGCGTTCTTTTATGGGTCCTCAAGGTCTCTCGATCAGAGGTTTGCAAATGAATCACGAAGACGAAACGATTCGACCTGTTTTCTCCACGTTGCAACGAGCCGAATATCCTGCGCACAGATCCTTCATCCGTGAACAAACCGAAGAAATTTATCGTGAAATGTTGTTGGAGCATAAAAAGAGGAGAGCACGACGAGATGTACGAGTAAAATAATTATTGTGAAATTATACAGGGTGTCTCATAACTCATGTAACACCCAGATATGGGGGTTGCAAATGTTGTTCAGTTACGGGGAGTTACGGGGAGTTACGGGATACCCTGTATATATATATATATATATATATTTTTTTTTTTTTTATAATAATATTGGATGTGTTGGTTTAGGTTCATCCGGAATTAAATACGCAAGGTATTGCTTTGGCTGATCTTACTCAAAGAGCACAAATTGGCCAGAAGCATAAACTGTCGATCGGTCCTGCTGTGCGTATAACACCAGCGAAGAAACGAATAAAATTAGAACCATCGCCTTTGTGCCCTCCTGCACCTAGATTAATGAATTCGGTGAAACTCGAGAGTGATAACAGTGATTATTCCCATACAACAGATGAAAACAGACATTCCGGTATGTTGGATATTGATCATAGACTGTTAACACCAATCAAATCCGAACCAATGGACGGGTATGAAGTGCATCCAATGACCAAGAAAAAATTGTACGTTTATTATATTTTATGAACGTGGGATACGTTTTTTTTCAGAGGAAGAAACTGTACTAAACATTTTGTACCTTTTCTTGTAGAAGTCCTACCACGTCGAAAGGTATTAAATCTTCTGTGATGACCACGCTAGAAATTAAAAAAGAAATTGAGGATATAGAGTACGAAGATATAAAGACAGAACTTAGTACCGGAATGAACGAAGATGCTCCCCCTGAGACGGAAGAAGACGAGGAGAATGATAAAAAGGAACTGGATTTGGATAGCATTGATATGATGCAAATACCGATTCAGTTGGATGATGGAATTGACATACTGGATGACGTAAAGTATGTCCCCTCCTTCATCCGTTTACATATACAGGCTGATCTACATATCTTGAGACAGGTCAATATCATCTAAACCAGGCCTGTCCAAGTAGGGGAATTCACTCTTGGAGCACATGTTTTGGGTCCCCTTCCAACGCTGCTCCTTCAAGTAAGATGGGACCGAGGAGACAATACCGCCGCTAGGAAAGACGGAGAGACGGTAGTCGGAACCGTCCCATCTTACTTGAAGGAGCAGCGTTGGAAGGGGGCCCAAAACATGTGTTCCAGGAGTGGATTCTCCTACTTGGACAGGCCTGATCTAAACAACACATTTTTGGAAATAATGTTTCAGACAAAAGTTGTCACAATTAAGTTGTAAAATTAAGTTGACCTTCGTATGACCTTCAGGAGTACCCACTAAAAAAAATTTGCCCCCTGACGCGTGATAACTTTTGTCTGAAACATTTTTTCCAACAATGTGTCGTTTAGAAGATATTGACCTGTCTCAAGATATGCGGATCACCTTGTATAATAATAATAATGGAGTCGTTGGATTTCACGTGTATTTAATGTTACATTTTAGATGCGAAGACGAAGGGGTAATGTCGATTACACCACACAAAGAAATTGCCGTCCCATCGAATGATGATCATATTGATATTAATAGCGGAGCAGAATTAATGCAAGAGACACACGCATGTTTCTTTTCCCTGTTGAGAGATGCGTTCACCTCGAAAGGTGAATACAGAATGAGCACAGGAGAAATGAAAGATGCTGTGACACAGTGGCAAGGGAATCCTATTTCACCGTTGAACGATTGGTAATTATAGCGAATGGAGCGGTTATTTGCATGATTGCTAAGGAAGAAATTGATTCAGGTATTCCCTGGCTTCTTCCTGGCCAGCGTTGGTTCCACTAGCTTTGGGATTTCTTGCTGGTGAACTGACGTACAATCAGGAATTAGGAGACAGACAAGAACGTGAATTAGAACTCGTTCCCTATTTAGAAAACAAAGGAAACGGACTTTATGCGTGGATCGGAGCTGGACGAGATTCAGATTCTCGGCTTGCTGACTTGTGCGCGAAATTCTTGTTATACAAGTATGTAATCCAAGTTTACCGACATATAAAATGATAAATGTATGTTAACAAATAATTGTCACGTTTCAGAGATTCATTGTGTCCACCAGTGTCTATCTCATGCTCCATAGTAGCTGTGAAACAACAATCTCAAATGCTTCAGTCGAACAGCAGTAACGTTAATAGTAGCGTTGGAAATACAACGTCGAGTGGCCGAGATAATAGTCCTGCTATTGAATCGATCAGCGTAGATGGTGGATCTATTAACACGGTCGCAGAATGGGAACCACCGCGCGCTTTGTGGCCAACCGAATGGAAAGTTCGACCGTCTACACCGGATGAACGAGAGGAATTCAGGCGACAAGAGCGTATGCGTTATGCTGCACCTCATAAAGCTTTCACTTACAGAATGCACGGTTACGCGTCGGTTGTTGGTCCTGTGAAGGGTATCTATCAGCACAACGTTGGTACGCTCCTACGGAATGAATTAATCCTTAAAACAATCCTAATCAGAGGTAAAGAATAACCTGTTGAATTTTTATCGTAGCTTCCGGATTGACGAAAGCTCGCGGACACTCGTTATTGGTAGCAGACAGACCAAATTTCGTAACAATCTTAGCGTTAGTTAGAGACGCTACCGCAAGGCTTCCAAACGGCGAGGGAACCCGTGCCGATATTTGTCAATTGTTGAAAGATTCTCAGTACATCAGAGAACAGACGGATAGCGACGATAAGGAAGGATACTTGCATTCGGTTGTGTCCGGTGCTTTGGACAGATTGCATTATGAAACTGATCCGTGCGTGCGGTATTACCCGCGACGGAAAGAATGGCTGTATCTTCATCGAGCACGTTCGGAGTCTGAATTTGGTTTGTATTTATTAATTTCTTTCTTTTTTTTCTGATAAAGTTCCGAAAAACGCAACCCTCCGAGTGCGATAAAATTTTAACCAAAGTTTATCCTTGATTAGAAAAGAAATTCCTTGAAAGGATTTTTCGCTACAAGGCCTCGTTTGCCTTCTATAGTATTTTTCACGAGAGAATACGAGTGTTTCGCGCCGCTCGACTGAGCTCAGAAAGTTCCCCCACCACTAGCGCTACCCCACCATGATTTACTACCATTGCGATCCGCCATATATGCGGTGGACAAAATGTACTAATATAAGAACGGCTTATTATAGGACAGAGGTAGTGAATAATTCACAAATTTCTAATCACCCGATATACCCCCTGTCCAGCGTGGCTCACGACATACAGCCGTACGGCGCTTGCGCGTTACCTTGTTAGCGGAGCGTGGCAGAACCAATCAGAGCCAACATGCGCAGACGAGACCAAAATTCGTTCATCCGTACTAGTATTCCCTCGTGAAAAATACTATACATCTCATGAAAGTTTTTACTGCATATTTGGAAAAATATTCATTTTACAGAAAAAAGTTTCAAACAAAAAATGAAGCTCTTAAAAAGCTTTACAAAAAAGATTCGATGCATTTTTCACATAAACCTATCATTTTGGCTGTTATGTAAACAAATAGTAATTTCTACACTATCGTTGGTATCATTCCCTACCTTACCGACACAGTCAGCACTTTCCGGCAACGCTTTCATGAAATAATAATAAATTAATTATAAAAATATGTATAAATGAAAGCGTTACCGGCGGCCGGATATAAATATATAGCCTAACCTGACCTAAATACATCAATAATAATTATACGTGCATGTACATACATCTAAGGAAAAAATACTATTATTGTTCATAACACCCAAAATGATACGTTTACATAAAAGATGTATATAACCTTTTTTTGTAGAACTTTTCAAGAACTTCATTTTTTGTTTGAAACTTTTTCCTGTGAAATCAATATTTTTTGAGATATGCAGTAGAAACTTTCCAAACTTTGAGGAGATGTAGAAGGCAAACGAGGCCTTGTCGCCAAAAATCCTTTCAGGGAATTTCTTTTCTAATCAAGGATAAACTTTGGCTAAAATTTCACCGCAATCGGAGGGTTGCGCTTTTCGGAACTGCACCCTTTTTTTTAATCTCCCGTTCCAGTAAAGTTACATTACATTTTCCACTTTAGAAATGTATCATCAACAATTGCAAGGTGTTGCAAAGAATAAAAAGAACGTTGGTAGTATGTCTCGTAATAAAGCTTTGCCGCCGGTTATAAAGCCTTCTAACGTCAATAAAGAGCAATCTCCAAACGGTAGCAAAGAAAGTACACCGAAGAAAGAAAGGAAAACTGTAGCCACAACGCAACCAGTTATATCAAGGTAAATCTCCAAACTTTTTTTTTTTTTTTTTTTTTTTTTCACGGAAGAAGAATTTAGAGCAGCGTGTTAAAGTATATTTGTTACTCGATACAGGAAGGAACAGAAAAAGAACGAAGAAAAAGTTATCAACGATCATTCTGTTTCAACCGAACAGTCTATTGTTGTTTCTAACGTAATAACTACTATGAATTCAACCCCCACTTCTGCCATCGCTGTATCAGGAACTACGGTTCCTGTTACGTCTCTACCGACTTGCTGCACCTCGATGAGCACCGTTACCGTCGAGAAAGATGTAACAGCCAGTGAAGTGAAACCGCAGATCACAACAACAGCCCCAGCGAAGAAGACGACGACGACGAATATCAGCGGTAAACCAGTCGCTGTTGTGAAGACCAGTGCTCAGAGTTTATTGCAGTCGAATCAGCAACATTTTCCTCATCACCAAATCCAAGTGTCGACCTCTGCGGGCTTGCAGACTATTCGGTTATCTGGACATTCTGTACTACATTCTACTCAGCCAGTCGCAGCCAGTAGCGTTACCAACGCGGGGAACGTGAACACAAGTTTGACGACGATATTGCCACCTGGAAAAACACAAAATCAACAGCAGCAGCAGCAGCAGCAGCAGCAGCAGCAATCGCAACAGTCGCAACAACAGCAGCAACAACAGCAGCAGCAGACGATTGTCACTAATCAAGCAGGAAAAAGTATTTTGCAGACCGCTAATATAAAGCAGCAACAATCTCAACAGCAGCACGTTCTACCTGGGAAGACACTGTTAGCCTCGCAGATAAAATTAGTTAGCCCGGGGCAGATCAAGTCGCTCCTCACGGGCCATGGTCTACAAGGGCAAACAATATTCATTAAACAGTCATCACCGTCTAGTAATCAATCACAACAAATACAGCAACAATTGAAGGTGTGTAAAGAATCACGAAACTGGGTTGAATTTAAGAAAATGGCGGTACCTCCCGATCGAGCTGATTTTTTTTGCCATAGATAGCCTTTGACCTGGCGTTTCCAATGGTGGTCAATCCATCTCTTAACCCCCCCCCCCCCCCCCCCCCCCGGTCAAAAACTGAAATGGTCCAAAAAGTGGTTTTTTGCACCGATCTCAATGAATACATCTTTTCCAACCTAATCTAACCTAACCTAAAATGATCCTATGAGTAATTCAAACACATTTGTCACAAACAATTATTCGAAAATAAAAGGACGGCCGACAAACGAGCGAGGTACCGGGTCTTCCGCCTTCGTCTCGTTCTCCGCAAACTCCCCAGGTGGAGGGCGGGGGGTAAACGGCCCCAGACCATCAGGAGTCGGGTGGAGACCTCAATCTCTGTGCACTTCCTCTATTTCATCTTTTTTTGTTTGTTTGATGTACTCATTGAGATCGGTACAAAAAACAAACAAAAAACACTTTTTGGACCATTTCAGTTTTTAACGGGGGGGGAGTAGGGGTTAAGGGATAGGATGACCACCATTGGAATCGCCAGGTCAGAAGCTATCTTTGATAAAAAAAATCAGCTCGATCGGGGGGTACCCCATTTTCTTAAATCCAACCTGAAACTGTTACCTTACAATCTCTTTACACAATCTAAAACACATTGTTTTCATTGTAGCAACAACAGCAGCAGCAGCAACAACAACAACAACAACAACAGCAGCAGCAGCAGCAGCAGCAGCAAATCCAACAACGGGTTGTAGGAAATCAACAGCAATCAATACAGACGTCGGGTATGCAACGCATAATCGCACAAATAGGGGGGAAACCGATCGCAGTACAGATACAACAATCACCGCATCAACAACAGCAACAGCAAAAGATTCTAGCAAAGGTTTTAACTAGTTCCGGTGGTGGTCAGCTGATATCCGTGGAGAGTCTTCTTGCTCAGAAGGGATTAAAGTTGGCCACTACAGCTGCCCATGCTAATCAACTGAACAGACAAGGAAAGCAAGTCATCCAAACTCAATATCAGGTAGAAATAATGGTGATAAATAAATCTCTGTGAAAATGAAATAATCCGGTATTTCTTGAAATGTTGATGTAATTTTTAGGTTGTATCGCAAGCGCAAACTTCTTCGGGGCAGGCGAAAATCATAGCCAACGCGCAACAACAACAACAACAACAACAACAGCAGCAGCAGCAGCAGCAGCAGCAGCAACAACAGTCACAACCACAGCAGACACAGACTGTTCGAATGGTGACTGCACAGTTATCTGGAAAGCAGATTGTTTTAGCGAGTGGCAATAAAAATGTGGGTGTCGGAGTTAGCAGCAGTGGAAGTGTAGTGCTAGGGAAACAGCAATCGTCCCAGCAACAGCAACAAAACCAGCAACAACAACCAATTATTTTACCCAGTCAGTTGCTCAATATCAAAACGTTGCACGGGCTGAAAGTAATACCAACCCCGGCTGGATTAAAAACTACAGGGGCGGCGGTATACGCACGGGTTATCGCCCCGACTACCATAACCTCGACACAGTCGGCTGGAAATCAGCAACAAACGATTCAGGCTCAACAACCATCGAGGAGTAACTCTTACAGCACGCCTTGACAAAATTGACGTTACTTTCTTGTGTTTTAATTTAATTGTTCTGAATTTTGACAATTTCGCGAAGGATTAGAAGTACACAATTTTTATGTAAAAAGAATAAAAGTAATAAAAATATCGGAACTTGATGAAAAAAAAAGAAGAAACAATCAGTTAAAGTCAGTCTTAGGTAAAGCTGTGTACTTGTGTATAGCTTTCGCGTAGTAAGGTAACGCATCGAAAAAAATGATGTGGAAAACACTGGAAAATAAGAACAACGCGATCGTGACTTTCTTTTGTAATAAGTGTCGAATTATTTACAAATGCATGGTACGATTTCAAATACAAAACACCGTTTTCTTTTTTTTTTTTCTTCTTTTTTTTTTTCTTATATCACGAAGATTCTTGCAGCGTTGCAATGTAACACGTATAAATAAACCTTATTATGTAATGGTAGAACATTTAAATTATTTTTACAGATTCTCTTTGTGGTCTACGTTGTAAATGAGTTTACTATGAATACCTAGGCAGCAGATCGCTACCGCGTCTTTGGTCCGTTACTCGTGAGAGAAGATATCGTCGAAGAGACATCCTACCAGTTCATGAGTTTTATGTACATATTTTTACTTCGTATCGTAGAAAAAGAGAATGGAAGAGAGACGTGTGAATTTACGTGTGCAAATAAGAATAAGCATGTATGTACGTCAGTTTCTCGAGGTCAAATTTTCTTTTCTTTTGTACTTATTGATAGAGACTTTCCGGATGAAGGCTGTGTCCAAAATAGGGATGTGCAGGTACCCGATGTTACGGGCTCGGAAAACATCGGGCGGGATCGGTCGGGCGTCGGATAGCCCGATTATTTCGGGTTTGATCGGGTACAGTCGGGTTGATTCGGACGAGCTCCAACTCTCATGTATACTCGTTAATACTTGCAATAAGCATGTGCAAAATCTGTTTTATGTGGAAGTTTGAAATAGGATAATTTTGATGTGGAAAAATAATACTTGTAACGAATTTATTTGAAGTGAATTTCATTCCGTGTCACCTGTATGTTCATTTTATACAAAATAGATTTTAAACATGCTTATTGCTTGGGTGGCGGACCGCGGGAGCTCGTCCGAATCAGCCCGACTATACTCGACCTAACCCGAAATAGTCGAGCCACCCGACTGCGTCTCGGACGCCCGCCCGATGTTTTCCGAATCGACCCGACTAGTCGGGTCGCACGTTCCTAGTCCAAAAGAATAAATATTCAATAGTGAAACACACTAATACTGATGTGCGAGGTAAGGTGATTTAAAGATGATTACCTTGTTATTGGATCCTTATTCTATCGGACACAACATGCACTAGAAAGCCTCTACAGATAAATAAGCTTGCATGTTATTGATTAGATATTCTCTTCGTTTATAGCTCGAATGCGTGTGTCCTGAAGGGAAATGCGGTGCAATTATGTTTCTTCAGAGTTCCATATATCTTGGAATATGTCTATCAGATTGTTCACGCCTATCAAGTAGCCATCTTCATGGTTTCCCACTTGCCATTCAGCGTCGTGATGAATACGTGGCAAGTGGTGAGGCAGAGGTAATGTTTTTGCAAAATCTATCATCCATATGCCAGCGTTTTTGGCGTCATGAACGAATAGTAAGCTAGATCCAACTACCTCGTGGGAAGCAAAGAACGGCGACGCCTTCAACGTGGCTCGGATCGCTTTCAGACGCTGAATATATTTGGGTACTGCGTGCGGATAACCTTCCACGAATCGTCTCAACGCTTCTGTCACCTGACAATCAAATTATGGGATAATTTTATTTTCCAAATAACATTTTCCATAAAGTATGTAAGAATGTAAAAAACCTGTTCTCGAGTTCTAGTCGTTTTGAAGTCCTTCGACGAGCCTCCATGAGCAAGTTTAATACCCTCAACGCGAAAACCCAGAGTGGCAGTGCTGGATATCGTTTCTCGCCATACCATGTACCTTGGTTTTGTCACCCCTTGCACGCGACGTTCCTCGGCACTCGGTGCGCTTGGGTCCACTTGTACCATTTTTTCGTACATGTCTTTTCGTAACTGTATTCAGAAATCGAAACACCTTAACTGATTTATATTACCATTCGATACAGATGATTCTGAACTTGAGCTGTTCTTTGAAGGAGGGGGGAGGGGTCGAGGTTTAGATTAGGTTTTTTGGAGGAAAGCAGTATATTTGGAGGAAACCTAATATCCGGTCCCGGAAGTGCGGGAACCATCGGCACCCACTTAACCCGACTTACACGCCCACCCGCTGGATATCGCTCATGATCGACCTAAAGGCTTGACTGAAGGGTCGGTTCAGATCTACAGACCAAGGGGGACAAGGAAACCAATAGAGCTGCAGTCTAAGCACATGAAAACTTTGTACCTAACCTAAACCTAAACCTAAACTAACTTCCGGAATCGGAAATCGCATCTTCAGCGCATTCCCCTTGACCCCTTCAGATCCCTTTCATTCAAAATCCCCTCCAAAGAACAGCCTTGACTTGGGTTCGTTTCAAATCATCTTCTGCTGACGTTTCTTTACCTTAGGTCTTTCCTTGGCTTTGGCAAGCTCCGACTCGAGATACGTCCTGACGCCGACCTTGCAATCCATCACGCAGGGATGTTCAAAGTCACCGAGGAGATCCTGGAGTTGCAAGTAAGAGGATACCACTGTCCTTTTGTTTATAGCGTCTCCGCCGGTACCGTCCTTTTGAAGCGTCTCTGCTGACTCAGTCTCCTCGGCGTTACCTTCTTCTGCTTCCTTCAGGTCCAATACACCTTTAAACTCCGGCACGTAAGGCCTCAACACGTCGTTCATCAACAAACGAAAACAAGCTTCCTCCTGGGGGCAGAGTTTCTTTAAAATCGTCCCTGGCGTTGGTCCTGCTCTGAAGTTTCCTTGGTGCCCTGCTAATTGTACCTGAAACAACACATCTGTTAGAGATTGGTTTGATTTTGATTTCATCAGAATTAGTTGTACTATTTTAATCGTTGGATTAAACATGGTACTCACCCAGGGATACCGTTGTTTCTTGTAGGTCTGGAAGAATGGTGTCCAGTGAACGATGTTCCTAAGTTTTCTCCAGCCAGAAGACTGCAACAAAATTAAGTACCATTTTTTCTTTTAATTGAATCTCTCAAAAGTATCCACGAGGTCCTTCAGACCATTGGATGTGAAACCTAGTGAGATAGGCTTGAATGAAAAACCTAATTATCCTAATTACACGTATGATTCTAAAGACATTCGTTTCTTTTTATTTCAGATGAATGACGGTTTCTCTTAGCATTTCTCGCCGGTTACCTTCGGGATTGTACGCTCGTTAGACCTATCCGTATGGTCAGACTCCCACTCAGAACTGAGGTCATCACCGCTGCCCTCTCCCCATTCCAGATTATTCTGTGGCACTTGGAGTAGTTGAAGATACTGTTGGTATCCCGAACGATTCTCCTCTCCGTTATTCTGACCTTTGCTGCACCTACAGCATCTGGAATGCCTGCTCGTACAATCGGTGCTGTCTTTGCCGGAGGACTTAAGGTCATTCACATGATCAATCTTAATTCTCGTTCTCTCATTACCGTCTTCTTTCTTGTCCGTTTTATCCAAGAAACCGTTCTTCTTCTTCAACGGTATTGTTTCAACGGTGTTACTCTCATTGGAGAACGTGTTTTGATCATTTTCAGGGTCATGATCGTCGTTGGACGTTTCGGTGTGCGATTGAGATCTGGTAAACGATGGCGACGGGCTACGAGAAGAGGATGGTGATCGACGATCAACGATCGACGTGGAGAATCGCCTCGAGTGCCTTCTATTTCGTGATCTGATCATTTTCCTTTGGTTCAATGACCTTCTCTCGCAATCCTCACCGCTGTCCACTCGCTCGTCGACGCTTGCTTTAGAGCATACCACTATCTTTGGTATCGTTATCCTATCGTAAGTCTTTTGCATCTTTGATCCTCGTTAGATAAATGGATAGCCCTTTTTCTTTTTTTAATTTTTCTTTTTAGAACGTTCCAGAGATATCGGCGACCATTGGAATGAAATTGTCGTTTAAGACAAGATTCTAACGTTTATTTATAGCGCCCTGAACAGTTCTCCAAGCATTTCTACAATTTAAACATTATAACCGTCAGAGACTATACAATCTCTCTTGATACTTCCAAGAATAAGACAATTTCTTGAAAGGTTTTCTCCAAAGTAGCAATTTTCATTTACAACCGCAAAGACTATAATTTCCTATGTGTCAGGACAACCTGAATAACCGTGTAAATTTTCTTTTCAGATCATGAAAGAATCCCACGATTTCACCAGAACCAAACAGATAATCACCAATTTCATCGAGACACTTTCTCTTTCAACCAGCCTCTATCCTTCCTGTGTACACCACCAAATGTGAGCATGCTTTTCAAGAACTAATTAACCGACGAAGAAAGGAGGAAAAAGAAAGAAGGAAAAGGAACGACGGTTTAAGAGGCGAACACTTTCGTTTCTCGATGCTTCTTTGTAATTATTTTAATCACGAGCTACGACCGAATCGAGGTAACTGAACAGACTGGACGTGTCCACCCACAACGGGTGTCTCTTCTTCTTTCGAGGAGCGTGGAAAGCGAACGAACCGTGTGTGCCACTTTTTATTCGACGATGCGACTCGGCTCGATCGGAATCGCGTTACGCAAAATTTTGTCGGCTTTGCAATCGCGAGTCCCCCTCGTTAAATATGACAAGTGAAAATGAACGATCCGTAATCGTATCGTTTACCGAAGATACGATATGGCTTAACACGTTCACTGCGGATGCCGCATTGGCAATGATCTTAAAGGGTTACGCGTAGTTGGGATCGGGTAATTTTCAACATTTTTCCTTGCCGTCCTAATAAATATTTACTACCAAGTGAAATATACCATAGAAAAATACATGTTTAAAATTAGTTTTAAGATTTTTTTTTTTAAGTAAAATGTTAAATAATGGAACGCCTTTTTCTCGAGAACGCTTGCGGTAGCCACGATATCTTCTAAACCGCTTATTTGAAATCAAAACCAAGGAAGATTGAGATAGTATATTGTATTGTTAAAGGCCTGAACGAAGGATTTTTAATTCCGTTGAAAAATTTCTTTTTTATCGCAAAGAAAAAGAAATTTTACCACCTCAAAAATCGGATTTTTCAGTAAAATTCTTGTCATTTTGGTGAAAATCAAAATTTCGGGTAAATCTACAGAATTACGGCTTCTGCGAAAACGGTATTTTAAAAATTTTTTTAAACAATATATTTACTTACAAATAACTATTATATGACGGCGCATCGCAAAAAATTCATAAATAAGAACTTTTTAAGGTTTCTTCATGGACAATTCTAGATGTAAACAAATACTTTATTAAATTAATATCAAACACAAATTCGATAATTGTTTATTATTTATTGTTTCTTATTTTTGCATGCGCCTCTTACACTTATCTTTTTATAAATATTGGAGTATATTCTGACCAAAATCTGATAAAAAAACAACCGTTTTTCTATAAATTTACCAAATTTCACAAAACCCTTTGTTCAGGCCCTTCAATCTTTGATTTTGATTTCAAATAAGCGGTTTGGAAGATATCGTGGCCACCGCAAGAACAGCTTTATTTCCCCCATTATTTAACATTTTACTTTTAAAAAAATCTTAAAACTACTTTAAAATATGTATTTTTCGATGGTATATTTCACTTCATAGGACGGCAAAAAAAATGTTGAAAATTACCCGATCCCAACTAGGTGTAACCCTTTAATAATATTAGTATCCTCACAGTCGGCTTTCAGATCCATGGGATCTCTTCGGATCGTATGTTTTAATCGTCTCGACGAATATCGTTATCGGCTTGCGACGCGATTTGCGATGAATCGGCGTCGCTTAGGTTGCGCGTTCCTCGACCATGATATTACATAATATCGCTGAGGCAAACGTGACGCTTTCAATTCGCGATACATTTACTTCTATTTAACCGATTCAAGACCGCGATTGTAAGGAAAGAAGCTCCAAATCTGGAATGGTTTTTTTTCACGAGTTTCCAATTATTTATTTATTTCCAACGCCTAACACCTAATTGTTTCATTATAATTTTCGTCAATTAATAATGCAAGAATTGTTGGCAAATGACCCTTATCGCGCGTCCGTTCGCAGATCTAAGAGAACTTCCTCTATGCAATACCGATAACGATTTTGAATCAACCGAGTTTTAGAGAACGAACCTAATATGACCCCTAGTAGAAGAAAAAATTTGCCCTTTAACTTCCTAGTAACATCATATATATATATATATATATAAAAGAATTTTTATTATTTTTAAAGTCCTCTTTTTGAAAAAAATGATGGAAAAAGTGCAAGTATTCATTTGAAACTTAAAAATGAAAAAGAACCAAATTATGGTTTTTGGAAGATTTCTGACTCAACCATATGTAAACATTATTTGTTTATGTTATTAAATAAAATAATAAACAAAATAAGATAAACTTCAACCCCTTAATATTATAATTGAATAAGCAAACACAACGTATCTTTTTCTTAGAATGGGTAGCTATGCTAGTTTATTATAATATTTTAATGCGCGCATTTTACGTATCTACGCGTGTTCGTTTGAGCAAACGGCTACACGCGATCAGCTGTTCACCCAATCGCCTAAAGTAGCACCCCGGAAGTCAATCAGTCCACCGAATCTTTAATCGTCTATTATGTCAATTTCATGTCAATAACGAAAGCTTAAGATTGCATTTCTTTTAACAGAGAGAGAGAGAAAATTTATCATCTTCACGGTGTTGAAAATTGCTTTTCTTTTTATTATAGAGTTACTTTGAAACTGCAAGGAAATTTACTTGGACTTGAGAATCTCAAGATCAACGTTCATTAAGAAAGAAATAATAATACTCACTATGGATCACTTACTGTCACACATTACACAGATAAATCCGATTAATTGAAGATAATCAACTTCTTTAATGAAATTTTACATCATCCCAGTGAAGAATTTTAAAAGAAGGATATATAAATCCTTTTCCAGTACACTTCTCACAATTTCACAAATGAAACGATTCTATGAAATTGAAGGTTTCATTCTTGAATGAAATAACGTTGATTTTTCACTCGGCACAATAAGGAATTTTTTCTTCACTAGTTAAATGTTATCATGATCACCGGGATCGTAGAGCGGAGATTTGTTTTAAAGAATCCTTTATTTTATAGGTAAATTAATAGGTTGATCGCTGTGGTAGACGAGTTTCACGATGAAACCATCCAGCGAGCTCGTGCGAACCGGAGTCAAGCGATCGAAATGCGTCATCGACTAATTAACTAGCGCTTGCTAGCGTCATTAGCGGAATTATCAGGAGTGGATGAAACGTTGGGGCGATCTACTGTTCGACGGGTCTTTCGAGCAACCGGAAGTAGCCTTACTCTATGCTGTTTTCCACCGTAAATTGTTAAGGGGTTACGCCTAATTGGGATCGGGAAAATCACGGAATTTTCAAGATTTTATTTTGCCGTCCTAATAAATGTTTACTATGAAGTGAAATATATCATCGAAAAATACATATTTTAAAGTAGTTTTAAGATTTTTGTAAAAGTAAAATGTTAAATAATGAAGGAAATACAGCTCTTCTTGCGGTGGCCACGATATCTTCCAAACCGCTTATTTGAAATCAAAATCAAAGAAGATTGAGTTAGTATATTGTATTGTTAACGGCCAGAACGAAGGGTTTTGCGAAATTTGGTAAATTTATAGAAAAACGGTTGTTTTTTTATCAGATTTTGGTCAAAATATACTTCAATATTTATAAAAAGATAAGTGTAAAAGGCGCATGCAAAAATAATAAACAATTATCGAATTTGTGTTTGATATTAATTTAATAAAGTATTTGTTTACATCTAGAATTGTCCATGAAGAAACCTTAGCAAGTTTTTATTTTATAAGAACAAATTTCTTATTCCATAACGTCAAATGTTAATAAACTTTTTATTTATGAATTTTTTGCGATGCGTCGTTCATATAATAGTTATTTGTAAGTAAATATATTGTTTAAAAAAATGTTTAAAATACCGTTTTCGCAGAAGCCGTAATTCTGTAGATTTACCCGAAATTTTGATTTTCACCAAAATGACAAGAATTTTACTGAAAAATCTGATTTTTGAGGTGGTTAAATTTCCTTTTCTTTGCGATAAAAAAGAAATTTTTCAACGGAATTAAAAATCCTTCGTTCAGGCCTTTAACAATACAATATACTAACTCAATCTTCCTTGGTTTTGATTTCAAATAAACGGTTTGGAAGAAATCGTGGCCACCGCAAGTGATCTCGAGAAAAGGGCGTCCCATTATTTAACATTTTACTTTTAAAAAAATCTTAGAACTTCTTTGAAACATGTATTTTTCGATGGTATATTTCACTTCATAGTAAATATTTATTAGGACGGCAAGAAAAAATCTTGAAAATTACCCCCTCCCAACTAGGCGCAACCCCTTAAGGGGCTATACCAGTGTAACACTTTTGAAAAATCGACCTTTTTTTTGCATTTTTTGAAAGTCTATACTCTCTAGAATATCATATTAAAATTTTAAGGTCGAATCTCAAATAGTTTAGGAATGGCAGCGTTCTAAACCAGTAACTGCTGGCATGTCAGAAACGCGCTTACCGCCGATGGATCGCGTTTTTCTCAAATTTGCTGCAGCTCTAACTCGAATACAAATTGTTGCATCGACTCGAAACTTTTTTCATCGTGTTCAGTACACGTTTTGCCATACCATGAAGTAGGATTTTTTTGATTGGATGAAAAATGTCAATTTGGCACTATAAAAACTACTATTCTTTTAGGCTACATTCCAAACTTTTCTTCAAAACTTCGCCATTTCGTCAGATTTTGATATTTTTCAAAAATCCTAGTTCATGGTACGTAGAATACCTTCTAGTTTAACAGCGTTTTTATTATTTTTCATTTTATGCACTTAGACGACGGCAATCACTGCAGCAGTGCAGCAACTTTTTTTTTTTTTGGAGTCCTGGGAGATAGCGAATAAGTCGCTTGTGTTTTATTATTTTTGTACCAAAAAATTATTATAGATATATGATTTGTAACTAAATACATCCCTGGAGTTTAAAAACATTGGTTGTAATATTTCTTTAAAAAAAAAATTCCCGAAAATCATCTGATATGGCCCCTTAACACCCTGTACACTGAGTTGCATTGAACTTGTCGCAGTGAAGTTGGCCACGCATTCACTCACCGACGCGGCGTGAATGCGTTAGTGAATTTGTAGCCAACTTCACTGCGACAAGTTCAATGCAACTCAGGGTACAGGTATGTTGATCATCAGCTGACGCGATATTTTTCTTTCATAAATCATTATACGCGTCTCAGTCATTTATACTAATAACTTTTAAATGTTATTAAGTACGTAATAAAAACTCCACATTATGCTGTCATGTGTATCCGAAGCATCGACGAAAAGAAAAAAAGGAGGAACAAAAACCCTTGACCCAAATGCGTTACGGCAAAGAAATATTCGATGATATGCTCCTCCAAGGTTCGAACCATCGGGAAAAGTAATATGAATCGGTAAAAATGGACACGCGTGGACAATTAGGTGACGTCAATGAAATAAATTTCACACATGGGCAACATTTATTCTCTCTGAAAATTTGTAACTTTCTAAAAATAACTTTATAAGATTTCCAAGCGTGATCAAGTTTTTTTTCGTACGCGTTGATTATTCAAATTTATAATAATACGATAACTTGTTTTTTGTTTTGTCTTAATTGAAAAACGAGTTACCGGTATCATGCGTGATTAATGATTTACCGTCACTGATTAGCCGTTTTCTGGTTAATTGGCGAAAATCATGATCGCCAAATAAGCAGAGCACAGCATTCCGCTTTTGAAGAGAACTCTTTTTTTTTTTTCAGATCGGTGTCTAATTGGACCGCGCGCTCGATTAGGCAAGAAGAAATCGTGAACGAAAAGGGGAACGATCGCTAATCAATCCATACTAGTGCGACTACTCCCTAGAGTTGCACAAACTTTTTATTTCATACTAATTATCCGGCTTTCTTATATCTAGAACATAGACAATTATAGAATTCTGAAAATCAAGCAGTAACGTGTTGAAATCTATATAAAAAATAAAAATTAAATTCTGTTCGTTGGTAAGTGCATCACATGAGAACGGCTGGACCGATTTGGCTAATTTTTTTTTTTTAATGTTGGTAATAGTCCGAATAAGGTTTTTAGGGAAAGAAAAATTGGAAAAGTTGCCCGGAAAAATGGAAAATTCGGGAAACTTTTTTTTTTTTTTCAATTTTACTTTGTTGGCACATTTTCAATAGCTTTTCACAAATTCACAAAACGATTTATTGAAATTTAGACAGGACGTCTGTCGGGTCAGCTAGTTAATTAATAGTTTTTAATTTGTAATATACAAGAGATTGATAAAAAGGGAGAAAATTAGATGGATATAAAAAGAAAGTTCAAACGATTTAGTCCTTCGGATTGATTAGCCAATCGATCATAATTTTCTAATCGATCATCCGGTTGTCGAGCTCTTTGCATTTAATTATATTGGATTGTTCCAAAGCATACAGAATGAGAGTGAAACCGCGTATCGATACCTTGACTCGATCGATTTCGAAATCTCTTTTTTTTTTTTCTTTCCTCTGAATCGATAATTAATAACTTCGATCCTTGGAGTCGTCAACCTTTTAAAATTCTAAAGCGTTTAAAATTTTTTTTAAAGGATAAGATATCTGAAAGCTGAGCAATTTAAAAAATGAAAAAGAATCGAGATCTTTCAAAGGGAGGGCGCGATCGACGGGATACGGATTTTTTTGAAACTTGCAGTATTTGAAGATGTCCTCTCCAAATTTAATTTCCCAAAGCAGTAGCGCGCGCCCCTCGAGATTTTCCGAGAAAATTGCATAAAAATCGCTGTACTCCGTTATAAACAATTTGCGTATAAAAATGAACAACGCTTCAAATGGCTGATGGCGTAACGTGAAATACTGTCCAACAGTGAATTTGTTTTCCGATTCTGAATGGGTGATTCTTATAGTGTTTTGTACGCTGATTACGAATCTGCATAACGTTTTGCTCCTACTCGTACAATTTTTGAGAAATTTGATTTTGAAAAAAAATCATTTTTCAGATTTAAACAAATTTTCTGACGTAATTATAAAAGATATTGAAATTCTATTTACACTAAAAAATTCTGTAGACTTTCCTGAATACAACGATACCTATCTTTAATACATTGTAAATGTTTAAGTATGTTTAAACGATCATTGAATACGGAGGGACCCCGATTTGGCACCAATTTTTTAGGATATTTTTCAATTTATCTGAAAAAGTAGAGATCCGGCGTAAAATCGAATTATACCACGCGATAGAGCAGATTTTTATCTTGAAAAACCACCTAAAGAAAATTGCAACATCGATTTTTTTATTAAGCCAGAAAGCGAAATAGCTTTGCGAGAGACCAAGTACCAACAGTGGCGCTCCGCGTCAGGACGGTTCCTCGGCGTCCCGCCTAATGTAGTTGCTTTAAGTCCCGACGCGGAGCGCCACTGTCGGTACTTCGTGTCCAGCGAAGCTATCACGCTTTCTGGCTTGATAAAAAAATAGATGTTACAACTTTCTCTGGGTAGTTTTTCAAAATACAAATCTGCTCTATCGCGTGGTATAATTCGATTTTACGTTGGACCTTTACTTTTTCAGATAAATTGAAAAATATCCTAAAAAATTGGTGCCAAATCGGGGTTCCTCCGCGTTCAATGATCGTTTAAACGTACTTAAACATTTACAATGTATTAAACATAGGTATCGTTGTATTCAGGAAAGTCTACAGAATCTTTTAGTGTAAATAGAATTTCAATATCTTTTATAATTACGTCAGAAAATTTGGTTAAATCTGAAAAATATGTTTTTTTTTTTTCAAAATCAAATTTCTCAAAAACTGTACGTATAGGAGCAAAATGGTTTGCAGATTCGTAATCAGCGTACGAAACGCTATAAGAATCACCCAGTGGGAATCGGAAAACAGAAAAAAGTTAAAAGGGTATAGCCGGGTAAGATGGTCAAAAAAGTGCCCCCAAACCAAATTCGACTTGCTATGAACCATTCGATAGGTGATCAAACAAAACCATTCTGTAATATGTGTCTCACAAATAGAAATGTTTCTGATTTTTTTTCAGAAATTTCGAATGTCATTAAATAGGAGAAATTGGCCAAAAACCTCGCAATTACATTTTTACCCGTAACTACCCTCCCAAATGAGATACAGGGTTGAAACTTGGCACAGACTGGTTTTTTTTAATCACCTATCGAATGGTTCATAGCAAGTCGAATTTGGTTTGGGGGTACTATTGACCATCTTATCCGGCTATACCCTTTGCTGGACAGTGTAATCAGTAGGTTGATGGTTCGAGTCTCGCTCTCGATATTTTTTTTTTTCTATATTATTTTTATGTTCGATTTTTTTCCCAATGCCCAAAAAATAATATGCATAATTAATATAGTATTGGGATAGATGTATAATAGTATTATCTAATAGATATATTGATCTGTGGGAAGGTTGTTAGTTGATTGGAAAGATGGAAAAATAAAACAGATAATCTCAGAGTTTACCTTTTTTCTACCAACAGGAGTCGGGCTACGTTGATAATCATCAGCGATCCCCAACAAGCAATCATCGCACTTGCAATAAAAATTGCTGCTCGATGCTGAATCACTGGACAGCAAAGAATTGTAAGTGCTCCCGCTCGTTTGACTGTCCATCGAGTCGGTTCTACGAAGAAGAAAATTCTTCCTCGTTCTTCCTCCATGATTATTATCCACTTCGTTGTTGTCGACCTCGTGCAGATTTTGCTTCTCTATTTTCGCCAATAGGATCTGTTCCATTAAATTCAGCGTCGGCGGCGTCGCCAAGGTAGGCGACGCTAACGTCGTTGGCGACATGCTTCTGCTACCTGTGTATTTAGAGTTTCCACCTTTGTCTTCCGACTCCATCCTCTCGCTTATTCCACGAGTAATTTTTACCTTTCTCCGACGATGCAACACCGGTTTACCACTTTGCAATTCAGATTTCCCTTCTTTCAGAGATCCCTTTTACTTTTACTTTTTACAGAGAATTGCGGTTCAGATGTTAACGTCACTTATCCATGGTTGCAGAGATTTCTTAAGTTTAAGATCCTTCATTTCTGTTGCTTGAATATTTTCAAGGTATACACTTTTTAATTGTTAAATGAAACTTATTCACTTATTATTTATGGCTGTCAATTTCTTTCCAGGCCTCACCAACACGAATACTGGTAAAATAACTCCTCGTCAAAGAATCACCCAGATTTAGGAAAGAAAATGTTCATTTCAACCCTAATGTGTTACGATCGTGTCTGCGGTGGGTATAATCGTGACTACCTTTGATCTGGCCCGTTTCACTTGTTAATGATTTCTCCCAGTCGGCTCTTGACGCGACCCAAGTTTATATGGGCGGTAACTTAATCAGCGAATCACTGATCGCTGATGGTTATTCTCAGAATAAAACCTCCGCCTATCTTGTTAAACTGGATGAAGGATTTTAGCAGCAAGGAGGAACTTTCGCCAAATAAGTACACCCAAGGGCAAGGACGGCTTTTGTTAGTTAGGGACAATTCTCCCACCACTCGTGTTTCAGACTCGTGTTTATATGTATTATTCGGTTCCCGTCGAAGAGTGATTTCAGTTGAAGTCAATGAAACAGGCGAACCTAGTTTAACCAAAGCAAGTCATCCTTGTACCTGAATGTACTATTCAGAAAATTTGCCTTTTCAGTAAATTAATACTCGCAAAGTAACAGTTCATTGTTATTCTTACAAATACTCCACTGTTTCAGAAGGTACGATCACCTCCTAGATTGGATGATCTTTGGTGACACGTAACAATACCCACACGTCTCATGGACACGATTGTTAGCCTTGACGCGGTTGAACTTCACTCCAACACGAGGATCAATTTCTGCAGAGTTACGTGTCCCTATGTTATTCAACGCTTAGACAATTTGAACGGTTGAGGAAAGACAAAGAGCGAGCAATCGTCAACAAACGTGATCTCTGCTTTTATATAACCAGCTGCCTGGATCAGGGACTCTAATCGTGAGAACCTGTAACTTTGCGTTTTCACTTTATCTATAAACTGGTTAGTACTGTTGGAATATTCTTTGGATTACAATTGAAACAGTTCGTGCATTCGAAACTCTTCCAAGTACATGTTCCACAGTGAGAGTATATTCAATCTTTAAAAGATTCTACAATTTTCAAGATAAAAGGGTAAAACCACTTTCGATCAAACAGAAATTTCATGTAGAAACATAGTACAATTGCAATGGTAATTCTATCGAGAGGTTGAGAAGAAATAAGATATCGAATCGGCCGCGATCGATTACGTTCAATGCACGGTTGCATAGCTTTTCCTCCGGTGACCCGAATTGACTGTTTCCTGTTACCAGTCGTCCGTGTATTACTATAATAGATCGTCTATCGCGTGTATTACATATATGGTATGCAACACGTGCGCTGCATAACCGACTAAAACGTGTGCACGATAACACAGGTGATAATCCTGCTTCTTTGACTCTGTCAACATCTGCCAACATCTGCCAACATCTGCCGCGACTTAGCTTTACAAACGGCACGAACGGATATTCTCTATAGAGAAGATATTTGAAAATTCTATTCCAAGGTAATCTTCTTTAATTTTCGAATGATTGGATAATTTGAAATTGGAGTTTCACCAGGTTTCATATGTTCTGAAATTATAATTAATAGATACGATAAATTAAAGTGAACACGTCAGAGTCACGAATAGCTAATACTGGCTCGTCGTCGTCGTTAATACGTAAAGGTATTTTTATCCTTTTCTTTTTTAATAATGTGCCGTTTAATCTGTCGTTTCTTCGAGTCATAAAATATGCAAACCGTCAGCTCGGTAAACGGAGAGACACCACACAGAGACGTCTGATTCATTCAACTTCATCCAGTTACGTCTATCTCTGTTCTTTTGAATGCTCGCGATCATGCTGATCGCCCGACCAGACAGGAAACAAAAGGTGTACGGTTACTCTTAGGGATCGTCCTCTCTTGCATAATGAAGCAGTATTCGATTGACGTAACGTATTTGCGATTCGTTTCGCTGTAAATAGTCCGCGTATCTTTATTTCTCGATCTCGTTCATCTTTCAAACAAATCACGATGACCGTTCGATTTTCTGAAACTTCTACGAATGCACGACTGTTGTGGGCTGAAATACACTGGTGTCCAAAAGTTAAGCATAATTGGTAATTACGTGGATTTTACGAATTATGATTAACTTTTGGACACCAGTGTATTTTGAGAAATTGTACAAATTATTTTATTAAGATATCTACTTTTGTCGTGTTAAAAAATTACAATTTGTTGAAATCGTGAAAGAAAATAGTGAAGGGTAATTTTTTCAACTTTTTTATGTGAACCTATAGCTTTGATAGTAAGAGCATATATAAATGGGTTCACCCCAAAATCCCGACACCCAAAAGTTTGGGTGTCCTAACCTAAACCTAACCCTAACCTAACCTTACAAACAGTTACACAGAACTAACCTAACCTAATCTTCCAAAAAGTTACACAAAACTAACCTAACCTAACCTAACCTAACCAAGAACATGGAGTTTTGGCTGGCGGGATTTTGGGTGTCACCGATATAAATATACAGTGGGTCACAAAATTATTCGCTCACTGATTAAAACAGAATACCTCGTTTTAAATTGGACCAAATGACTTAAGGTTTTTTGGAAAGTTATACAAATTAATTTACTAAGATATGTGCTTTTGCTGTTTTAAAAAATTACAGTTTATCGAAATCGTGAAAGAAAATAGTGAAGGGTAATTTCTCAGCTTTTTTATGCGAGCCTTTAATGAAAATTTCATCGAGATCGGTCACTTAGAAGTTACAAGTAATTAAACTTTCCGAAAATCGCGACTTTTCACCTAAGAACATAATTAGTCACGTTCTTAGGTGAAAAGTTGCGATTTTCGGAAATTACCAATTATGCTTAACTTTTATTCTACTGTATCATTGAATAAAACTTCGAAATTGATACTATCAGCGAGTAGTGGAAAAACTATCAAAGAAGTAAGCATATGCTTACTAGAAGTGGAATGATAAAAGAAGATACGAGTTGAATCAGTTTGTTTTAAGATCTTGATCGCGATGGCGCTCTATCATAATAAAAGACGATATCGTTGCTTATCGAGCCCGGAATCCGATGTTTCAACTTGTTGAACAAGTTAAATGAAGATCCGTCTAAAAACAGGGAACAAGCCACGGCTTAAAGATGATTCTTACGTCAGTTTTGTAATCGATCTCGTTATGTAAAAGAAACTATTGCATTCCACACTTGAACTCCCTTAAGAGGTTCCTTAGCAAATGAAATATAGCACAATTTTATAGTAGCAACGATTCTGGTTCTTTATCACTGACTTGTTCGATCAGATGAAAGCGATATCCCAAAGTAAAGATTTCCTGCGATGGATATTACTTTCCCTTGTGGGGGTGTGCGGGTACCCGATATAACGGGCTCGGGCGCGCCTTCGATACATGGGTGCAATCGGGTAGCCCGACTATTTCGGGTTCGGGCGGGTTCGGAAAAAATCGGACGGGCTCGGGCGGGCGTCCAATACATGCGTGCAGTCGGGTAGCCCGACTATTTCGGGTTCGGTCGGGTACAGTCGGGCAGATTCGGACGAGTTCCCGCGGGCCGCGACCCAACTCTCATGTTACTTGTTAATACTTGCAATAAGCATGTGCAAAATCTGTTTTATATGGAATTTTGGAATAAGATAATTTGGGAGCTCGTCCGAATCAGCCCGACTGTACCCGACCGAACCCGAAATAGTCGGGCTACCCGACTGCACGCATGTATCGGACGCCCGCCCGAGTCCGCCCGATGTTTTCCGAACCGAACCGACCCGACTAGTCGGGAACCCGATGCATTAGTCAGGCCGCGCATCATCACTGTTCCCTTGCGGAAATGTCAGCAGTGGTCTGGTCTAATTGTAAGATGTCCACTTTTTTCGGGTCACCCTATGAATGTTTCGAAAGCGAAACGTCGCGCTGACAATGAGTCGAGTTGAGAATTTTCAATGGGGGCCATACCGTTCCGAATACTATTTTTCAGTCAATCTTTTATTCATAACGCGTTTTGACATACTCTTCTGTCAACTGGCCTACACACGTGTATCGCGCAACAAGGTGGCACTGTTTTTCTTCAATCTTTCATTCTTTTAAAACCATCATATCATGTCTTGTGCCTCCTAATCTCCTAGGCTCTCTCTAAGCTTTTCCAAAATTAATGGGCCAATAATTGATGGCTCCTTCGAGGGAAGCATTCTTTTGAATAACGAATGATTGAAATATATAACATAAAAAAAAGTGGCTCAAATAAAATTTATAAAATTAACATAACAGCTTGTATAACTAATTTAGATTTGCATTTACATCGATTAATATTCAAGTAAACATTTCTCTTCTTGCATTATACGCAAAATAGTCTTATGGGGACCCTGGACCTTGGGGGGCCCTGGACGGCCGCCTAGGCAGATTAGGCTCAGGGCCGGCCCTGAATGTATAGCATCAACAGTGATAATTAATAAGTTAATAGATTTATGATTTGACGTAGATTACTAAACATGCGTAATACGCGCGCAATCGTTTTTTATTCCTTTTGTTTGAAATGGATGGTAAAGAAATAAAATAAAAGTCAGAGTCGGAGTAAATACCTTCTTTTATCACTACTTATCTTTCTCGGGATTGATTTGCGGTCTCGTATGACTGGCTACCTTACGTCTATTTTTGTGAACACTCGGTGTCCTTGCTTTTTTTCCAAATTATCAAAGTAGAATCTACTTTCGAAAATGAAAACAGCAATCGGATAACGAGATCTAATAAGCATTTAGACGAATCTATTTAAGCATTTTGCAAGCATGGAAAGTTTAAGACTCTGCCCTGAAATTAACACGGAAATTAACGTGGGTCTACTAAAAATTGCTTAAATGCCAGCCCACAGAAACGGACACAAGCTATAATGAAATATTTTCGGTACACTCGACAAATGAATCTTAGCAACAGAAATGACACAAGTTGCAAGAAATACCTTGTAATAATCACGGTCGACGTTTCTGTCGAGTATATCCTCTAGCCTAAGTTCCCTTTCATCTCCATATTCGATTTTCATGGTCTTCTTAAATAACCATCTTTCACGATGTTTCACTATCCCACGACGATATCTTCCTTTCCTTCGTTCCAATTGACGGATATTCGAATTCATTGAAAGCACCGCGAATCGCATAGTAACCGAGCGATAAATTCTTTCCTGTTTTTCGATAGCAGGATTGCTGCATATTTTTATCACCGTCCGACAATATCTTGATTAATTTTTCCCCGACAAAATTTGATTTATATACCTTCTTAAAAGACAAACGATAATTGTCTGATGGCGATTAGTCGCTGACAAAGCGTTGATGGAGATATAGATGAATTAAAAAATACTCCACGATTCTTTATCTATGATATTTTGATATCTTGTCGACGGTGGCATAAACAACAGACAATTTTTAGTCACCTGGGATTTCAAAAGCTGCTTCACATTGCAATATGGTAAAGGACTTTTAACCGAAACTTTCAATTAAAGTTTAATTAATAAATATGATAATGATTGAGTTACCATTTAATGTTGCGTTAAGCAAGAGAAATTTAGAAATTTTCTACATCAGGAATTTGAAGATCTAAAAGGGACGAAATAAAGCTTCGCTATGCAGAGATTGATCACTCGTTTTCAGCGTCGTTCAACCCATCAAAATATCCTGGAATTACCTCCTCGATTTTACCGCCACACGAAAATACTCCACTGAATATTCCAGTTTATTTTAGCTGCAGGTATTCGTCGTGACAACAAATCTTATCCTCCACTTTCACTAAAACGTTCACAATAAGAATTAGAAAGAAAAATAACGAAGAAACGATTCAAAGTATCTTTCACCGATGGTGATACGAGCAGAGACGTCGGAGAGACTGGAAGAAACGAACCTTCCAGTTTGCGATTCGTACCGCGACTCCGCGATTTTCTTCACCCATTAGAGAGTAGACGGAATGGTCGAAAAGAGTTGGCCAGCTTCGAATCTCGCGGATGAAATCGCGTCCTACGCGCTGCCAATAACAATGTGCCCTCCTCTCTCTCTTTCTATGCTATACAGAATGTCTTTAGAATTACCATCATTCTCTATGCAAATATAAATCAAGTACATGAACAATATTAATGGATAATTCTATGAATCTTCAAAAGTTGTTCACCATTCTACCAGCCATTGGAATACCGGCTTGACTGGAGGTGTTCAACTTTTGGCAGTGAATGTATGGAACAGAAAAAAAAAAAAAAAATAGAACGATATTTGAAAGTAAAAAGTCGGTTTACCTTTTCAGACTAAAGGATGAATTCTTTGACGCGATGCTTTGATACTTTGATTTAGAAAGAGCCTTGGATTATTCTTTTACAAAAATGAGATGAGCTTTTAGATTATATTTCATTCCTATTCCTTTGGATTTAAGATGAAATATTCAAATCATAAAGGTGGTTGTTTCTGTCGTGAACCTTGCCAATCTGTTTCTTTAATTTCGGAATTCCTCTTCCACGTTCCAAGCGAAAGGAATAACAGAATTTACGGGAGTGTTTATGAACCAAGTTTTTGTTCGGATGATAATCGAACTACGTCAATACCGCTATGTTTTCTCAAAGCGAAGAACATTTTAGCCAGACGATAAAAGAGATCCTTTGGTAAATCTAGGAACCTCTTGTTATCTCCGTTAAATATACAATAATAATTATCAATTCTAATTTGAAAAAAAAAAAAAATATACCCTTCCTTTTTTCAAAGTCGGTTAATTAGCCATTCGTATGGCGTAGATTAATGTAATTGTATCTGATAGTCCTCCGTTTATATATAAAAACACGTGTACATATGTAGTTACAAAGGTCGTAGATTTCATAAAACTCGAGGACGTCAAAGTGTTATTAATACTGTATTACGCTCGAGTATGCTAGAACGCGGTGGACACCGGTTGAACCCACGCAAAGAATGCATAAAACGAACGTACACGCGCGCAACTGGTTTATAAACACGTTGATCCGTATGTTAAACGAGTATTCGTAGATAAAGACAAGGATGCACGTTTGCACGTACAATAGGAGAGACATAACAGATTCCAAGACCTTCCTAAAAGAATGTTCATTCGCCTGAACATAACACATTTCACTATCACGCGAGAGCCTCCCGTTCAATGGGGAAAAATAAATTGGCGAACATTGAACAGTAATTGCTCGTAATTTTCGTTCTTCGGAAACATGTTTATCTCGGAGAGAGGATTCTTGGTAAACTATACCTCTTCGTTTTATCGTCCGTTTCTTTAAGCTAAACCAGAAGCTTTTGCAGATGAAAGCTACAAAGAAAAAAGAAAAGTGAAAAATGAAAAATAATGTGCGTTAAATATAGAAGAATGAAACGTAGTACGAAAGGAATAAGCGTGTAGATAAGAATATCCCTATGTATATATGTGGCTGAGTTCTCGACTTCATTGAACTTGTCCAGATATTAAGAAGAGTTTCATTATTCGACGAATGAACAGTTCGTTTGTTCACAAACTGGAGCAGAAGAATGTGTGACGTTGCGTAAGATAAATTACGCGGCTGTTCAGCCGAACAACAGAAAACGTGTTGATGGTATCACGCTAAACATAAGCTTCTCCTTCGCTTTAACATTGAAATATTTATACACCTGGAATGGAAGTACGTCAGAATAGCGGAGAAAAACCGTTCAATGGATTTGCGTAATTACTATTTAAAGTTTTTCTTGAATTTCCTTAGCAATTTGCTCGCCCCCTTAAAAATAACTTTAGTTATTTCATAAATACGCTTCCTTGAAACAAGACAATTCCGACGCATAAGGATAAGCTGGAGACTATATTTTAAATAAACCCATCCATCATTTGCATATTACACATACATATTTCTCTTGAGATTTAAATAACCACTTAATCAATAATAAGGTATTTATACATGCTTTTGTCCAGGAAGAAATTGTAATGTTCAAGCTCACCTTGGTAGATTTAACTTGTTGCAGTTCAGGGACATCAGATTCATCCCCGCTAAGGCTAGATGTGATAGAGCAGTCTGAGATCTTCCGTGTTGGTGGAATGTTCAGAAATACCTTGGCTTTCTCTTCCAGCTCTGAGGAATTGTCCGGTGTGTACTGTACAAACTGAGAGTTTAGCTTGGAGTAATAAGCATCGGGATTATCCAAACAGGAGTTCCTTCTATTTCCTGCCTCGTTATAATTTCTAAAAAAATATTCAAGCATTACGGCTGGCAAGCATTAACAACAGTGCAAATATATAGATGTAGCTAACAATGAGAGGTAAATACCTTATAGCAACTGCATTCATGGAATCAAGACACAGACAGCACGAATCCGAATGTCTTCTACTGCGACAGACCTGTAGGTATTGATTGTCTAGAGACTCTCTTATATCGTCACAATCCAAGCAAGAACAACTGCTCGCTTGACTAGGAGTTCCACTGGTTCCATCGTACTTCTCAACATCCAAGTCGTTTCTCTCTAGCTTCTCATCAAGATAAGAATAATCTGAGTAATCACTGACCACTACGCTCGGAGTTCTCCAATATCTGGGTCTTCCCTCGTTCTGTTCAGACTCGCTTCCCTCTACCATATTTGTGCTGTCCCATCCTGCCAAATGATTGCTCGTTAAGTATATTAAATTTCTGTAAGAATTAATTACCAAAATTTTCTGATTATTTAAAAATTTTTATTTCAAACGTTCCAAGTGTCTAATGTAATAGTAAACAGAGGTATGAACTGCTAATGCATTTGAAGAATTTTAATTGTACCGCCATTACAAATAGAAAATGCAACGGGTCAATAGAACTGCGCGCGTAGAAAAAAAAAAAAGGAAAGGAACGATGATGTCATTGACACAGCACGCGTGGTCAGGAATCGTGTTTTCAATAGAGCGTCTCCCCTCTCTCCCTCTCTGTCGCTCTGACTGTAGAAAGCAACTGGTGGCACGATTCCATCCCCCTCACCTTTTATTTGATCCTCATCGCTCAAGACCGCGCTATCAGAGCTACAGCATCTAGTGACCCGTAGTTTGTGTCGTTTCTGTTGGTGTGTGGTCAGCGATGCGTCCTCGTCGCTGGCCGCGGCCGAATCGAGGCTCCAGCAACGCGCCATGGAGCCTCTCCTTCGTTCAGAGTCGGTCTCTATACCCTCGTCGCTTTGCGGGCTTTTGCTCAGGGATCTTACTACCGGCATCCTGACCGTGTCGAACTCGTCGTAAGTCTCGTTCTCTTCGATCGGATCCACGACGCTTTCCACGACGTTCTGTTGCTTTTTCGACTTCATCGTGACCCCGTTACCGGCGTCTCTCTCACCGAACAACCGTTCGAAACCTCGTACCAACTCGCATACCGATGAACCGCCGTCACTCTCGGTGATGTACTGATTCTCCACGATGCCGACGCGTCGTTTACGCGTGATTTGTACGCCCGAAGACGACGTCCCAGAGTTTTGCTTCCTCGATTTCTCCACGACCGTCTCCTCTTCCGATTCTTTGCCCGACCGTTGCCGCGACAGTTTCTTTAATTGGCTCACTTTCGAAATTGAGGGACGCTTGCTGTCACATCGACCGTTTCGTTTTCGAGAGGATACGCATCGTCCTCTCAACACATGGTTCCTCGTCGTTCGATTTGAAATACGCGAGACGCATAGCGCATCGACTCTGAACCAATCGCAACCACGGCGTCCGCGATAGTAGAGGCCGCCATGTTCGATTCCATCGACCACGCGAGAGGTAGACGAGAAACGTAACCTGATGAGCTGACCCGGTTTAAATAATCGGCTGCAATTCGATTTAAAAGGATCTCTGTCGTCATCTTCCGAAACAGTACGATCTTCTTTACATTTTTTTCTTTCGTTTAACGTAATTCGTTGCTCCTTGCAATTATCGATCATTCGATCCTCCTCGCTGTCCGACTCGTAGATCGAATCTACCCTCTTTACGAAATTCACCTTCTTTTTAAGGGGATTTCTTCTTCCGTTGACTTCGATATTGTTTCGCAATCGATTCGCAACGACCATATCGTTCGACAGGATCGCCTGACTGGAACGAGGTAAACGTTAAATTTCGATAATAAAGTTTCAGCGCCCGCTCTAGGGGCGAGCAACCCGGACGTTTGTTCGGGGCGCCATTTTGGCTGTAAGTGTGAGAAAAATATTGATGTGTTAAATGCGCGATTAATAAAAAATTTCACATATCGATTTTTTCGTTCGCTAAAAATTTACAGTGCCTAGCGTATTTATATTGTTTATGTCTAAAAGCTGAAAATATTTACACTATTATTGAAAAATTAACGCAGAATTTGTAAAGGACGTTTGTAAATTTAAAAGATGTAAGAAAAAAAAGTTTTTTCTGATTTTAGCATAGTTTACCTTGTTTTATTTTCAAAATAATGGCATTTTGATTTTGCAATAATACACATTTTTAATAGCATTTAAAGAATGTAAAAAATTATATGGTTAACAATTTGTGGCTAGGTACAGATATTTCTTAATTAATTTCTACTGTTTTGTACAATACATACTGCTTGATTATCAATGTTACGTTATGTTATATGTTTCTTTCTAAATATATGCTTTTATTAAAATTTAAATAAAATGATTTGATTTTTATTGAAAATAAAAAATATGTACCTGTATTTAAAAAATATACATATATTCTTAAGGGGCGGCAATTTGTCTTTTTGTCCGGGGCGACGTAACCGCTAGAGCGGGCGCTGAAAGTTTCAAAAGTTTCGCAAGTGTTTCGAGTATTTAACAGGTATGTAAGTGTTAATCGTGAAAGAAATATTTCTTTTTTACTTACAGTAACTCATTTCATTCTACTCTTCAACAGTCCTATGTAAAAAAAGAAAAGTATGACAACGAGACCGCTTTTATGGCGACACACGTTCTAGGTGACATAAATTTTTGTAATACCAACACCGTCATTACCAGCTCTTATCTAATCTCAGAATTATACCATTAGACCTAATGTATCTCTATTTCCCATACAAAATGGTCAACACTGCGCGTATAGATAATGATTAAAACAATTGAGAACAACAAATGGTAATACATAATAATGACGACATAGAAACGATAGCGGTTAGAGTCGATGTAAATAATAATTGTGTAAAATGTTCCCGGTGGGCGACGATTACGCGTTGCTTCGGTTGCTTCTTTGTTCCTTGTCGAAAAATAATGTATTTCGTGAAACGAAGCATCAAGCTGGAAACGAGGAGTCAAGGACCGAATATCCGGGTCGAAGAAATTCCGGAGGGAGAGATGCAATGGAAGGTATGCCAGGGTTGCTTCTTGCTCCTTCGATTGACGTCACAAATGCGTCATTGAAGGCAAAGAAACAAGAAAGTGCGATTGAATGATCACGGTTGCAGCAACCGCGTTATATATATATATATATATATGTATTATGCCCCGTTTGGTATCGTTGATTCTTTCTCTTTCTCGACAATCGGTCCATTATCTCGTCAGTTCAAGTGCCCCTTGGCCACTTGAGCCTATCTGTGCTGCTGCGACCGTTCGACTGTTTCATTGTACAAAATAACCGTGCAACGCAACTAGACGGAATTATGATTTTTATTCTCTTCTCTCTTTCTTTTTTTATGTATCGCCCACGCATTAGCTTCTACTGGCTGTGTGTACCTCCTGATTACGCTCGGTATAAAACCCGAGGGGAAGATAAGATTGCGGTACAGGATTCCTGTTAGCTTTTTCCAAGAGGAAACGATGTGTAACACGCAAATAATAGAATTGCATTGATGTAAATTCCATTTAGAATAACACCACTGGTAAGAATTTTACATGTTTACCCGTTATATCCTGATCGAACTAAACTCGTTACTTTGTGAAAAAGAGATAAGAGGGTTTCTATACTTGTTCCGAGACATTTTGATGTAGCAAAGTAACAAGGCGCCTTTCACTTTTCCCTGGTTCAATCGAAACGAAGGGAAGGTTCGACGAACACCGTGGATGGATTTTCTGGAGCTACTGTATTTGAAAATTCGAAGATGACACGAACGAAGGATGGCTAGTCTCGACTAACCCAGGCTCATATTTCTCACGAAATCGGGTCAATGTCGGCTCAAGGCTAATGGAACTCGTCCGTGTTCCAGATAGGCAATAACATTATGTATACGCTTACATTCAATTTTAGGTACACATGATGGTTTAAACGAATCAGTTAGAGAAATTTAGCCAGAATATCTCTGGCTAAAAATGTTCAATATTCCTTCTGGCGATTCATTGTCCTCAAACGAAGAATAAAATATTAGTTATAAGAGATTCATGCAGAATATGTGTTATTAACGTGCAAGAAAATGAACTTGAAAAGAAGAAATCTTATTTAAAACTTTTTATTTCATGTTATGTTCCTTACCTGTCCATTTTGATGCTGTATTCTGCATTTTATTCTCGTTCGATAACATGAAAGCGATCGCAATGAATTTTACATTTTAAGATATTCAAGAAAAATTTGTAGAAGGTAAGAGAATGTAATTAGTTGTTAATACATAACACCTTTACGTCGCGATAAAATTCGATTTTTACAATTGAAATTAAAGTAGTTCAGCCAGACGCCTTCAACGCTCATTGTCGTTTCTTGTCCACGGGTATTTAATTTTTGAATCGGTGGTAATTGAGAAAAGCAATGTATGCAATGATTGTACGTCAATCGTAGCTGATGGCCGACTGAACTCGAGTTTTGAACTTGACCACTCTGCGGTGACCACCTATACCCGAGTTCCTGTGTAAAAGGAGGGGATCGATTGCATTGAAATCGCTTCTCCTAGAAGGGAAGCTTTCCCACCTACAATTGACGCAAGTGTGTAGTTATGATTACACCTGTAACGCTACAAGCTTTCCATGCCCCTACCATGACCGTGCTAATTTGTTTTTTCTCTTCTGACCGTGAAAATATTATGAAGTTCATGGTTTCAATAAACACGACCACCATTAAAATGATGCGATAAAAATATCTTTCATTCGTTCTCAAGTAATAGTACATTTTATCAAATTGAAATACTTGGTTTCTATCGTCTAGTTGATGTTACAACATAGTAAAAGTAGTTTCTGTTGAATTGGTCAAATTAAAAATTATACTTCTTTTATAGTACTTCGTAGAATCGAATGTCGGAATGTTCATTAGGGTCTAAAATCAATGATCCAAACACTTGTGGTTCTCTTGTAAATTTTTCTGATTCATAAGGTCTCAACCATTTACTTATTGATATTCCAGTTTTTAAAGTTTTAAACGTTGTTTCTATAGGAGGCCTGGTAACGAGAATTGTTCCACTTTGAATGTTTGCCTTCAGAAATTTCCAGATTTCTATGTGCACTGACTCTGCTACGTAAAATTCAAAAGGATTATTCATGATAATGATATCACTTTTTTGTACAATTTCTGGACATTCCTCGATTCTTTTATTTACGATCTCAATGCGGTCATTCATTTTATATTTATGTACTATATCATACTGTAACATGCAAAGTTCTTTGTTCATTTCAACTCCAATAATTCTTTTAGCAGATGTCACTATATGTGCCTGAAAATATATTAACGAATAATAATAAATATATATTTCTTGATACCACAATCAATTTGTCTAATAAAGATAAAATTACCCCGTACAAAACAGCACCTAATCTTGATCCTATGTCGAGCACAGTCTTATTCTCTAAAGATGGTAAAACAGTATGAAGTATGTACAACATACCAGATACTGATAGAGAATGAGATATGATATCTAAAATGAAGTTTCATTTGTTTTAGTTAATCACAGAATAAAGGACATAAGGAATATATTAATAATTTCTTACTATATTCTTTCACATTATTAGATCCACAGTTGGCGCAATATAAATTATCCACTTGCCCTTGTTCTATGAGTTCGTCAACTTCCTTATTATCATAAAGAAATGCATCAACATGAATTGTTGATGCATCATCACAGTCTGAATTCTGAAGAGTTATTGAACCGATGATACTTCCCTTGTATAATTACCTCACAAATATGATGTGTAACATTACTTTTTATAATATTAAATAGCAAACCTCTCCAATCGTTGGTGGTACAATCTGTTCTGTTGGAAGTATACCATCGAATGGTACTCTGTTTCTAATGTCAAGGACAATATTTTTTAAACTTCTTAACTGATCTTCTTCTATGCTGCACTTATTATGACAACCATCTATCAACAATGTAAATTCTATTAAATTTCTCTATATTTATTTGTAATGAACATCTGAAATGTTATCATACCGGTACAATTTTGTGAAATGGATTGAATCTTTGCTTCTTCAGGCTTCCAATTATCAGCTATAAATGATAAAAATGTTTGTTGATCAACTGCATTTAACGAACGTATAATGTCCGTAAACTTTTTTATAGCTTCTTCAATAGACATTGTAGAGTTTCTGTTAGTTGAATTCATTGATCTTAATATTATCCTAAAAATAGCAAGCTATTTTGTTTACAAGTGGTACATACATACGAGTATGTTGATACATGTGCATTTGTAATAGGTTATGTTTGCCAAAGCCCCATATTTGAATTTTGCACTAGGAAAAATTCACTAGAAATATACGTGTCCACACGTGTCGGCTGTGATGTAGCACAGCCGACTTCAAAGTGAAACGATAGAGACATCAGGTGTCGAACTTGGTATTTTAGGTAATATATGTAACATACAATTATAATATATTATGTATACACTTATAAGACATCCTAATAAAAAAAAATATATATTTCTCAAATACACAAATTGGTTTTTATTTCAATTTTGCTGTCGAATTAAAGTATGATAAGTCTTATATGTAAAAGAAATAATCTCCAAAAAACATTCAGAAAGCTATTTTATTAAAGTGTAGTAGAACTAAAATGATATTTTTCGAAGAAATGCTTCAAACATAAAGGCTTTCGGCACCGAGCACAAGTAATAATAGCCATATGTGGTTCATTTTCAGATTGATAGTCGCAATACTTCTAATTGTTTATTATCTGATGTAGCTTTTTCTATATGTCCACTACAGTATCCACTCAACGAATGGAATAGTAAAGCGATTGTTTATAAAACATTTACTTTAAAAATAAAAATATCTTGTAACCTTTGTGACCTTCGCTCGTATAGTCTTATAAATTTTTGTTATTTATATACGGAACTCCCACCAATCGCGCTACGACCACGTGATTTATCGTATAACAATGAGCCAGAGTACGTATATAAAATCGGTGAATGCAGTGACTTTTTACTTTGTCCAGTATTTGAATTTAAGACGTTTAGTTACCGAGACGGATAGAAGTTACATTCTGGACGAACTTTGGCGTTGAAAAGTACGAAGAAAGTAGAAGCGGTAATACAGTCAATTCCATCCACTACTCATAGCTACACTATACAACCTACAATATCTGCAAGCGGAAAACTGCTATCTCCTCTCTTTGCCGTGTTAAAGGAAACATCTGGAGAGTTTGGACCTAGGGTACAACAAACTATGTTTAAACCAACGAACATTTTGGCTACCGCGTCAACATCTGGAAAACTGACCAACGAACATTTTAAAATTTGGTTAAAAGAATTTTACTATCCTGATATAAACGAGAAGACTGCTTTACTATTAGATTCTTGGAGTGGAAATTGTAGTCATAGTATTGTGGAAGCTACACTGGAAAATAAAGAATTAGTAGCATTTACGATTCCAGCAGGGATTACAAAATATTTACAACCATTAGACGTGTACGGATTTCGTGTGTGGAAAAATTGTGTTCGCCGGTTTTCGGACACAGTCATCCTATTACATTACGAGATTAATCTTCACACGAGGGACAATATTTTAAAACTTCAGTCGCTGGCTCATAATCAATTTTCTTCCCCACGATTTGAAAACTTTATTAAATATTCATGGTATAAAAGTGGATATGTACCATCGAGACCACCTCATTTTGAAAATCCCGTGGAGTTTTGCTATGCTGCAGATAATGAACCACGATGTCACGTATGTGGTGATGTAGTTATTATTATATGGTTATGTGCTCTACATTTTTTGTCATTACATAAATTTAAATAAGTTGTAAAATAATGTTATAAACATTTTTTTTGTTATAAACAAATTGTATTTTCGACAATCTGTTAACACCATATTATTGTATATAAAAAACCATTAAATCCGCCCATTAGAAGTTTTCACGTATCTCTTTTGGTTTTCGAGATAGTAGTTTCAGGTCGAAACTTTGAGGGGCGTTTCAGCAGATATAAAAAAATACGTGTTCCTTATTTTTACCTGCTTAACAAATGTACAATGTTTTTGAGTAGAGCCAACTGTTTGTCTACTGTTGGTTTATTGTATGTACCTGGTCAAGAGATGGCTCTACGGAAAGAAATCTTCAATTGGCCCTACGTATCAAAAGTAACGTGCGATTTACTATCACTAACGTAATATTTCTGGTTAAATATTTATATTGAACGAAGAGTATGTATATAAAACTTAAATATTAAAAAAAATATCAATAAAGGAAGCAGTTCAACTCCTTTTTTTAACTGCTTCAGAGAGAAAAAAATTTGTGTAATTTTTAATCTCCTCCGCGGTATGATCTTTTCATCCAGTTGCCATCTGTGACAACTGCGATCCACAATATAATTATATATACATAACACATATATCCTGGAAGTACATACTACTTGTAGGAGAGAGAAAGGACGTTTTTTTTTGTCTCGGGGATCGGGGGATGGTAGTAGGTGGAATGGGATTCGTAACGTTCCTTCGAGCCGATCTTACTGCCGAACGCGTCAAGGAGAGCTTCGCTCTAATAAAAATAAATGATTAGCAAAAATGATTAATTAAGGCGGCGTTGACAATTTCTTCTTAATGGACATTTTCTTCATTGTTGACCTCGATGCCGGCCGCCACAGTCTGTGGCGGCCGTTGTCGATAAGGAAGATTGAAGATTATTCTCATCGCCACCTTTTTATAACTACATTTATTGTTCATTTGTCATTTTAAACAAATTAGAATAACTTTTGTAACTATTCATTTCCTCGCCAAATTCTCCAAGCGTAAAGACGTCTCAACCTTTATATCAATATTTCCAAATATATATTTTTATAATTGAAGCGTTGACCATTCATTTTAAATACGGAATAAGTCCTCCACAAGTCCTCCTGAGTAGCCGCCATCTCCTAACCACTAACTGAACTAAATTTGTCACGTGACTTGCTCTGTATTATCCACAAAATGGTGGAACTGGTATGTGGAAATGCAATCACGATTTTTCATTTTTCGTCCTTGTATGAGAATATTTGAAGCTGAGTGAGAGCTCATTCGAAAGAGAAAGGTTCAGTGCAGCGCGCTCTAGTCATCGTTTGAGTCACAAAACTCTTTTAGTGACTTAAAAATACCTTGGATTCTGCGGATATATTTTCTCGATTCTTTCTCTACTTTGGTTACTCATATTATTAGATATTAACAAAATCTCGTTGAATCATGTCCAGAGCGCGCTGCATTCAACCTTCCTCTTTCGAACGAGCTCTCACCCAGCCTCAAATATTCTCATATAAGGATGAAAAACGAAAAATCCCGGATCCCTTTTTAGGCCCATTTTTGCCGGTAATGTCAGCTTGCTGCATTACCCCTGTCTACCCCCCATGAAATCTTTTGAAGTTTTCTTTTCTTGATTTTGTTACATTATCAATTACTTGTCCTGTAAAATTTTATCATGTTTATTAAAAAAAAAAAATTAAGTACATAAAATGTCGTTATAGATGTATAGGTATATAAATAATTAATCTTAACGTTACTTTGTGTAGGCAAGATGTAAGGCACATGTGCTCTTCCATAAAATCTGAACCATTGTAGTATATACAAAATTTCTTTCTTCATTCGCTTGCAAATTGTTCGCTCACCTTCTCAGATCATTGCGATTACTTTCAAGAAGTACAAAAGATTTAAATAATTAACTTTATATTAAAAGTATGTATATATAAAACGCACATAGCGTCAAAAAATTGTTACAAATACTTATTTACAAAGTTTTGCATTTTTCTCCTCTGATATCGAAATTCTATCCAATAAAGATTCTCATATTTTTCTGAAACTTGATTCATTGTAAAGCTTGATTACCGCCAAGAATACAATATTTATCATTAAACAAACCGAGAAAGATGATTGCATCTAGATCGAAGCTAGGTAAATACTGTTATTACAAGTAAACTTTTGTTATAATATATAACAAATACTGTTAGCGACGTATGAGTGAAATAGAATTCTACCATTCTATCATTCTATGTAGCAATGCATATGGGATTTATTCTATAATGCGTATGAGTTTGATCAATGATAGTGTACAAAATAAAACACGATACGATGATTGAAAAATTTTCGATATCCTCATCAGTAACTTTAAAATTGTACGTGTAAATATAAGACACGTAACACAGCTGTCTTTTTTATCAGGCACAATTTCAATTCGTGTCTTAATTCGACATGTAGAGCTACTAATAATTCGCGTATTTACAATATGAAATAATGGACGTTAATTAATTTAAATTAGGAAACAACATAACGTGTAAAAAGCTGCCTGGAATAAAATTAATATATATAAAAAAAAAAAAAATCTTTAAACGATGAGCTTGTACGCGAATCAAAGTTTTCCATTCACGCGGCTTTAATTACATCTAAGTTCATTAATTATCGACCACGAAACGGGTAAGAGATACAAGATAAAGAGAAAGAGAGATATCAAACAGGTACGTATTAAATTTAAATGTACCCGTTTCACAGTCGAACAATTAATCTTCTAATTCTATGTTGAGCTTTCAAGACTGGTATTTGTCGTAGAAAAAAAAAAGAAGACTTAAAAACTGAATGCATAGGATACAAAATCACTAGACGAATACGCGTCTAACAGTTCTCTGAAATATTTGAGCATACCTATTACACAACACCCTGTAAAAAAATGTCTTGCAACAGCTTGTTCGTTATAAACCTAAAGGTGGCTAAAGTCTATAAGTAAGGAAGTTCTCACTAACAATAAGAAGCATCTCGTTTGAAATGACGCGTTCTCATCCAGTTTCTTTCTTTTTTTCTTCCCGTCGTAGAATCTCGTCGCTTCTCTTCAGAATAATAAATGTTAAATTGCATGAGTAGATTGCAATGTATCCGTAGTTAAGGACGATACTGTGTTTCATAACATTCGCGTAATGTTGTTCATAGAGGTTGTTCGATAGGCAGCGATCCTTGTAGCAGAGGAGGCTCGGTATACGACGCGTTCACGTCGGTTGTTCCAGCTGTGTCGCTGTTGTTATGGTTGTTGCTGTTGTTGTTTTGGCCATTTAGAAACGAGGCCATTTCCATCGGCGATTGTTGTTGCCCGCTCTGTTTAGAAACATGCGTGTTCGTTTCGCTTCTTTCAGATCTCAAACAGCGTGTAAGTAACGTACGCGTGTGTTCGGAAAATAAAACTAAAGAAAAGCGGCTCCAGAGAGAGTGCAGAGAGCGAGTAGAATTAAAGAGCAGCACGCGACCAATGCTAAAGCTAGGAAAGACTAGTCTCCTTAATATCGAATAGTCTGAAAGCAGAAACACGTTAGTCGAATGTAAATACAGATATTGCGTGCGAAAGTGCATAGGGGAAAAAAAAAAAATAGCACGACAGAGGTGTGAACATCCGAGCATCCATTGTATAAGCGGCGATGCATACGATGAGAGAGAGAGAGAGAAAAGATGTAAGAGGAGTTTCTCTCTCTTTTCAATACCGGAGAAGTGGGGAGAGCCTGCGCAAGAGCCTGCGCGATATGGTTTAAATGCGCAGACGACGCTAATGTAGTATAATAGGGGAAATGACGAACCGGCGTGAGGAGATGAGGAGAAGTGCTCCCCACTTCTCCGAGATTGAAAAGAGAGAGAAACTCCTCTTACATCTTTTCTCTCTCTCATCGTATGCATCACTGCTTATACAATGGATGCTCGGTCTATACCTACTATGTCTATGGGTGTAACGTGCCAATTTGAAAAGTGTAGTATCCAGAGGTGTGCGGGTACTCGTAATTTACAAGACGAGCTGAACTCGCTTCGATTGTTCGAGCCGAGATGAGCGATAGAATTTTGCCGAATTACTCGAAATCGGCGAACTGTTTGAAACAAAAGCGAGCTACTCGAATATTCGAGCCGTCGTAAAACTTCAATTTACTTGAAAATGAATTTTCAGCTCGAATATTCGAGTAATTCGATTTTTTCGAATAGCTCGCTTTTGTTTCAAGCAGTTCGTCGATTTCGAGTAATTCGGCAAATTCAAGCGCTCGTTGACCGATCATTGTTTGACTCGAAATTCGAGTACTCCCACACCTCTGGATTATCGTAATTCGGGCGAAGTTCCTAGTTTAATTTAATATCAAGCTTTTATCACCGAAGCTTTTATCAGTGAAGTTAATTCGTGAAATTACGGACTGACACTATAAATTAACACCTAGCGCTCCTATCAATCCATTGACCGTGCGGAAGAGTCGAAGGACACATAGGGGGAGCTAAATACGATGAAGGATTTCTATTAAATTCTTGCATACAGGGTGTCCCAGAACTGGTGGGATAGGACCCGTGGAGGGATGATTGCTGAAGTCATTCTGAACAACTTTTTCCTTTGCCAAAATATTGGTTAAGGCTTCGTTTTTGAGTTATTAACGAAAAACACTGGCCAATCAGAGCCAGTGCGAGGCAGGTTCAGCGCGTTCCCCGGAACCCGGCCTCGCGATCTACAAAAATTCGCGGTTGAAACTAATAAAAAATTATCTTCAGTCATCAATAAGCCAAAACCGATTTACATATCTGGCTATTCTTTCAATAGAAAGCGAAGCAGCAAACTCCATCAATTTTGATGAAACTCCAGCAATCAAAGATTTTGCGACGAAAAAAGCGAGAAAAATTATGTAATATTCATTTTACAAAAAATATATGTAACATCCTTTTTACTTATAATAAATAATTCCTTATTGTGAAATTTGAAAGTATAGGATTTGAATGTGTATTCTGGCTCCAGAAAATTTTTAAACCAGGCCCCGCAAAAGGTCACACCAGCCCTGGTGTTGGTTATGCTCTGCGTTCAAGCCGTGATCGTAATCAAGTGCATCAGCACCACGTCGGTATAATAGGATTCGTTGTGCAAAAGTTGTATCGAATATTAAATTAAAAAACGAAAGGAATAATAGTATCGAATTATTGATTGCTGATAAGCAACGAATCCTATTACACCGACGTGGTGCCGATGCACTTGATCACGACCACGGTTTGAACGCAGAGCATACCCAACACTCTCGCGATTCGGCCTGCGCTAAAGGCGCACTCTGATTGGCCAGTGTTTTTCGTTAATAACTCGAAAACGTAGTCTTAACCAACATTTTGGCAAAGGGAAAAGTTGCTTAGAATGACCTCAGCAATCATCCCTCCACGGGTCCTACCCCAGTTCTGAGACACCTTGTATAAAAATACCATATCTGCTACGAAATTTGATCTTTTGATCCAAAAACCGGAACTTCGCACAGAATTACAATCAGACAGACAACACACACGCATACATACTCACACGACAGTATGAATAACCGCGATCACAAACATCGGAAGACGTACAGCGTGGGCCACGTACTAATAAGATTGCAGGGTTGGGAAGTAACTCGTTATTTTTAACGAAGTTACAGTTACGGTTGCTTATTTTCGGTAACTCTAACTTAACTTCGTTCTTTTTTTCCGTCTGTAACTGTAACTGTAACTTAACTTTAATTACATATTTTTGGTAACTAGTAACTATTTTAATAGTTAGTTTAAAAGTTACTATTTAAAAATGTCCCTATTTAGAAGATTTATTAGGAATCCGTTCTGCTGAGAGTTCCCCAATTCTTGAACAAAATCTCGATGACCACGATGACTTTCTTGTTTTTAACAAGCAAACCAAAGAAATTAAATCTGTACAAGAAGAATTGTATCGGTTCTTAAAATCGAGTAACTGCAATATCAGTATGTTAAAATATTGGGCATTATTTATGGGCAATAATACAGCAAAATATTGGGTATTATTGAGTATTATGCGTAACTTTATTGAATTATAATTGCAGCAAAAAAAAAATAAATTTATCAGTGGTCCGGGATCCTTTGACACATTTTTATTTTTTATTTTTATTCCAAAAAAGTAACTGTCAAGTAACTCGTTACTTTTTTTCAATAACTGTAACTGTAACGAGTTACTTTTTAGAATTGGTAACTTGTAACTGTAACTAGTTACGCTTTTAGCGAAAAAACTGTAACTGTAATTAGATACTTTTATAAAGTAACTTTCCCAACCCTGTAAGATTGTATTTACGTTCGCATAGTGTATTTTGTTTTTACTTGAAGGGAGAAATCGAATGACCGCAGGAGAGATTGAAATTTTGCTCTTGAAACAAGATAGCAGTGATATAAATCTTTTGTTTTTCGATTTTCTTTCTTTTTCGTTTAAATCACAAAATCACAAAATCACAACCCTCAGTCATTCTCTTCCTCTGACAGAGCAAAGTATTGTTATTGCTACTTACAAATACCGACCTTAGGCTGTATTATATCTTCAGACGCGTCAAGACCAGCGAGTGGATTTGAAGTTATATTTATTTTGGAGTCAGTAACTCCGCCGTTCATTACTCTTCCGTTTGTTATCGGTTTTCCTAAAGAAAAGAAAATATTTTAAAAGAGCCGATGTTTATATTTTTGTAGTATTTTCCGTTTAATTCAATTTACCTTCGCTTTGCGAGGATTCTCGACTTTGTTTATGTTTAGTTCTTTTATATACCACTGCTATTGCAGTCAAGCCACCCAGCAGAGTGGTGCCACCAAGAACTCCGCCGATAATCGCATACATATTCACGTTTTTATCCTCTGCTGGCCTTACTCGACTATCTAACGTTAAATTACTACCGTGATTACTACCACGATTATCCTCGCTACGATCATTGTTTTCATTTACAGCCTTCTTTGTTTTTTGTCGGAGAATTTGTGAAAATTCCGAGGCAGCATCCACCGAGAAACTTTGCACTTTAAATTCGTACGTTGTGTCAGGTTGCAAATGAGAAATAGTTATGTTATAAGACTCCTTTCCTTCCACTGTCGTTTTTACGTAATCTCCAGCCGAGCTCGAGGCTCGATGGTACACGTAAAAGCCATCAATGTCGGCCGATTTATCCGGATTCTGCCAAATTAACAGTACTTCCTGTGCCCCTAAAGCCTCGGTGTTCGTCAATAAAGGTATAGGCATTTTATTGCTTTCGAATTCTCCATTTTTATTCAAATGAAAACGCGCCGAATTCGGGCTCAATTTGTTATCGTTATTCGAATAAACTGCAGCGATTCTGAACCGATAAGTATGATTAGGTTGCAGATCCGTCACCTCAAAAGACCGTACGTGTTTCGATATCTCCGAATTTGCTGTCATCCATTTCGCTTGCTTGCCGTTCATCTTTTGTCCAAGTTCCCTGTACTGAACTTTGAAAAACTGTATTGGCAACCCTGTGTTTTCAGGCACAGACCATCTAACCATCACGGACACGTCCGAGAGCCTCGTTACGTTCGGTTGATTTGGTGGTACTAACACTGCTGAAAATTTTAAATACGCTTTTAAAACATCGCAATTACTAATGGTCACCTATACGAATGGTGCAATAGATTACCAGTGCCTTTTCGTTTCCCTTCCTTGTTCCTTCTTCTGCCTCCTACTTTGGTATGCTTGTGCCTTGAATTAGAAATCTCATAGTTTGGCCTCGATTCAGACATACCAATATGTTGCTTAGGATTAACCCAGAGCAAATTGCAACCAGAATGAGAGCCATACTCGTTGCTCGCAACACATTGGACAATACCAGCGTGTTTCTTCTGAACCTCAGAAATTAGCAGCGTAGAACCTTTGATCTCCACGTTATCGCTGGGTGTCAAAGATTCTCCGTTAATCAACCATTCAACTTTTGGCTGTGGTTCACCGGTTACCATGCAGGACAACTCCAATTCTCCGCCTTCGGAAAATGTTGATGCCTTTGGCGCTCTAATCACTTCCGGTGCTTCCATTACCTTTAATATGATCACAGACTTGATATGCGCACCATTGCTACTCCATATACAGTCGTATTCTCCCCTGTCCGTTGGTTGGACCTTAACTATCGTTAAGCCCATCGAAGTTTTAGTGGAATTCGGTGGCAGTGGACTACCGAGTCTGCTCCAAGTTACGTGCGGTACCGGATAACCAGCACCAAAGCACTCCAGAGTCACATTTTTCCCTTTCAAGACTTTGTACTCCGTTTGTGGCTGTTTAATAAAATATGGCGCTTGAAAGCTGGTATTTGAATGCACGTTCAATATGGTCTTATGATTGCTGGTATAAGTCTGACTGCTTATATAATTGGTAGCGGCACAGTGATACAATCCACTGTCCGACACTTTAGCATTCTCAATAACCATAGTTTTACTACCAATTACATCGTCTCTTTGCATAACATTATTTATTATCGTATTGTCTTTATAAAATTGAACTATGGCATCCGGAGCTGAATAAGGCACAGGGCATGTAATAGGTACAGTATTTCCTGCTGCAACGTTTATAACAACATCACTCTTGTCAGAGAACTTGTGTAGCGTTGCGAGTGTTAATCGTGCTGGATTAGAAGCCAAACCGCTCGAACCTACATAAAAGCATACAAATAAAAAATGTAACTCTTGAATTGCAACATGTACAAATTAAAAAATTATACAAATGAAAGTTTACCATAATACGCTATGCAACGATAATCCCCTGATTTTGATTCGTTATCAAAATTCACCACGTGTCTGGAAGTTTTACCACTATTGCTAGGTGTATGGACAACAGGCAACCATTTATCTGACCCCAATGGCCTGTGACGCCATGAAAATCGATCCGCACCAAGGTTTAGATTGCACTCAAAATTCACGTCATCGCCAACCGGTGCTTCTAAGGGTTGAGGGTGTCTCGTGAATGACATACCCAGCTCCTGCCTTTGACCTGAAATAATGAAAGAAATTTTAATAACTGTAAAATCTCATGCACCGTTCTAAACCTTTTGCTTTGCATTTTTTACTTAGGAATGGAAAAAGGAGATTTATTAAAAAGATACTCACCGTGCGCACAGCCAGCTAAAACATGGAGGAGCGCCGTGACGACGCCACATAGGGAGGACACAGGTCGCATCTTGACACATTCTGCAATCAAGGAAGAGGGAAGATACGTTACGTTAGCCACATACTTCGCTTCTCGGCGGTCGTTTTTCCGACCTCGTTCTCCGGGATGGGATGGGATGGGATGAAAACTCGCGATGAGCCAAAGCGCCAGCCTGACGAGAGCCCACTAAAATTAATGCCGGCCAAGCACGTTTAAGTTTAGAACCTGGCGAGTTCACGTGAAAATAGCACAGATTCATTCTAGTTTTGATCGGTACCCGTCATTTCGCCACGAGAACGTTCCTCTTCCAAATGTGTTGCTAATTCCAACCAGAGGAAAGGAGACGCGCGATATACGGAACTTCGGAACGAACTTCATTTTAAAAGCTCTTGTCAGGCTAATAGAAAATAAAAATACGTCAATTCGATGTTAATTATATTTAATGGACGTCGAATTGAGCATTCGACAAAAGTCCAAACGAATGCAATGGTTTTTTGCACTGCTATACCTTATAGAAGCAATAACTTTTTTTAACCCTTAAAACGAAACACTGTCTTTAATTCGTAATTAAAGTATTAACCGTAGTGTAAGTTTTACTTTTGGCTATATTACCTTGGTCCATTCAAAGTATGAAAAAAAAAAATAAAAAACAGAAAAAAGTAAATCCACGCGCTTTTTAATGACATTTTAAATTGACGAATTGTTTTGGCGCGTCCGAAGAAGTTCGTGAAAGTTTGGAGTGACAATAAAATTAAATTTTTTGGAGATTTATTCTTGCTAAAAAGATATTTTATAGGTGAGTAACTGTATTTTATGCTAATAAGCGTTTTTTTACTAAAATACTGTTGGTATTCCACTGGTTTTTTACTTGATTCATCTGTTTCAAAAATGATACGGTATGCAGAACTCATGCAAAAAATTAAAACCTACATACTAATTTTTTTTTTTTTTTTTTTTTTTTTATATTCTTGCATAAACCTATATAATAATCTACATATAATAGATTTAAGGGTTAAATGTTTTTCTGTTTTTGAAAATAACCGCCAAGAACATTCGAGCTATGCATTCGAGATAATTCGATATAACATCTGTTTCGATACCTAGTGGATATCGCACTTTGTATCGAATATGTTCGAGAATAGAGATGGCGTGCAAAATCGCTAACGGTGATTTATCACAGTGGTCGTGATTTTCTTATCTTGGATGATTACTTATCGTAATTTTTGATCTTGATTCAACTATTTTTTTATAAAATTCTTCAATATAGTAGCTTGTATAGAAATATCTGCACAGAACGTTCAGTTAGTCATAAGTTTTGGCTAGTTAAAGGTTACCCCAGTTAACTACGATTTTTACTTTCCACCAATCAGAAGAGAGCATGAAAAATCACGAATCACTGTGAAAAATCACTGTGATTGAGAAAGAACCTGATCAAATCACTTGATCGATTCATATTTTTCTCTTGATTTTGAAGACGGCATTATGTGTATCTAGGGGGCTGGCTGCTGGCTAACTGGCCCCTTCTTTCTGCCCAACGAAAGTTAGCGTGTCCACGCGCACATGTGCGCCTTTTTTCAAATCTAGTCTAATTTTAGCTTTTTTACACATTACTTCTTTATATATGTGCCATAACTCTTATTTTCCATTCACACATTTTCGCTTTATTCATTTTATTCATTTTCGCTATCCCCGCGCTATTCGTTGCCAACAGCACACGGTAACCCATCTTTTGGCGAAACCGTGCCCACTTGTTGCTTGACTTCGGTGATCTTATCATATGGCCTAAGTGGCTATGGCTGTGTTGACTCAAATCACTTGTAATTCACAAGTAACAGTTCTAGCCATCGCTAGTTCGAGAGAGCCGAACAAACAGAAGTGCCACAATGATAACATGAAAATGACCATATACGGTGACGAAAACCGTCGTTCATTGCACGCACCGCTTTCCACCCACGTGCGGGCGCCTAACCGTCGCGAGTGACGATCAGAAAAGCATGCTGACACGTTGAAGATCGATGGAAATTATGTGTTGGCTAACGCGCGCTATAAATGTAGGCAGATCCAATGATGGGGTTACACACTGTGTGCCGTTCGCCTACGCCGACACTTTAAACGCATATGAAATTAACGCTGCAATTCTCTTATATCGAGAAACTTTCATTTCTACGATTTCGCGCTCGTTAAGAAACGAATTCGGTGCCATTCGAAGGATCTGTTGTCGGACAAAGCATTTCTCTCGTCGAAGTCAAAATCGCAGAGTAGAAAAAAAAGCACGCACACGTTTGCCCGATCGGAGATGTAGTTTAACGTGTTTTAATGCACTGGAGGACTCTTAACTCCTGGTTAAATGGTAGCATAAATGCCGGTGGTATGTAACAGGTGAGAAGGGTTCCAAAGAGGCTGGTTTCCGACGTTGCCTCTCATAAAAATAAAGAACTCGAATTCCAAAGCAGTGGTTGTCAATCCCCTTTGCCCCGCGCGAACGATCCTCCGCGCAACCTAACCTTACGGACCAGCCAATGCCACCCAGGTTACGAACACATGCACCATCCTAATAGCTAAATAAGACTTAGACTTGTTTCTACAACCTGTCGCCGGGCATTAATTCAATTCCGAAATCTTCTTTTCTGCCACGATCTTCATAACCGATCAAAGGATCCAAGTACAAAGCGTGAATTGAGTTCCACTTTCACGGACCCGCGAGAAGGATGTTGCTGGCCAAAATACAGAAAGATCTGTATGATCGAACTCCTCTCGGCTTCGTACGAAGTGTAAAATTTAACGATGATGAAAATCACGATTTTTTACTGTTCATCACGTTGCCAAAACTAAAACTTAACCTAATATTAAACAAAAATATTTCTCGTAAATAAATTTACAAATTCAAATGAATTCTTTTTTTTTTTTTTCTTTTTTAGAATGGAAGGGTTATTAAACAGGATTCCTGTTTGAAAAAGGAATCGAAGTTGATGCTAATCTTCAGCATAAGTAAGCTGTTCCGTTTGCACGTAACAAACAGGAACCAGGAAGATCAGGTTCCGTTGATCGAACACATTCGACAAGTGGATCCTTCCTTTTAGCGATCGTCGATTAATCACGCAACCATTTATTCTTCTCACATAGCTGTCGTTACGTTTTTGACAAGACGCAGGAGTAATTTCATTTTCTTCCTCGGCATGCACACCGATCGCCAAGCAAAACGAGCGAAGAATATTTAGCCGTATATGTGTCATACGCTATTTTAATCTACTTCCCATAGCACCCACTTATCCGACCGTTAATCTCTCATTTTTAAACTATAACTTTGTCAATATCATTGTAATTTTTTCAAAGAATTAATATTTAAGTCTTCATGCTTTTTTCAATGACGCCATCGTTATTACGCCGGTATTAGCGTTCGATTTACAGGTACGTATTATCGGTGAGAAGTTGACAATTCATTTATATGGTAACATATGCATATTAAAAGTTATTCGACCGGAATTGGTATTAAGCTTTAACCGGAACGAACATAACAAATATACATATCGGGAACGCAGGCGCATTAAGTAGCGCGGTATTATCCAACGTAGTATTTTTTTGAATTGTTAAACAATTTTTAACAATCGCTCATTTATCATAATATATGTATATACATATGTATATACATGTATTATATACATATATGTTTTGTTAGCTCACCCCTTCCGGCAGGTGACTTCTACAGCGACACCATAAATGAAATTTTTGGTGATAAGTAATCTGATACGATTTCAATTTCAATCGCAACAATCAACTTGAATAAAATGTTTCGTAAGGCATGAACTTATAAAACACTATGGGGATCGACAACAGGGAGGAAGAAAACAAATATCGTCGTACTTGATACACTCACCCTTTTTCCTTCGATCCAACTGTACGATCTATTCGTTCCAGATCCTTTGGATTTTCCGGCGACTGACTACGATCTTCCTCGCAGAGGAATACGACGAGTTCGTTAATAATTTATACCGATGAATCGCTTCATTTTTTTCAGCGATCCTTTCAACGGGTTCAACTTCCTACCAGAATACAACGCTTGGCGTCCACCAGCACACTGGAATGCAGACCGACAGGTTTTGAACCGCGATAAAGTATAGTAAGTAACGACGTGTGCCTTGATCTAGGTAGGTACTAGCCTGCAGGTTGGTACTGCATTGAAGTGTCACGTGATCCACTCTTGTTTGAAATATACAAGTGGAATTTATGATTTTCTATCATAGTTAATTGCATATTTCATACTTTAAAATGAATAAGTGCTTTTAACAATCATCCATTTTGCGTTATATGCAATTAACTCGAGTTTCTTCCATTTGAAGTGCAGTAATTTTCCATCGTAATTTCGAAAAACGTGCGCCGATTATTTCTGCGCATACCGCCACATTTGAAATATCAAAACGCGCTACATTCGAATTTATAAAAAACAGGAATGTCTATTGTTACATTAAAGAATAAAATTTAATTCATGTGCGTGCAGTATGATAGACGTAAATAATTTAAGAGAGTTTAAATATAGAAATATATATTAATATATTATATTCAAATTAACATGGATTAACAACAATCGATCTTTGCATTTTACATGTTTTGCATTCAATAACTTCATTCATGATTATATTATGTATAATGTTATAGCATATTCGACAAGGTTGCAAATTTAAATAATCAACTCCGCTTACATTTAATTTTTCACATTTTTTTCATTAATAAAGTTCGGTTTTGGTTACAATCTAAAATATTAAATATTCTACTCAATTATATAAGCAAGGTCAAAAACTTAACAAACATTTTACAATGGACTTCGTTTAAAATGAGTAATAATTATATTATCAATAATAATAATAATAATAATAATAATAATAATAATAATATTATATATTACGCTAACAAAATTCGTACAATATACAATATGTAGATACACATATAAATAAACATCTGTTCCTCAAAATAAATGATTTCTGCGTTTGGCACGATGTCATGTAATGGAAGCAAATTAAACACCATGTTACATTTTGATTGTCCGTGGCTAGTTGCGATGAAATATATGATTTGCTTCGTACATTTGCTTTTTGGTGTTTTAATTATCGATGGTGTTTTATCTGAGTCAACCGGTCACATTTAACAGTGATAATCAATGATTCAGTGCCATGAGAAATAATAATTTTAACGCTTTAAAGGATCACTAAGAAAAAAGAATGATATTTCTATCATGTATAAGCTATAACAATATACAAAAAATACTCAATAAATTAGTTACTTTATATAATTATTTGTTTGATGATTTTTACACTTAGTAGTCTCTATACAAATATTACACTGATTTATAGGTGTTTCCCATTGACCGGCTGACCAAGAGTATTTTGCCCAATATCAGGATGTACTGGTGTATTGCTTTATGTTGCATCACTAACCGATTACTCTAATTTGTGACGGATCGATTAGCTACATCACTATTTACTATAAATGGCATCCCACCCCCTAGTTAATTAGATTAGAATAAACTACGTGGAAGAACAGATCTTCAGTCATAGCAAACGAAAGCTAGACTAAAAGTTTCAACAGATAGTGAAAACTGTGATATTACTTTCAATATATATATATATATATTATTAATTTAAAGATGCCAGTTTATCCATCTAGATCAGAATGTTTAGGTGTCAGCAAGAATGCCAATTAATATTATCAGAAAACCATGGGAACACCTTTTCCTTTATCTAACTGATAAAACTTATAAAGCTCTAAAACTTCTGTTTCACCAAAATATAACAACAACAATAACAAGGTACGTTTAAATTTGTAATAATATCACAGACAAATAGAAAAACATAAAATCTACAAAAAGCTGGTCTTACTTGTGTGTATACAAATTTCGAAAAGAACTGCCCAGTCTTGAGCTTGAAGACATGGGCTTTTAAAGCATACAAGTACGTGCAGTAAATAGATTAGTTTAACGTTTACATAAAATTTATGAATGTATGCATGTATGTATATATATATATATATATCTCAAAAATTCAAATTCCTTGATCGTTTATAACATGGCATTCTTCCTCGCACCTTTCATCTTGGATTTTTAATCTGTAGCTTGACTAGCTACAATCACATAAAACGTTCTGGCAGCGCGCCTTGTGTCAACATTTGTCCTTTAAAATGTACCTTTTTCATGACGCTAAATTAATTATCATTTTTACATTAATAACAACTGTAATTTGTTAAGTGCAACATCCTTACTGATTGAAACTACATCACTTCGCCAACAAAATATCGCAGTTCTTCGCTTAATTAATTTACTATCAGGCAAATTACAAATTTTTAGACGCAACTAAGAATTAAACATTAGACGATAAACAATGTATAGTTAATAAATTAAACTAAATTGCACCTTTGTTTCTTTTTTTTTTTTTGTTTCTTTTTAAAAGCAGTAGTTATGAGTTTTATGTCTGAATATATCTGAACCAGCAGTAAACATATATTACAAGTAATAATTTATTCTTATTTTGCAACTGTGACGCTTAAATATCATTTATCATCAACCTAATAATTCATAGGTTTTTATGTTTACATATATATATATCTGTGTATATACATATATATAGTCATAAGACTAGAAATATCTCCGATTTAAAATTTTGCCATTTTAAATTGGTAACCAAGCATTTCTTCCAGTGAGTACTTTCAACTATTGAGATAAGTGATAAGATTATGCAGTTATTCGTTTAACAAGGATTTTACATTATATGGCATGTGATCTTAAACACATGGATTGTTCAGGCTGCGCTACCATGCTGTGTTTGTAGTGTCACGCAAAATACAATTAGTAAAATGATTTAAGCTAATGAACTGTGTTTTTTTTTTTTAGCAATTATTAGGAAGAGCTTTTATCACGCGGGCAGTGCCCTGTAAAAATATACGTTCTCTCTATATAGAACTATATATTAATGTATACAAGACCAGTTTTTCATCATTATTTTACCACACACACACACACATATGCACGCGCTTAGGCGCACGCACTGTATATATATATCATTATTTATCAGGTATTCACAAGGTTCTTAATATTATAGATAATATTCATTTTTTTTTTTTTTTTTTTTTAAATATCTTTTTTATATAAAAATATGTTGACCTCTTATTTTATACATATTACGTTCCAATCAATGTTATCAATTCGTTACTGATATACATATCCTTTAAGAAAATTTTGAAACTGGTCTATGCATACATTATAGGATCTACATATGTACAGCATTGTTGAAAATCATTTCAAAAGCCACGAAGAGAGTAGAAAAAGGCATGAAATGATAATTATTTTCCTCATTTCAAATCCATATTTTGGTGTATTTCGATTTCGAATTTTTGTTATTGATAGTTTTTTTTTCTTCTTTTCCTTTTTCCCGGCACACGTTTTACACATACAGCTGCGTACAATGACCAGATGTATTCCGAATGTAAACAAATGAGCACGTGTGTGAACATGAATAATATGTATGTGTACGTGTGTATATATATATATATAATCTTCTTTTTAAATATATTATCAATTTCTCTATCGAATAGATATCAATTATATTTCTATACATATCTACAAAAAAACCTAATATAGAACTCTATTATCATTAATTAAACTCTCTATTAATTAATATGTATAATTGTCACAACAGGTCTAAAAAGTTTATCGTTATTTTAGTTTTAGTAGACGATAGTTTTCTTCATTGACATTCCATAAACTGTTTAGTTGTATCATGTTTTAAATAACATGTTGAGAAAGTTAATTTTTAACATTATCTCCCTATTATTGCTTGTTGCTTAATGCTACTGAATTCATTTTGGCATATAGCGAGTTCTAAACCCTGAGCGTCCGCCAATTTTTGCTTACCTCGCTTTCCTTTGTTTCTTTCAATAGAAATGCACCTGACACACATTATTTCTTTCTTTCTTTCTTTCTTTCGTACGCGTTACAATAACATCGCGTCTCTTTCACTTTAATCCCCCTTTACTTGCCTAAAAATGGCAATAACTTCGATGCAAATCTTTACTGACGTTAGTCGTATTCGAAAGACAATTGATTCATTGTCAATGATGTAAAGTTAAGTCCGTTGTCTCGAAACTCATATTAAAGACACGATTTTAAAACAGATTTCCCGTTCGATGTGGAAACAAAATTAAAAGTTTTCAATGCTGTATATACACACAATCAAAATGTTTATATAATTTGTTTTAAATACCGCTTCCCTTCACTCCATTTCGGCCAATGTTTACGCCTTTTCTCGGGTGGATTCGAGTAATCGTTCGGAGCTGAACGTTTTTTCAACTTTGATGTACCCTCAGACTTTGGCGTTGAATTACTACCTTGTACATGATGTGTCCTATTGTGATTAAGTGGTGCAGTAACACCTGCTAAGTTCAGAAGCGCGTCTACCCCTTCTACTAATTTCCTCTGCTCATCAAAATCGGGATTCGTTTCTTTCCTCGAATATTTGCTTAAAAGATGAACAGAAAAAATGTATAATTTGTATTTCCATAGTGAAAATTATTTGAATATTATAATTATATCCTTACCTTTCTTGTCTTACTGAGGTAATACAACTATAAGTATGATCTTCACTGGAGCTCCTGGTGATTACGGGAACCAACACTTCCGATTCCGGTACTTTTCTTTTACGATCTGCAAAGGTATCGTCAAATTTAGAATACATATTGTATAAATACAATTACTCTATTTTTATTATTATTATTATTATAAATATATCTAAGAAGGTAATATTATTCACACTATCGAATACCTTCAATACCTTTATTGTGATTTAAAATAATAGGTCCATGTTTGAAAGAAAGCATTGCAGCAGCTGCTGCATCTACATCGCTATCTACTTCAGTGTCTGTGTTATCGGTAATGTTACTTGATGCCAGTCTTTTGGAAAGATATGGAAAGAGAATAGGATCTGGAAGGCGTGTACTTGTATTCTTTTTTTGAGGCTTTTCTGACGAAGAGAGTGTTTGAGCCGTAGGAGGAGGGAAAGGAGCACGAGATAATGCTTGTATCAGATTTGGACGATACTGAGCATCTACCATCCATAATGAACCTTTGCCTAAATTCTGAAAAAAAAAAAAAAGAAATTACTGTTAATAATTTGTGTTTTTTGGATTGTACGGAAGGACAAAACGAAATACTTACCGGTGCTTTCTCTACTTTGCGGAAACACTTATTTAGGCTCAAATTATGTCTAACAGAATTTTTCCATCCAGTTGGAGCATTCCTAAAATATGGAAAGTGATCCAAAATCCACGCATATACTTCCTTGACTGGTAGAGCTTTTACAGGGCTATCTTCGATAGCCATGAAAATTAAACAAGAAAATGAATATGGTGGTTTACTGTTTCTGTGCAAATGAGGATCATATGGTATATGAGTAGGGTGTTTGTTGCGATTCGAAACTGGCAGATTATTGTTGTTCAAAGAAATCTTTGTTTGATTATTTTGTGAACTATTATAATGATTTTTTACCGACTCCTGAAAGATTGACTTTTGACCATTTTTATTTGAATGCTGATAGCTTTGACTATTACCATGAGATGTTGAGTTATTTATCCTGCCATTATTATCTGCTGTGACAGTGAGAAAAAGAACATGATATTTAACTAATACCATTTTGTTTATTAGATAAAAGTAAGAAAAAAAAAAAAGATATTGCTATTACCTGGACAGTAACCATCATCTAAACTTGAAACAGAATTTGTATTTTCAGAAAAATCTGCTGTATCATCACAAACATTATTGTTTAAAACATTCTCATTTTTGGTATCTTTAGTAGGATTCGAAATATCCAAGCCCTTTAATAAATTCTGTTGATGGAGCCAACTCAAAGAAGTTAGATCATCGTCCGACTGACTATTTTTCTCTACGGACTTTTCAGACATAGAGAGTTCATCTGTTGAATTTGTTTCAACCAAAGCATTTGTGTTTTCTTTTTCTTTCATTTTGTATACTGTTTCTCCAAAATTCAGAACCTGAGTACTACTCAGTCCTATTTCAGTTTCTGCACCTGATGCATCTGGTCTATCCGGTGGCATATTGTCTCAAGTACTATTTTTGTCACTGAAAAATAACATTAGATTTCTCGATTAACTATTAAATTAATTACCATGTAATTACGCATTGTTAAGGTTTCAAAATTATTTTATTATTTTACATTATTTTCATAATAACAAAACATTAAACTTTCAACGTGTTATAAAAAATAGAAAAAGAAATATTTAAACAATAAATTCAACGCTAACAATAAATGCTTCTTTCGGTTTTTAAGGGAAAGGATGTTTAGTCTGCGAAGCGGGGAGAACTGATAAGCGTCGATGATTCGGTCAGCAACGAAGCAGAATCACTGTCGCCAAGCAACAGCTTCTTCGTAATCCTAGCAACGTAGTTACGTCTTCTATACTCCGATTCGCTTTCAAGCTGAATTTTCTTCATTATTTATCGTGAAAAGAAATTTTTATCAGTTATGGAAGAAATTGAATAGAATCGTCATGTGACATACATATGCAGAATCTAAGAAATTAAATAAAATTCAGTACCAGTATCATGTAGGAAATATTTGTTTTAGCAGTTCAAGAATTGGTGTCATTTTTTATTTTTGGTATTTATGTACGAATACTGTAATTACAAAAAGATATTACGTGGGAAATAAAATTGAATTTTCGCGCGTCTGACGTGCCTACAGCCTCGAACCCAGAGTACCAACATCGTCATTTGTTTATCCACTAATAAGCGACAAAATGGCCGCCCTATTGCGAACGCATTGGTATCGAAAATAAACTTTAACAGGCTCAATTGATTCCCCACCAATTTTCACGTTATCTTGCACTGCAATTAACGGCGTTGCAAACACTGCACACGTGTTCCAATTCACTGAATTCTTCATAGCAATAATATACTTTAAAACGAATTTTAATAAAAATGGCGTCCACGCAGCGCACCAGTTTTTCAACACGTTTGTTGTCCTTATTAACAGTGTTTCGTACCTAGGATCACTTTCGGAGTCATTTTTAAACGATTTTCGTTCCACTTCGCATTTGTTATATCACGATTATAGTATTCACATAAAATCCGACCTACGTGGAATGCGATAAACAGATTTTTCACAGACGTACATATTTTGAGAAATTACGTTTATTCCTTGCAATGATTTTTCTCGCGGCTGCACAGTCGGAATGAAAATGTGAAAATGAATGCATTGTCAATGAACTGGCACCTCGCGAAGCGGCACAAAAATTCGTGAATAAACGAAACACGCCACTGCATTACTTGTTGAATTCAAATATGGAGTTGATAATGATTACGAAACTGGAGCACACATGAAAATGGCCACGGCATCGCTTGCACACGGTATCAACATTACATTTAAGGAACACATATTTTTTAACGCGTTCATAAGTATAATATAGAAATCAGAATTTGTACTGTGAAAATAGGATTCGAGCACACTGAGAATGTTCATCTACCAAACATATTTTATATATTATTACTTTCGCGTCATCTTTTGTGACGTTAAATTTAGAGAAAATAAAGATTTCGATGCGCCACTTCATGAATTAATAATCACTTTATATTATGTTACTAAGATTTTCACAATTTTCTCGATATTCTTTGATGAAAATCAAATTGGAATGCTTAAAAAATGAAACAGCGTTTTGCGTCTTTCTGGTTTTTAACCTGGCGTTCGCTTATCGGTACACGTTTAATCTTCATTATTTACGAATGAACGGGAAAAGGAAAGCTGTATAAAGTTTCCGAACAACTCACGTATTTGAGTAGACAGACGGCAGTCCTCGTAGGTTTTCTAAAGACGGGCATTTCAAGCACACTCTACACAACACCCAGCTGATTGAGACGCCATATTTTGACGTCATCACGTGGTTGCCGAAACGTCTCGTATCGAATCGAGAAACATCGATTTATCGCATTTAATTATTTACCCGGGAAACTACGATATCATCAACGTTATCGTTCATTGAAATTATTTGTGTGTACGTACTATAATTAATGAGGGATTAGTAACAAAGATAGTTACTTCGTTTAAGATTTTACAATTTATTTTGTCATCTTAAACCCGTATGATTTACATAGCTCAACAAAAATTAATAGTTTCTTACTTTCTTCCTCTTTTTTTTTCTCTTTAAATATCAAACCATAAAGATACTGAGAATTATACTAAATAAAATCGACAAATGCTTTGTTTGAAATCTTAATTAAAAAAAAGATAAAACAGTTACAATAAACCGCGATACTAGTAACAATTCGCCTCGTATCGTTCATAAGAATATTATTTCATACTATTATAATTTCATACATACTGCTACAATATACTGCACTATACTTTATACTGTGATATTATAACTTTAGTAATTACTTCCTTAACAGTATGTACAATACGTTCGATTTTTTTTGTGTTTAATAATAAATTATAATCATTTTTTTTTATAACACGTTTTGTAAAAAAGATAGATACATTCATGGCACAATCCATAGGAAAAGTCCTTTACAACAATGTATTAAAACATTCATTTTTAATTGATCCAATGACAAAAAATGTTTAATTTCACGATGAAAATAGAAGCTACAAGAATATATAGAAATCTCGTCAGATAATATGTATGACTTGCAAGAGGTTTATACAAAATTTGAAAAAAATATTTTTTCGTTTTATGAATGTTTAGTTTTGTATATTGTGCAGATACAATCAACAATATTTGAAACAAAGTCACGTTCTATCAACGTTTTATCTATCTCTTAGTCAATTTTTATACAAGAATCACATACACGTACTGGTTTATCCCAACCCCTATGCGGTACAGGCTTACGATGTTGCGAACAATCTTGGCACACTCCACGTCCACAATCTCGGCAATGATGTAGAGGAAGTGCTGCAGAAAAATTCTGGTAGCATATGCAACAACTGACAACTTCTGAATCGGGAATCCAATAAGAGGGTCGAACTGTGTCCTTTATGAACGCTAAATAAAATAAAAATGTTAAAATGATATACTTTGGATATTTTAATAATAATTGCATTTCGTACATATGACATCTTACATTTCGAATAATTCAAAACACTTCCAACTGCGCTTAGAGTAGATACTACTTGTTCTGATACTTTTCTGGCGCTCACATCATCCGAAGATTCCGTAGTTTCTTCATTGGAATTTGTATCTTTATTATAACAGATATCACAGACTCGTACTGGTGTGTGCCAATTTCTAAATGGAACACACTTTGTTTTGGATGAACACTGCGAACAAAAGCCTTCGCCACATGCTCGGCAATGATGTTTCGTATCCGTTGATCCAAATATCGTTTTACACTTGTGACAGTGTTTGATTTCGTTATTAGGTCTCCAGTAAGATGGTGCTACCTGGTCCGCAACCCATGCTGACAGCACCTTTGTTGGTTGTAACGAAACGTTAGTTACAGCTTCAGTAATATATGACACGCCATCGATTACCCTTTGTGCTGTGTTTTGAGTCGTTACTGAATTATTTGCCTAGGAAACATAATTGGTACTTTCAGAAAGCATAATTATATTTGGAAAGTTTCATAATGTAATATGCGTTGCCAACATACCGTATTCCATACATGTGTAACTTCGGTAAGAACGGCGAATTCTTCCGGATTTTTATTACCATACCAATATTGACGACTTCTATATATTTCTCCACAATGTGGACACTCTATTACATCTCCTGACCATGCATACTTGACTAATCCATACCAACTATTATCGTTTTCTGTTTGAATTCGTTTTATAACTTGTACTTCATTGCCATTGCTGTAACACTTTTTACATATATATACTAAATTTTCATACTGATGCTGGTACCGACACCTAATAAAATACATATAAGTTAAGAAATTTTAAATATTTATTAATTAAACTGTAAATAATAAATGACTGTAAGGCTGACCTGGTATTACTACTGTGAGGTTTATCCTCTCTAAGGTGTCCCATGCTATTACTACATCTGCATCCACAGCTAAGACATTTAACAGGACAGGTAAAATACTGATCAGGAAATAAAATGTCAGTGAAATTTTCCATTTCCCCAGAAAACTGATCATTTAATACTCTTAATGTATTATAAACTAAATGTGGTTTCCTAGCTGATCGAACAGATGTATTATTTAATTCCTTCTTAATAGCATTTTGCAAAGGTTCGTAATCGGTTGTGGAGTTTGTTGTATGTAAACCAACATATTTTATGGAACTATATGCTTCTGTTTCAAGTTTCATTTGAGCAAATCGCGTTATAAGAATGTCTTCTGCACTTTCTACACCATCTGCGACAGAAAAATATAATATATTTGTTAAGGAACAGATATTTGAATTTGCGAATAGACTTATTTTGAAATTACTGTTAATCTGAGAATGTAGCAATATGTACTATTGGTCAAAGGTCTGGTGTATCTAGTTTCATGTAATACTATAATGCTTGGTCCCAGGGCACTTAAAGAGTTTGAAACTCCTTCTCTTTGTCCTATTGCTTGTAAAGCAGCTTGAAAATGTTGACTATAAGCTCTTGAAGCACTACCGAGAAACATAAATAAATCCCTGTTTAGTCTTTCCGATTGTGTCCTATATACAACAATATCGGACACAGCAAGCACTTTAAGCAACAGTCTTGTTCTTTCATTCTCGTGCATAGTAACACCTAGACAGAGGTAAAATGTATCATGTATAAAATTTTAACTACGTACCGCACAGATATAAAGTTTATTACCTAGTAAACCTTCTGTATCCAAACAAATCACTTTAAGAACTGGATCAAACGCAACCCAAACACCTAATGTACAAGAGCTTTGATCGTTTGAAGTCTTAAAGACTTCTTCTCCTTTAAAAAATGTCTGATTCAACGTATGACTCTTGCCATCGCCGGTATTCCCAAAAATCGATATCACTTTTACTTTCAGATCTTTTTGATCACAATTTAACTTTTCAACAAATTGTTCCGCACTGGAAACCCTAAGATTTTCTTGTCCATCTATTAATAAGAAACTCCTACGCTCGTTACACTGACATTTCATATATACTCCATTTTCAGAAACTCCATTTATAAAATTATAACTGGTATGATGTCCATTTCTGTTGCAAATACACATACTATCCAGACTTTCCATAATAGCTGGTCCAGTGGCCTCCAGTTTATATTCTCTCCATAATGCACTCATGATGCAGTTGAACAATGTTACTTCTGAAATAACAGATAATATTCAACATTCACATTGTCTTATACATGAGAAAATGTTACAGTTTAGACAGATGTACTGAAATGCTTTAATATCGTTTGTTGCTGACAAGTTAAATCAACATCAAAACAACAGAAATTTGTCTGAAATTATTTACGATTTAACGGTCGCGTCGAAGTACAATAACACTAGAAAGTATCAATAGATAAGCAACTTACAGATAAAATGTTTCAAGCATAATAACATATCAGCGTGCCAATAAATAATACGTTACTTCATGATGACGCATAAAAAAAAAACACGTTCGATGCAGTTCTACACCCGGTTAACTGCGCAAATTGACAGATGCTGATATGGCGGCCTTACCTTTCCAAGAATCAACGACTTTGATTTAAACAGTGTAGCGACATAACGGTCCAGGTTCATGAAGATTTAAAACCATCGAAGAATTTTGAACGATCCCAAAAATTAAATGTTCATCGATGACACATTTATCACTAACAATCGATGCAGTGCACCGGATTCGTCGATCGCAACAGGCAACTCTTTGAAAATCACTCGAGTTGCAATCGAAAGTACTTCAAGGCTAACATTCTCTGTTCTCTTTTCTATTTACAGTACATATTTCAGGATACTTTATGTACATACAAACTGCAATTTAGTTATGAACGGTTTTACAATTGCAACGCTATTTACGAAAGCTGCATAAGCTTATGTTCGTATATAGTGAAACATATAAATTATTATTGCATTTTCATTTTCATCTTGATAATAAATATTACGCTACTTAATGCTGCGAATTATCACTTTTACGGAAGATAAGATATGATTATACATACACATAGGTGCAGAATCGAACAAAGTAGGCTTTTCCCTAGAAAAATGATGTTAAAAAAGTAGCAGGAATTTTTATATTAATGTTAAAAGTGATTTAAAAAGAATATATAATTTTTAAGTATTAAATATTATAAAATTTAGTTTATAGATAAAAAATATAAACAATATAATAAATATCAATTCGAATTCTCCCGCGTAAGCGCTTATGCGCATGCGCGGAGAGGGCACAGCCTATACCTACCTAACTACAGGGTGATTCTCTCGCTACATAAGATAAAAGTCGTGCCGCACAATGGAACCCTGCTGCTCCGATTCTTGCCTGCGTTTCAGCCATAAACACACACAGAGCAATTTTGGGTCCGACAATATGGCCCCCTGGGTCTCTTTACCCGCAAAAACAGCAGGGTTCGATTGTTCAGCATGGCTTTTGTCTTGGGTAGCGAGTGAATCACACTGTATATGCATATATGGGGCCCCCTCCCATACTACATCACTCGTCTCGGGACTGCTTTCGTGAGAAATGGTAGCCCGAAGAAGGGGCAGCCTCTTAGCAGGATCGGAAGGTTGCGGGAAGGAGAGGGGGTGTCGCCATTTTTCGTGGGAAAACCTACCATGCTCAGTGCTGTACAACAATTTACGTATTATGTTCGTAAACAAAATCGATAAAGAAAATGTTTATAAATTACATAAGAAAAGTTTCTGTAAATAAATAGCAGTTCTAAAAACATCGTGTAGTACGTTTCCCTAATACTTTGTTATTGGATTATATTTTACATAACGAAAAATACAATACAGGCTTGCATAATTTAATATAAACAAGTTTAAGTTAATTTATCCTGTAATTATCCTATCGTAACTGGTTCAGTTGATCAGAAATATTAATGATTTATATTTAATTGTAGCGTGGATTAATTTCATTTCAGTACCGCGCGTAATTTTAAAAGCGATCATGCTGCAAACGAGATATTAAAATAATCGATTGTAACGACTCGATTATCGAATATATACTGTGCAAAATATCGATACCGATTGATGAGGAAGTGGTGATGGTGATAATGCACCGCTAGTAGACCGCTAAACTGCTAAACTGTTGAGGTTCATTTTATGTTTTGGCGAACAGAAAGTCGTTCTTTGTGGTAACGCGTGATCGCGATCCTGGCCTCATCGAAAGAATGAATGTCAGTGAAATCTAAGAGCTGCTGCCGGCACGTGTACCATAATGTCATCGAAAGATTCAACCGAGGAGAATTTCAAAATACGTTTTTCTATCTTACACGAAAGACAGTGACCCACCCTAACAAAATTTTGTTTAACTACGTTAAATCACTGAACAATGGAGAACCACACGCAGGTTAATACGATCGACATGAATGGAAGTGGTACGTTCGATGCGATAGTAATCTTACAAATGTTCCTTTCGTTTCATATTAGTGACATTTACCTTGGTTAATTTAAAAAAACGTAAAACCATCTTTTTGAAATTATTACAACTACAACTTGTTCTTTGTATGAAAATGTTTCGAATAAAGTATTTGTTACAATTTAGAGGATCTACAGGAAAAAATAAATAGATTGGAATCAGAAAATGTTAAGATGCGAGAAGAATTTAATATTCAGAGAGCTAAAATGAAGGAATTATTTCTCCAGAAAGAAGGTAAATTTAATCTACGCGAAGAATAATCCACAATCATTACATTATAATACTAACAAACTTTATTTGTAGAGGAGTTAAAGAGAAGGTTAGAAGATAACACGTGTCTACAAGAAGAAAATGCAAAACTAAGAAATGAATTGGACGAAGCAAAGAGTCAACTGGTTGTAGCAGATTTAAAAATTCAAAATGATATACTTATAGAGAAAAGAAAGGCTCAGGAGGAGATAGCGTCGTTGCAAAGGGTTATACACGAAACAGTGGAGGAATCTTCCTGTTCGCGAAAACAATTAGATGCAGAGGTGTCTAAGTTAAAAATGACTCTTTCTAAGTTACAAGAAGAAAATGTGTTATTAAAGTCACAATTACCTCGTGATCCACCTATAGATGGGCCACAAATATCATTGTCTACCGTAACGAAAACAATAGCTCGAAAAGTAGTTTCTCAACTAGGGGCAGACGCTTTGTCTTTAGGTCCTGACAATCTCGAGGAAAGCATGAGGAAGGTAAAAAGATATGTACGTAAGCTTGAAACTATGGTTTTTGAACTTTTCTGCAATGAATTTATAGAGTGGCACTACATTTCAGAAAGTGTTCATTAATCATTTAATAGATCATTCTGAGGTGTTTATTTTATTACTTGTTTTTTTACCGATTTCACATAGGTGTGCAAAATATTAGAAACTATTGCTTTATAGGCACAGGAAGATGCAGAAGTTTTACGTTCACTGGTAGTGCCGCTCGAGGAAGAGATAAAAGCCTTAAAAGAGAAACTGAGAGCGACGGACGATGAATTACAGAAATGTAAAGAGGCACAGTTACAAAGAAGGCAACAAGAATCAGATTCCTCCGAAACAACGTGTGATATGTGTATAAATTACGAAGCACAATTAGTTAAGATACAGGCGACTGCTAAAGATTTAGAAAGACAGCTGTTAGACTCTGAACGCCAGTTGCAAGTGCAGAAAGAAGACTTGGCTAAAGAAGTGGAATTCCGTAAAGAGATGGAGGAGAAATGGAACGAGAAAAAGGAAGAGCATAAAATCAAAGTGGCTGAACTCACGGTTACCTCGCAAACCTTACAACAAACTGTGACGGAATTAAGAAAAACTTTCGAACAAGTTCAAAAAAATGTGAAAGATGAACTTGTGAAGTTGACTCGACGCCGAGAAGAAGTACAAAGACACCTAATAGCGTAAGAAAATTTGTAATAACATTTAAGCATTTATTTTCTTATTCATTTCCCATTTAATTTATTGTTTCTCATTTTACTCGTAGAAAAGTAATTTCTTTTATTCTGATATTCCTGACAAAATTTTATTGAAAATCTAGTTGAATCTTTGCAGACTTCAAAAGGAAAATGAAAATCTTGTTGGTAAACAGAGCAAGCATTCCCAGCAACTACAGAGTGAAAGTATCAACATGCCTAATAACGTCGAGGAATTACATGTTAGTCTTTTAAAAATGCGGGAAGACTTGATTACCGCTAAAGTTGCCCAAGAGGTTGCACAAGAAAAGGAAGAGACGTTACGGTATGAAGTGACATTACTTCATGAACAAATGGAACAGGAAAGTAGAGTAAAGGAACAGGAAAGCAGAATAAAGGAACAGGAAATACTTGTATTAAAAAATGAAATTAGTGGACTAAGGTAGAGTACCTTTCCAGTTTGTTCCGGTAACTCTGTTAAGGTTCTTACAATTTTAGTAACAGTGTTTTTTTTCTTTTTTTTTCTTTTTTTTTTTTTTTTTTTTTTAGAACACAATTGGATACATATGTGCGGGATCATCGATCGCTTGTCGAGAGGAAAGAAAAGATCGGACGTTTAGAAAAGCAACTGGACACTGTTACGAACGAAAATATAGAAGCCGAATTAAAAATAGCCGAACTACGACAAAGAGTTACTAGTCTTCAACAAGAGCTAGATACTAGCGAAGCAGTTCAGAAAGATTTTGTTAGGTTATCGCAATCGTTACAGGTATTATTATATTAACGACGATGCACGATCAAAATTGTTAAGTTATTAATGTTGTCGTTGATAACAGGTACAATTAGAAAGAATTAGACAAGCTGGTAGTGAAGTTAGATGGCAACACGAGGAGGATGTTGAAGAATGTCCTAGTTGTCATACTGCGTTCACGGTAACAAAAAAGAAGGTAATGTTAATGTAACGGTAAATCTAAATAATAAAAGTACTTGATATCTGTACGCGTTTGATAACCGAGATGTCTTTACAGGTGCATTGCCGTCATTGTGGCCATATATTTTGTCAGTCTTGTCTTTCACATGTTGTGAAAAGTGGACCGAAACAAAGACCATCCAGAGTCTGTGATGTTTGCCATACATTGTTGGTGCAAGATACAGCACCATATTTTAGCCAAGAACCACCACACACACCTGATTAATAAATATTCTAAAAACCAATCCAACAAGATGTGCAATACCGATTCTGGTAATTGATTGCACAATTTGTACGTATAGTATTATCAATTAAATTTAATAATACTTAATTATGTTTTATTGCAGGAAAATGTAGAAATGCTGTTAGTTCAAGAGGGGGCTAGATAAAGATTCCTATTACCTGACAACTGGAGTGATAAAATAAATATCATGTAAATACAAAGTATGTACTACTTAATGTTTATTGTAATTTAAAAAATTAAAGCTTTTAAATGTATGTCAGTTATTCAAAAATTTATGAATATTTATCTATTATCTTGTTATTTACATTATTAAAACCAGCATTACATACCTATTAAAATATGTTACAAATTTTATTCGACATGGTAATTCGTTTCTTTTAGTCATTTTTAAAACATTAAAAAAAAAAATTATGGGGAGTAAATTCATCGTTTTATCATTTATTTTTAAAGCAGAAATTTTTACATACTCCTATCACATAATATAACTCTCTAATTTAATATTATGAAAATCAACATTTTTTCTAGTCTTGTTATTTATTACAATCTTTATATAGGAACAAAATATTTGATACAAAGTAACATTACATCACATATCACATATTTGATTTCACACAATTTGTGAATAAATCATACAATTAAAATTTATATAAAACAATTATCCAACAAATCGATATCTGAGTATATCTCTGAAATGTACAACGTGTTATCTTTCAAGATTTTGTGAATCAATTGACAAGTGATCCAAGTGACATAAATCCTTACGTAACCATTATAAATTTGTTTGTGTAATAAAAATGTTCTAAATGCGATTGACGATCGATTACAACGCATCAAACTTTTGACTCTTAAGTATTCTTGATTTTTCTGTTAAAACTAATTGTAAAATTAATGCGTAGAAAACGATGAGGTACAAAGTACAAATATGAAGAATTTCACGTGACTATGTTCGAACAATCTTAACGATATTACCGAAAAAATATATTATGATTTATAAAATCCTAATCGTGTAACGTAACTCGTGATTTTATTTATACTTTGGCCCGAGTTACTCAAATAAAATTATAATTATTTTAATAACTGTATATAGAAAAAAATGTATTAATTACATCTTTGATTGGTTGCGGACGTCTCTTTGGATCAATTGGATCTTCGGATTGAACATTTTTATTTCTCAACTCCTTCCAATTGGTTAATATGGTTGCATATTCCAAAACTTTATCGTACTCGTTTAATTTCGTGTAAACATTTAAAAGACCGTGATAATCGTACTCTAAGCCACTGTAGCTTTTGCCAAACAATTTTAAACCTATTGTATATGGTAAGAGGTTAAATGAAGACGTATTAATCGCGAATTTAATAGAATCAGAGGAGTCTATATACTTACTGATTTCAATGCTACGATGATAAAGTTTTTCGGCATCTTTATACCGATTCATATGATAATTGTATAACGAGGCTAAATGTCCCACGCTCAAGCCAACCTCGTGGTCATCCGGTCCTAATAATTGTTCCTTGATCCGAATTGCTTTAAGGTGCATTTGTTCAGCTTCCTAAAATCAATGATTAACAATAACAGCGATAATATGGTTAATTAATGTACCTAACAGCCAACACGTACCTTAAACTTCCTCATACTTTGATACACACGCCCCAAATTGCCATAATGTTTTGCAGTTTGTACATTTTGTTCACCAAATGCTTCTTCTGCCGATTGTAGAGCAGACAAATGAAGGCATTCAGCTTTGAATAGCAGACTTTGTTTTGATAATGGCGTCGATATGTTATCTAATGCTATTTCTTCAAGAATTAATGCATTTATTCTTTTTGCGCTTGCTAACAACAAATGATCTCCATGTAAAAGGTTTTTCATTATGTCTATTGCTTTCTCAATGTGAACACTGTTCATTTAAAGTGAAATAAAAGTATATGACTTTTGAAAATTTTAAAGATCAACAATTTATAATATTACTTACCTTGCTTCTGGAAATTTACCAGATCTATATTCGTACACGTACAGAGCATAAGCTAAATCTTCGTGAGCTAATGCAACGTGTAAATTCATTTTACCGAATATCTCGGTTCTAATGTCTAACGCTTCCTAAAAATATTACCAAATTATGAATAATGAAAAATTTACACTGATATAAAATATGAGTTCAATTCGATGTACTAACTTTATAAATAGTAACACTATTGATAATGCTATCAAAGTTTAACCAGTAATATCCATAATCTATGAGAACATTACTATACACTGGATGATTTACACCGAACACTTCTTTAGCAAGATACACAGCTTCTCTGATCAACAGACCAGCTTTCTGAAATTCGCGTTTCAATACACATGATTTTGCTGCCTGTCTTAGAACATTAATAGTAACACGTGCAGACAATGTGGGTTTCAATTCTTTTAGCGCTGCTATACTCCACCTAAAGAAATGATAAAAATGCAGTTAATAAAATTTATAAACAATAAAAATTGTAAGAGTAAAAGTTAATTTTTACCTGTAAGCTTCGTCATATTTTCCTTTCATATAAAAGAATACACTGAATTCAGTGTACAAGGCAGCATAATTGTAATGATATCTTTTTGCTTCTAATTTTTCTATCAGTTCTACGGCAAGCTTATATGTCTTTTCTGCTTGCAAAAATTCACAATACGCTGCTTGCACATGCAACAAGCTACACATTTAAACAATGTTTACACATTAATATAACGTACATTTATTTAAATTAAATCAAGTCTTGTATTATAAATTACTGCTTACCCGCGATAACATTCTAGCGTTCTACACCAATCTTCAGGCGTAGAATTATTTGCAACACATAATTTTTTACAAGCTAACAATACATGTTCACTTTTTGTGTACCAGCCTGCATCACTGATAAATTCACCAATTCTCAAACCTAGGTTTATTAACTTCTGTTCGGCAACTGGATTTTGATAAGCATGAAGATGACATATTTTGTAACTGATGCGTAAACCTTCCTCAAATAGTATTCCATGATCTATCAGACTCTGAAAAAATTGATTACAGAAAATAAATACGTACAAAGAAGTTAATAAAATTTTAATGTAAAAAAGCACAAAATTGTTTATAACATCTTGTATCTTTATACGGTATGTACAAACTATTACCTGAAAACACTGTAATAAATGCACACGGCGGTTGGTAACTGTCAACATTTTTGAGAAGATCTTTAGATCGCTGAATGCCTCTCCCATGAGACATAGTTTCTTTTCCTTGTATAACTGTAAACACAAAAAAAGTTTATTGACATTATTTGCACTTTATTTGTTGGAAAAAACATGGCCATTTTCTTATGGTATAGCAAAATATAATCAACAAAAACTGAGTCAAAGGTTACTGTTCTTTTATTTCATAAAAAAAAAATGATAAAATAAAAAGAATAAATAAATCACTTTGTGCGCGCCTGTCGCAGCGCAATTTCATACAATTCGAAAACAAAACGACGTATGACATGACGTACAAATGCAAATTAAAAATTCATTAGCAGGAACTGATTTAATGTTACAATGAGATACATGTGGATGAAATATTATTCGTACTTAAAGAATCATCTCATCGTTTTACAAATCATTAAGGTGCATTATAAATATACGAAAAATACAAAAGCACAGAAACAGAGGTATAGGTTAAACATATGACATGTAAGAGTTTCGTAATGCCATTTTGCTTAATCGTTTCAGTATATTTGACATTATTTTATAGTAATTTAAATTAATTCGATGAAATCTTGTCATTGCACGCGTTGCCAAAAGTACATTTTTAGCGAACGTATATAACTGTCACAAGTATGTTATGATCTTTGCGAACGTGTCGATCTAATACGAGACATCGTTTTAAAAGTATCGCAATTGAAAATTGATCTCTCGAACAAATCGAACTGCTATTCTCGAAGAAAAATCCTGACGAGAGAAAATTTTTACTAAAGCTTTAAAAAAAAAAATATATATGTACATATGTGTATATATATATATATATATATATATATATATGTATGCGTCCATTATTGTGACGGTGTTGAGAGGAGATGTTTTGACATTTACCTGATAATAAATATCGAACAATAAATCGTTCGGTAAATCGGAGAGGTGCTTCTTAAATTTTAAAAACTTCTTCGCTATTACAGATACACTCAGCTGATAAAGAGTTTTCGGGGAAAACACCGGTGAACTGCGTCCTTCGGCCATTTTCCTGATCGATAATCACGAACGCGCACACAGCCGCAATAATTGCTGTCACGTCTTCATGCGCATATGCTGCTGCGATGCTCCGCCATCCAACCGCCAGCGACAACCCCCACTTACTAGAACGATGGTAAAAGTAAATGTCTAGCGCACCAGATACGAACAGCACGTATGCCTTTTTTACACTTGTTGCTACAATGATTTCACGAGTCCCCCTCAAAATAATTCTCGTCGAACAGGAACGGAATTTTCGTGAAACTTGTAATCAGTTCAAACAGTGGACTTAAAACGATAAAATGGATATTATTCTTTTGCTGGATTGTTTATCAAACATGCAAATCATGTTGTTTTCTTTCGGCGATACCGAGCGAACATGCGATGTTCATTCCATCAAACGGCGAAATAGAAAGAGAATTGAAAAATATTCTGAATTATCGATAAATAAATGTATCAGTATACTGTACGTTCATAAACGAAAATTGACAAAAGCATAAATGAAATGTTCGTTTCGCAAACGCGACAGTAGCTACATCGTTTTCAGAAAAAAGAGAGTCGATATTGTTGCGATCGTGAACGAGGCTGATTAATGGCGCCAGCATTGGGCCATGTCCTCTTCCGGTCGAGCTGTCTTTTCCGAAAATACAACCTGCAGAAAAAACGTCTAAGGTGATTTCACGTGGTCGTACATTTCTGGCAAAAAAACAAAGTGGTTAAAAAAACGGTAATCGTGCGCGCAAGTGAAAGGAAATCGGTTCGCGTATCGCATCGATCGATTGTGAAAGCTTGAATGTCAAACCGTGCTTTCGATCGCATTACAAATTGCCCCTCTTGTATTGAACGAGTGCCAACATCAATTTCTGCAATTTTGAATTTTTCAAATCATATCCCTGCGTCGAGAAATAACTAACCTTGTGTTCCATCGAACAGAGCCTGTATCAATTATTTCGATTTATCGATAATTGATGCGTGCACGGATCGATTAATAGTCGCGCGCAAATCTATCGGTAAGGTTGTTTCTGTAAACGCGTTACCGGATATGATTTTCAATGCGCTAGACCAGTGTTTCCCAACGTAGGGCCCGCGCCCCACAGGGGGGCAATTTGATTGTTAAGGGGGGCAATTCGAAAATGGATTCGTCCATAGTTTAAGTTAACCGTATAGCGACTCTCAGTAATAATTAAAATAATATAGAAAAATCCTTCATTAAAATTATTTCGTACTTGAATTTCAGTTTTCCATTATATGTTTTGAAAATTAACTTACAGTGTTTCCTCAACAATTTCCTACCAATTTTTTCCTAAAACCTGTCATTTAAGTTTCTTCAGTGACCAATTCAATTTTTGAATATTAAAAATTATGTACATTAAAAACTTGACTAAAAATAAATTTTAAATTAATGTTTTAATTTTTTTTAGATTAATATTATTTATTGCTCTAAGAAATTGTATATATTACATAGGGGCATAAGAATTTTAAAAAGGCTTAGGTGGGACATGGCACAAAATACGTTGGGAAACACTGCGCTAGACTTTCGTTTACCAAGATAAAACCTGAAAGACTTGAAATTCATGTTCGTCGAGTTGAAATTTTAGGAAAATTCAAGAGAAAAAAAAAAAAAAAATACTGTTCAATGATAATCTGAAAGTTTTGTTTCCAATTACTTGTCGTTTCAGGGAACCATTTGATGGTGCACAGGGTGCACAGAATGGAGGAGGAACCGCTTCAAGAGGATAAAAAATCCGAAACATTGGTGGAGGGTAGAATTATGGAATTATCATCGGATGACGTATGCGACGAACGAGCACGTGTTTCCGGTCAGGAAGAGTTCACATGTTCACTCTACATCTCGCGTGCTGTCAGCCCTCAAGGTCAAGCGCAAGGAACGCAAGGTGGCAAATTGCCTGTTTCTTTATTTAACTAAACTTTCCGTATAAATAACATTGTACACGATCACGTAACATAAGGGAAACTGAAATTTTCACATTTTCTTTTTTTCGTGTACGGTAACGAGTAAGAATTGTTATAATTGGAATTTATTGCATCAGCATTTAGTTATAAAGCTGTTATATAAAATAACTCTATTTATACAGTGTTATAATTCCGTTATTCCTTAATTATTAATGCAATTTTTCCATGCAATTCCCATGTTAACAATTTTTTGTATCATTAATAATTACGGAATAACGGAATTATAACGCTTAAGTCCGGACACCCTGTATATTGTTAGATGCTTACAAAGGACATCACCCAATCGACACACGCCGATTTTGATGCCCTTTGAGTATGATATAGAACTGAAAAAAAATATTTCAAACGTATCTTTTTTTATCGGCAATCGTCCATGCTGAAGGGGTGAAAATAGCCCTCAAAGTTGGGGTTGCAAAACATATTTTCTTGAATATCTCAGAAACTATTAGGTGTAGGCGAAAAATTCAAAATGGAATTTGTGTGTTTTTGAACAGCAAATTTTTTTATCTAGCCACCTTTTTGATAAATTTATTCGTTTAAAATATATATATTGAAAAATAATCTATTTTTGTCATTTTTTTCACCCCTTCAGCATGGACGATTGCTGATAAAAAAAAATACGTGTGAAATATTTTTTTCAATTCTATATCATACTCAAAGGGCATCAAAATCGGCGTATGTCGATTGGGTAATGTCCCTTGTTAGTATACATGTAATGAGAAGTAAGTTGTGCCAGGTGGAGAGTTATTACATTCCAATCTCGAAGAGGTGATCCGCGCGTCCGATCCTTCAGCGGGATGGCACGTGTCTGAAACTCCTTGCGGTCTGATAGCGGCGTTTGCGCGAGAAACCGATGCTGAAAAACTTTTACAACGGGGTGACCTAGCGCGAATTTTTCAAGGACCCGTACAAGTATCTTTATTTTTCCTATTACTTTAAATGTAGGTTGCATAATTTATTGCACAGTATCGATCAGTGTTTCACGAACACTGCTTTCAATTCCATTACTACTTAACAAAAAAATAAAATAGAACCTAGTAATGCAAACACGTTATTCAAATTACTTTCACAATAATGCAAATCAGTTAACTTATTCTTCATCCTGCACAGAAAAACACAACAGATAATTATACCGTTCCATTCTTATTGTATAAAAAAAAATGAGAAACGGCATGTGCGACCTTGAAATTTTTGCAGTTATCGTGACAATTAGTCTGGAAACGTCATCGATTTCACTATCTTGTCTCCGACGGTTTAAACGAGCAATATTCGTGCAACTGATGGAATATTTAACATGACACAAGTCCAACCAGTGTACTACACATATGTAGTTATTTCGCGTTGCAATCCGCTTTCCTCTTTGCTTTCTCTTATGTAAGAAAGTGAGATAAGTGAGCTTGCACAACTTCTCATTGATTCTCGGGTCTCTTAGAGAACGCGTTAGAGCGTTTCCTGTTTCTCTGATGTTATACATATGTGATAAATAGCTTTGTTAGTATGAGCATAATATACAGTGCTGGGATAAAGTATTGGCACACCGTTTAAAACAGAATATCTCATTTGAAATTGAGCCAAATGACTCGAGGCTTTTTGAGAAGCTATAAAAATTAATTTACTTAATGTGTTTTGTTTTTAATCGTGAAAGAAAATAGTAAAAGGCAATTTTTTCACCTTTCTATCCGAACCTGTAACGAAAATTTAAAATATGTCTTTCGTAGAATCAAATAGGTTATGTGTATACTGAAAAGTTACAAGTAATTAAAATTTCTGAAAATCGTGACTTTTTGGAAATTTTCTTCACGATTTCAACAAATTGTAATTTTTTAAAACGACAAAAGCACATTAAGTAAATTAATTTGTATAACTTCTGAAAAAAATTTCAAGTCATTTGGTCCAATTTTAAATGAGGTATTCTGTTTTAAATACTGTCCGAATACTTTTCCGAGCCACTGTATTATACGAAAAGAAATATCTAAGAATTATTATCATTGTTGAACTAGGTGGCTCGATTCTCGGCGAAGGATTCTCGTTACAGACAAGCGGTTCTTCTACGCGATGTACCATGGGCAATTCCTCTGCAGGACATTAACTCGGCCCTGGCGAAGCAAGGAATAGCGACAGGAAGCGTCGAACGCTGGCGACAGTACATACGCGTCGAGGTAATTACAATAATCACACTTTACTTCTTTATCAGACAACTTGCAAATGGCATAGACATTAAGTGGACTAATGTGTATTAACTGTTTCAGGTTAGACAGCTTAAGAATAGATATCGGAATAACTATGAAAGTATTATCTGTGTGCTAATTATTTCTTAACGAAACGATGATAACAAATACTTGAATATAGAACTTGGCTCGTGTACAACAAGCGGATTGGGAAAGGGGGAGAGAAGCTTTTACCGTTATACTATTCGAAGAAATTATTATTATTATTATTATTATTATACTACGAGTTAATTTAACGTTGAATTGCAAATACGTACAACGTTTTTCGATAACCCGATTATCTGATAAACGACCTCAAAAACTCTAATCTCGTATTAAAGACTATGATTCATAAAATGATGCTTGTAAGAAATTCACGTTAACTCATTGATATTCGTTTCAGGTACTCGATGCAGGACACTACGAGCTATTGTTGCGTCAAGGCTTGGACTTTTTCGGCGCAGCCCGATTTACCGCGGTTCCGGAGCGCTGGTGGCGCGGCGGGACTGGAAATGCCGCTGGACCGTTGCAAGCTGGCCCAGGAATCGTAAATAATTTTCTCGAGGCATCGAACTTCCAAACAGGAGACGGTGTACTACAATGTTACCGGTGTCAGGGTTTCTGGCATATGGCCGCTAACTGCAGACACTTACCGCGTTGCGTTCGGTGCGGTGAACCGCACAGCGTTGAATTTTGTCCCAGGCCACGAAACAATCCTATTTGTTGTCACTGTTCCGGACCGCATCATGCTGGTATATTAATTTTTATATAGTAATAAGATGCAAAATCTTCTGACCTGAGATGAAATATTAAGAGAACCTCTTGGTGGTCCCTTACTAGAATTTCTCTTGTTTCCTTATAGTGAAATATCAGAAAATTATCATATCGCCAGCTACGCGGTCACAGGGGCATTACAAATACTTGTATCGTGTGTTTCGTCAGAAATCATAATGACAAATTAATACAAGTTTGTTTTATCTTTAAAATTGTCATCGAGCCAAATCTGTCTGTCATTTGCAAGGCTACGAAAGAGGAAACGAAAATTCTCGTACAATGTACAGTGGGTGGTCAAATTATTAGAGCCACTTTGTTACTTTTTTATGATATGTAAAGTTATGATACACAGTTGAAAAAAGGAAAATTCTCTGGACCTCAACCCCATCAAAAATTTGTGGGAACATTTTCTATTACACGTTGAACGCCATGGGGGTCACCGGTGACCGACACCGCAAATTACACGTGCCTGAATAATTAAAAGAAAACAATAGTTATGGTACATATAATGTAAAATGGTAAATAGAAAGCTTGAAATTTGAAAATTAACTATTTCTATTCTTAATAATTAGAGCTTCAATTATTAGTGGCGTTCAACGTGATAATAATGAATGTTAATTGATTCAACATCTGATAAAAGTATGTGCCAGTAAAAAAGAATTGTGGCAGTAATTGCAGCAAAAGGCGGCGTTACGAGATACTAACATTACATCTGTAAATATAATCTTTTAAATGTATTTGCTTATTTTTATAAGTAATTTTTTTGTATATTATTAGTGGAGAATTATTGATTAAAAGTTACACAATGTAAAAACCTTAAAATGGCTCTAATAATTTGATCACCCACTGTATGTACATTGAACGGTCAAAGATACGAACATTATTTTATCTAAAATTTAACACAACACGTAACTTCTTTTTTCGTGAAGTTCCAACGGCGAATGAAGAACCGATTAGATATTCTTATTTCTCTCTTTTCGAGAAATCGCTCTCCTATTATCTGTTGTTGACGTCAGCGCACGAAAAACGCATAATTTATACTTGAAATCAGTGATGGTGGATCGTTGAAAGGGTTAACGAGTTCATTAACTATACGTAACTATTAGTCACGTTTTCTTAACGAACGTCTAATATTGTTCTTTGTATTTTCAATTACAGGCTACCGACAGTGCCCAGTTCGTCAACAACTTTTGAACGCTACGCCAATTAGTATCACTCTAAGCACCACCCGGATTGGAAATCAGTACCCGGTGAACGGAGCCTCTAAGACTAACGCCTCGTCGCACGAACAACAACCCTTGAAATCGAGCCAGTCTTAGAGAAATTATTGTATTCGCGTACATTTCTATCCTCGTTAACTAAACGCTCTTAAATTACGTTCATATCGTTTGTACAGGACACTAACGACTTAAACGTTGAATACTGCAATAATCGTATTTAAAAATTTTTAAGTACATATATCATTTATGAGTTACAATTTTTGACATTTACAAGCTGTTAAATCATAAATTCAAAATTAAATCGTTCCAGAACGTACGAGAAAATAAATCAAGTGTAAAAAGTACAAGTTTATCTCCGGTTCTCTGATTACGAGACTCAACAGGTGTTTCGAAATTCATCGGAAGGGGCGTGCAACGCGGTAGCGAACCTCGCCGATTCTAATTTCTCTCGGATTTCTGAAACGTTCCGATGTACACACTGGCCATGTACTAGTCGCATAATTCTCTACTCTTTGTCCCACTTTCTTTGTCCTAGTCTTCTCGAATGTGGGCCCTCCCCCTTGTTCGTCAGGTAACATCATGTAACATCGGTGATAAAGTAAGAGGCATAGTGGGGGAGCCACAGGTGTATACGCTTGTAACGCGTCTAGATCGATAAGCATGCTCTGGCCACGAATGGCGATGGAAGGGAGAGCATGATTCCCGCCACTCGTCCCACCATGTACTGACCACTCCTTCAGGGATCTTCTGAAACTCGTCGTGCTATATATCCTGATTCGATCGTTCAGCCCGCCAACGTTGAACTTCCTGACACCGGCTCGTGCATCACAAGCATGCAAACCGTGTATCATTCGCAAGAGATATACCTCTAAATCCTCTTAACGTCTGGATTATTCTTGTCGAAGGTTCCCGCGAAATTCCAGTGTGTTCCCGTCTGGTCAGCCGTGCAACAACGGGCATGCGATCGAATCGCGAAGAATGAGGAGGGCAGAATAGACCGGACCAGGTACGAACATCCCAATGTTATCGTTGCTTTTCGAACACCGTGGACACACGATTGAACATCTGATACGAGGGCGTTACATTTGACAGCGGAACGGATTCTCGTTTGTACAACATTTTCGCGGCGATACAATTAACATCTCGAAGAATGTCCAGCGGCATACATTTTAGTTTGAATCTTTATTACGCAATGTATACGCTAGTTTTTGACAAGACCGTGTTTTTTGCAATATTATACAATTATGTATATCAATGTTTGTTTAAACGTGTCCAAAGTTCCTTTCATAATTAAAAAATTAACAATTGTTCTAATTAATTGGAAGTGTAAAAACGTTTCTTTTACAGAACTGAAGAGAACGGATATCTCGATCCCATTTATGATCGAGCTGCCGCGTCTTTCTTCTACTGCGGTTCGCTATCTGCTCCTTTGATTCACTATTTCCGGCAGGAAAATTCTTAAACAATGCCCATCGCGTAATCACGCGGTTCTGTGCAAGGAAAAAGTGTTCATCGATACGTAGTATGACGTAAAGCATCGAAATGTACTCTCTTTGTTGGATATTCTTCTTAATCGTAGCGATTAGCAGCATCAGCAAACAGCAGCCAACCTTCTCCAAGAATACGTTCAAGGGATTGAACGGTGTGACAGTATGGAGCGATGCGGAGAACAGAAACGAAATAAGGGCTGTTTATTACCATGACCAGACTGTTGCTGTGGTCGACCTTGGAACTAACAACGAGTTGCACAATTGCAACTTGATTGAAGTATAGTGAGTGGTTTTTGCATCCCACAGAAGTGTTATCCATTTCATGGTCACCTACAATGTTGGAAATTGTTAGTCTAATCAACGGGATAATGCTGTTAGTTTAAATAAATAGTCGAGTTTCGTCCTCTTACAGCGAACAAGATGAAGCCACTGAAGTTCTAAGGAACCTATCGTTGATTACGGCTCCGCAGTTAGTTACATTTCAAGAAATGACAAAACTCATGCAACAGTGTGAACTGTTAGATGAAGTACGCGACGATACGACATCCAGTTCGATGATAAATACAATGAGCAAAAGTATTCATGGAATGGGGAGCGTCTTATCTCTTCTTTCAGGCATCTTACCAGGTGATATCTTGTGTTTGTTGTTCACTGACTGTGCATCTTCTGATTTGAAGCAATCGTAACTGGCGTTCAGTCATTGTAGGTACCAAGTGGTGTGGAACCGGAGATATTGCTGAAAACTATCATGATTTAGGCGAAGAAGCTCAAATTGATAGGTCAGAAAATAATTTCGGTTAAACTTTACTTTAGGGGAGACGACATTTTTTTTGGATATGGGTTCCATCACTGGATGTATTTAAATTACTTATAAAATTGATACAGTAGAAGCAATAAGCAAATGCATGGGCTGTACCCTCTCTCTCTCTCTAAGATAAATATAAACCTAACTAATTCAGACAGTTACGGTTTGACTAAACCCGCTAAAGTGGTCGGCACCTGCTGCCTGCAGCTAGTGACACCGTTGATTGGACAAGAAGCCAATATAGAGTTATACAGTGACGTAGCAAATGCACTAAAAGTGTCAAACTTTATATGCTCATAACTTTTTAACCACTGGATTCATAAAGTTGAGACTTGCATTTTTGGATTCTACACAGAAGAAAAAAAAAGTCCAAAATTTTGGGTCCCCTAAAGTAAAGTTCAATCATTAGCTACAATTGTTACAGAAGTTGCATTTATTCCAACTGCAGAGGTTTTAATATATTCTCTTTGTTTTTCTGCGCCCGCACGCGTGTGTAGATGTTGTCGCAGTCATGATCTTTGTCCTGTTAAAGTCCGAGCTCAACAAACGCGGTACAATATCACCAACTATTCCATATATACCAAGTATGCAAATACAGTTTTATACAACTTATCAACCTCGTTGATCGTTCAACGTATCCTTGTTAAAATTATTTAATTTTCTTCTTACCTTTGCAGATCGCATTGCGTGTGCGACGAGGCGTTGTATTATTGTTTAAAAGCTGCAACGCATCCGGCTGCCCACATCATGGGTCACTTATATTTCAATGTAATTAAAATACCTTGCATAGAGGATGATCCATCAGCCGAACGGACTTCCGTAGGATTAGGAAGACGATTTATTCCTGTTAAAATGAATTATTAGAATGATTCTGATAGATATTAACAGATGCAATTTATGTTGTATAGCAGTAATTTTAATATTTTTATACCACAAATGTTGTACAAGTTTTTTGTAGTAAGAAATCGGGAAAGGATATTTATTATTTATAATTCTTGTTAATAGTATACATATGTAAATACATTATGATATAGTAAAGCTTACATGACGTTTCCATTCAACTGATTTGATCTGCATTTACCAGTATGCTCTGCTCTGTTGCAGATGAAATTGCTTGCTTCATGGATGGTAACTTAGGTATGATGTTTTGAATAGTATTTTTGATACTGATAACATTGTGATTATAAAGATTTCCTGTGAAATTATTTATATCTGTTTAATTAATTTAAAAAACGATCTACTTTATAATTTAATAATAAAATGTTTTTAAGTTACCTATTAACCACAATGTTTCTTTTCTGATATGTACATACTGACACGAAAGTAATCCATTCAACAATGTTTCTACATCTAACTGGGTATATTTTAAATTTTCTAAAAACAGTTTTGCCACCTTTCCAGATGTTTCCTGCACAGTGTTAGCCAATATTCTTATGCATGCTGTGATCTGAAATAAACAAGTACTTTAATATCCTTAGTTTAGTAGAAAATCAAAAAGTATCAATTAAAAGTTACATGCCTCCGTTACAGCAGTGTAATTATTTTTAATACTTTGATGTAGATAATCCACTATCAAGGGTACAACATTATATACATATATGTTACAAGGTTCCTGCGAAGACAGTAAAGCTAACAACCAAATCATATATGAACTTTCAAAGGAAAGACTTCTTTCTGTAGTAACTCTAGTAAGTTCAACCATTTCAATTTTGCTAAAATGTTTATGCAAATAGTGATATTATTCGAAAGGTACATTTCAGAAATGATATACAAAGCAATTTTGATTACCTAATATGCTGAAAGCCAACGCGCACATAATGCATGGCACAATATGCTACCGCTGATAAAATCATATTATCACAGTTTTGCATTAGCGAAATAATATGCTTTAAACAACTTTGGGCGTGAAATATTTCAAAAGCTTTATTACTTCCAGCAATTAAATTTCCCATTGTCCATATAGAGACTTCCTGATTACAAATAAAATGTTAACTTTATATCTTTATATAATTGCATTTTGTTTTCTGTTTTTTTTCTGTTAATAACTTACTACTAAAGGATAGTTTAAACTATCTAATTCCGTAGTAAGATACGATCCAATACTTTTAGCCAATGAAGTACAAGCCTTGGTATTTCCAAGCGCAATATTGCAGGCACAACTGATAGCACATAATTGTATAATTGGATTGTTACCAGAGAAATCGCGTGCCAGAGCAAACAATATGTTATTCACTTTTAAAAAAGCATTGACATTTTCTTCGTTCTATTTAAAATTAAAAAACAATGATCCTGTTAATATACATTTATTAAAAACTTAAAAACTCATTAAAATCATAACCTGAATAAGAGCATTCTGAAGTTGCTTGTATCTTTCAATTGGCAATGGTTTCTTTTTAAGTATTTCTGCCTGTTCAACAACAAATTTTCGTGTGAAAGATGAATCCAAGACGGTATATCCCAAAGCCACACGATTTTTATTTAAAACTTTCAACCGACTCTCTTTTCTTTCGGTAGCAACAAGTTCTCTTACACCTTCTCTAATAATCTCAACAGCATGTTCCTCCGTTGATGCTTCTACTTCCATTTTATTTTAAACTATTCTATAAATTATACAAAAAATACAAAAACCTATATATAAACTAATCTACAGGAAAGAAATTTCAACGATGGTATTTCAGAAAGTTCATGGCACAATGTTTACCGACGGTTCGCATTTAAAGCAACCAATCATCATCAATCATGGTGTCCCGTAACTCCTGTAATTCCCGAAAATAGGGGTTGCTGGGGTGATTCTGAACAACATTTTCCTTTACCAAAATGTCATTTGAAGCTTCATTTTTGAGTTATTAACGAAAAACACTGGCCAATCAGAGTGCGCCTTTAGCGCGGGCCGAACCACAGGAGTGTTGGCTCTAAACCGTACTCGGTTATAGTCGTGAACAAACGCATTGGCACAGCGTGGATATCAAGGGAAGCATGCGATAAATGTTACATCGTCTTAAATTAAGAACAATGTGGAATTATTCGTTATCTATGAACATTGTTCTTAATTCAAGATGCAGTAACATTTGTTGTTTGTTCACGACACCCACGCTGTGCCAATGCGTTTGTTTACGACCACGACCGAGCGCGGTTTAGAGTCAACGCTCTCGTGGTTCGGCCCGCACTAAAGGCGCGCTCTGATTGGCCAGTGTTTTTCGTTAATACATAACTCAAAAACGAAGCCTCAAACGACATTTCAGTAAAGGAAAATGTTCAGAATCACCCCAGCAACCCCCCATTTTCGGGAGTTACAGTACTTATAAGTACTGTATAAGTACTTAGGAATTATCTGATTTAAATGTGAACAAATGAAGGTATAATTGCAAGTAGTTTGAAACGTTGTTTGATTGTTTGATATCAATGCCGGAACATAATGTACTGTTTTATTAAAAATAAAATTACTTTTTATTTTTTTATTATTATTTTATTATTATTATTATTAATATTACGTTTTATTAAAATTAAAATTACATCATACAATGTTATCATATTCTATAGCTTTTAACAATGATAATTAAGAAAATAACATGTTTAATAGTCAACTCCCTCGAAACATTTCTCGATTAATCCTGTATCTTCCTCTTCGTCTGCGATTCGGGAAATCGATAGAATATTATATATAGCAGTTGGAATCGTGGATGTTGGACCTAGTATATGCAAGCGAATATCGCATGTTTCCAGCACATACTTCCACTTCAAGTCTGCGCGTTGTGGATATGTCATTTTCTGCAATTACGGAAAAAAATGCAATTTTTAATGACGCTTTAAATGTCGTAAATAGATAAAACATTGTTTTCAAGAACCTGAAATTCGGCAGCCGTGCATCCAATGACCCGTTCAGCCGCTTCTCCAGACAATCGACAGCCAATAAGGTAGCCCGTGTCATCTTTCAGATTTACTTTCAAATTGAGGCACGTTGCGTTCAAAGGCACGCGGCTTCCGTTGCCCGAAGGACACTCGAGGTTCATACATGAATCTTGAGCATCGGGAACAATTCTCTTGCATAACGCGCTACAAGAAACGATAAGCGTGTGTTCATAAAAATAATTACATTTTTTTTTCTTTTTAGCAAAGAGAATGGTTGGGTAACGGAAAACGGGGTAACCTCCGATCGAGCTGATTTTTTCATCATAGATAGCCCTTGAGGTGGGGATTCCAACGGTGGTCATCCCATCCCTTAACTCCCCTCCGCCACCCGCGCAGAGGTCAAAAACCGAAATGGTCCAAAAAGTGGTTTACGCACCGATCTCAGTGAGTACATAAAAAAAAAAAGTTGATGTACTCGCTGAGATCGGTGCGAAAACTACGTTTTGGACCATTTCGGTTTTTGACCTCTGTGGGGGCGGCGGAAGGAGTTAAGGGATGGGATGACCACCGTTGGAATCCACACCTCAAGGGCTATTTATGGTAAAAAAATCAGCTCGGAGGTTACCCCGTTTTCCGGTATTTAACCAAGAGAACTAACGAACCATCTTGTAGTTATTGTCCCTGGGCTAAAACTATCCACATTTATATCCATTACGTTGGCTTTTAAAATCGTAGCGAATTGAATTCTCTCTCCGTGCTTTGGTTTTTTGTTCAATTTATCCGAGATATCTTGTATAGTCATTATTGTTGTAATGCTGTCCGCTAATGAAAAACAAAAAGAATGCGATTGAAATTTCTAGTACGCAATGCAGTGGCGGCTCGCGTATAGGCATTGTGGAACTGCAGTACTCCCATTTCCACTTGATATTATCGATAACATTTAATATAATGCGTCCTTCTTTCTTTAATTCTTTCTTTATACTTGTACAATATATAATCCTTAAGCTTAATGTCAGTAGCCATTACCCAGTTTATGAAAAAGATACAAAAATCATTGTATGGAACTGTGCGCTTCACAGTTCCAGCGGCGTGGCGTTTGACTATGTGCGCATGCGCACATCGGAAGCTGCGCGCGAGGCTGCGAGGGAGAGAGAACACCATAGACATAGTAAGTATAGACTGAGCATCCATTGTACATATAAGCGGTGATGCATACGATGAGAGAGAGAAAAGATGTAAGAGGAGTTTCTCTCTCTTTTCAATCTCGGAGAAGTGGGGAGCACTTCTCCTCATCTACTCACGCCGGTTCGTCATTTCCCCTATTATTCTACATTAGCGTCGTCTGCGCATTTAAACCATATCGCGCAGGCTCTTGCGCAGGTTCTTGCGCAGGCTCTCCCCACTTCTCCGGTATTGAAAAGAGAGAGAAACTCCTCTTACATCTTTTCTCTCTCTCATCGTATGCATCACCGCTTATACAATGGATGCTCGGTCTATACGTACTATGTCTATGGAGAACACTGTCGCTCCCGCAGTGCCGGTTTTTTAAAACAAAGGTTAAAAGTTTTCTGGACTAGCACCCCCACTGATTTTAGCTACGAGCCGCCACTGACGCACTGCGTTAAACTTCCAGAAAGTTTTAATTATCCTTACGATTTGGCGTCGCGAAGTTTCCGGACATTATGTCATGATCAAAGCACTGCACCGCGCTTCTTACAGATGTTGCTTCTGGCGTATTAGGATTCTCGGTGATCATAGTTTTTTTAACTACAAATATATCGGGATGTAAAAGGGAAAAAATTCGAATTATATTAAATTTTGATTGTTGATAAATTGCAACCTATGGATAATGCGAGCTTTTTCCTAAAATTGTTATAAGCGATACGAGCATCTGTGAGAAGTAGCACGGTTCGTTTAGGCTGCCAGAGAGCGCCTCTTTCAATCCATTCGTTTTCCCATAATATTAAAGATACAACGTCAACCGTGGTTGCATCTGTTGCCTCGAAGCTACGAAATTTTATGTTTCTTCCGTCACGTGTTATCACGTTGCGAATATCACTAATCTGTGAAACAAGGACACTCATTAGAGTCTATGGTTCAATTCCTCTCTATAGTAATCCGTATTATTTTTTTTTTCCAATAATATAACGAACATGAGTTCTAAGTGGGCAATAAATTTTGTAATTAATAATTTCCCAGATAGCATCGTTAAAACATACTAAAAATATCTGTTCCAGACATTCAGATATGACGTCTTTACGACGTCCGGGACAAGACATCGTAAAGACGTCCAGCAGGGCCGATGTTAGAAGGGCAATCGTCCAGGGCGCTAGATTTGAAGGGGGCGCCGCAGCCCGGTGTCCCTAGTATGCGAATATACCGATATTTTCTCATTATCTCTTCTCTCTATCTACATCTCATATGTAATATTACATGTATGCTATATATGCTGCGACATTTATGTCTACATCTTCCCTGACGCGTTTTTTAGCCCCTGAATGGGCGCCACGATAATCTTGCTCGGGGCGCCAATATTGTTAAAACCGGCACTGACGTCTAGGTAAGGTCGTAAGACGTTCAGACCTAAAATGGTGTGCTATCTGGGTTAAAACTTACAAAGGTAACGACGACCATAATGTCGACGTATTGATCGCGCAACGTCTCCAAGTTATCAAAAATGCTTTTCAGACTTCGCAACTCGGTCGGCTTTTTAATCGGGAGCATCAGCAAAGGTTCGTATTTTGCGCGCGTCGGTGCGTCATGGACTTGTATCAACGAGTTGCCCTCATTTACGGTTAGATTGCACGAGTTAGATACCCATGGCACAAAATGTTCGTTCTTGTCCTCCGGACGACGTTCTACCACTTTTGGATTAATTACTTCCACTGTAAGTCATTCAATCAAAAAGTATGAAATTTACATGCAATGTAATTTAAATTATGCTATATTCGTGCACCACTTGTTCTGTAACTCGATACAAACCAACACTACCGATATGGAAATCGGAAGACAGTTTTTCGACGAATTGTACGCTTCCCCATACGGTCACGTTTATGGAATCTTCTTCTGAATCGCGTAACGTGAATGTCCACACTCCTCGTTCACCATTGTTAACTGAAACGAACATTTAATCATGTACCAAGTATCTACTTGCAAATCACATAAATACATTTGATTACAATTTTTTATGACTTTCATTCATTTCATTCATTTTTAATTTTTACTTGAGCTTTTTATGACTTTAAATTTAACGTATAGAAAAGTAGAGTTACATTCTTACATCTTGTTCGCGCAGCGTCGATTACTTTCATGTTGAAACTATTTACAATTATGCCGATTACAAGAGCATTTTGCGTACCAGGTTGCAATGAATTTAATGCTTGTCTGTATACATTCGACATCGCTAATTATAGTTGTTTTTGTAATATTTAAACTTGTTTTATTCAATTCGAAAAGTTAGGTGATTTCCACGCTGTTTCCGGAACGCACAGTTACCGGCTGAGTTTTAGCGCTCTTCTTATCAACCGTGTTTGAATTCAAAATCGCGACCACCGCGAAAAAAGAAATTTTTAAAATGCAATTGAATATGTATTTTTTAAATTTTTTAATAATTCCTTGGAGCAATAATTAGCACGATTAAATATTGAATCGAAGTTCAAAAATGTAAAAAAAATATTTAAATATAAAAAGTAACCGATTTCGATGGTGCATTTGAAGCATCGTTGTGAACAAGGGCTAATGCACATGCCCCTTAACGATTGGCTCAGGTTGGCTATCCTGTTGCCGACGATACTTGATTCACTTTCATTGACTTTAGTGACGTTGGTTTGTGGGAGGTGAGCTTTTGTGCGAATTCCATGAGTTGAAGAATTTTTAAAAATATTACTACGCGTTGTAATCGTATAAAATCATGGCTGACAACGAACAGAAAGCGATGCAATTGCTAGCCGAAGCTGAGAAGAAATTGACATCATCGAAGGGCTTCTTTGGCTCGTTATTCGGGTAAGTTTACTACATTGATTTACTTGAACTCGTCCACCACCAAATCTGCTATCTTGCATCGTATTATTTATTTACATTGTTTTACGAACTAGATCAATCTGGTGTTTTTATTATTCGTAACGACGTTTCTCGTTGTCTCAAACTATTTTCTTGTTATTCAGTGAACTGGCAATTCTGCCAATTCGTACGTGTATATCTGGATCTATATATAACAGTTGCTATCTGCTCGTGATATAGCGTGTCAAAACTAGTAAATTAAGATGCAGCGGAAAAGATGCGTGGAAGCGCATATTTTTCACAGACAAATAGGTCCACATTATTCAGATTCTCCAGTCTGCTACTTGTTACATCTAATTTTCCCATTTTGGAGATTCATTGTTGCTTGGTTCTGGATGACTCATGCTTTCCTTTTAGCACTTCTAAAGTAAATGAAAATAACACGTATTACCATATGTGATAATTCTTAACGACTGTAGGTAAAATTGATTATTACATTTGTTATTACATATCTGATTGTATGCTGTAGCGGATCATCAAAAGTTGAGGAAGCTGTAGAATGTTACCAACGTGCTGCAAATATGTTCAAGATGGCAAAGAATTGGAGTGCGGCAGGAAGTGCATTTTATGAATCAGCAGAGTTACATGGGAAAGCAGGTAGCCGCCATGATGCAGCTAATAATTATGTGGACGCTGCTAATTGTTTTAAGAAATCTGATATAAATGGTATAATAATTGATAATGGCTATTTTTTATTTGTTCATGCACTTAACAAAAGAGGGCATAGATTAAGGGTTGATAACTGATCATTTTAATATTTTTATAGAGGCCATTAGTTGTCTGTTAAAGGCAATTGAAATATACACAGATATGGGTAGGTTCACAATGGCGGCTAAGCATCATCAAAGTATAGCTGAAATGTACGAAAGCGAAGCTGTAGATCTTGAGAGAGCAGTTTCTCATTATGAACAAGCAGCTGATTATTTTCGCGGAGAAGAGAGCAATTCCTCTGCCAATAAGTGTCTTTTAAAAGTTGCACAGTACGCTGCACAACTTGAGAATTATGATAAGGCTATTCAAATTTATGAACAGGTAACTTATATTACAAAATATTATAGGGTTTCAGATTATTGTTAAAGAAAAAGAAGTTATAATATTTTGTTGCATGTATTTACAGGTTGCTTCTGCATCTTTGGAAAGTTCTTTATTGAAGTATAGTGCAAAGGAGTACTTTTTCCGAGCGGCGCTTTGTCATTTATGCGTTGACATGTTAAATGCGCAACATGCGATCGAACGTTATCAGGAGCAGTATCCTGCATTCCAAGATTCTAGGGAGTATAAATTAATAAAGGTATGAGAAGTAAAACTTAATTAAAATATTTGTATATCGGCGACTAAACTTCTGGAATATACCGGAAGAAGATTTATTATTTTGTTTTGATATGGTAGAGAGTGTAATTTTGATTTCAGACATTAATAGAACACCTCGAGGAACAACACCTCGAAGGTTTTACAGAGGCGGTAAAGGAATATGATTCAATTTCACGATTGGATCAGTGGTACACGACAGTATTATTACGTATCAAAAAACAAGTTAACGATAATCCAGATTTGCGCTGATCGGTTGTCCCTCTTTTGTGCTATTTTTTCTCGATGATATTATTAATCCAATTCTATATGTATTCTTTTTTAAATCATACCCTGCTTTCAGTGAAACTTGTAAAGTAGTTTCGTTTTTATACCTAAATATATTTTTCATAACATTTCCTTATTCTCTTGGCAACTACTAAATATTCATGGGTTCAGTTATCGTGTGTGTATTCATAGGATATTGTCATTAAAAGTATATAAGGATATTCTACGAAAACATTACTAGTTCATTTAAATGCCTGTATACGTGGCATAAGAATAAAGTATAGAAATAAATAGTATTTAAACTTTGTTGATATTCATACTTGCAAATATATAAACAGCTTGCTAATAAGCCAAGGCTTCTGCAATTTAATTTAAACTCGTGCAATTGCAATAAATTATCCAAATACACCTATTCATTTTCATAAGTTTAGTAAATTTAGTAAGTGTGGTGCAGTTTCGATTGTATATTTTTAAGTGTTTTATGATACTTACGATCGGTTAGTTCTTTGAGGCATAAACAATAATAAGATTCTATGATAACAGAACGAAGAATTGCAGCCTATATTTACTTTTAATTACAACATGGTTTAGTGTTATTTTGCATGTATGTTTTATCTGGAATTGTTGTAGTAAAAAGACAATGTGTCTTTACACTGCCAGAGTACCAAAATATCAAACGAGGTATAGATTGTCTTTAAAAATTTCTCTTTCTTTCCTTAAACTTTAATTTTTTAGAAATCTTATATTTGATGTACATACGTTATATTATTAATGGAAAGTGAAGAATATGATTATATGCATTTAAGCGCGCATATATAATATGTAAATTTTTTTGTTTTTTTGTTTTATTAAGATACACTTGTTTATATTCTTGTATTGTTGAACATTAATTTTGTTAATGTATATTTGTATTTAGAAATAGAAGAATAGAGAGTATAAGTGATAAAAAAGGAATTAAATGAGAGATTTTAATTCCGTTTTATTTCATGATTACGTATCTTACCTTTATCATAGCATTTTATATTTAAAAACAGGTTGCAATTGTTTAAATACATTTATCAAACAATATATATTCCATCGTTAAGTAGGGATAGTTATTACAAGTTGCATGCATGGAAAGTAACAAGACTAGCATCATATAAATGTACGAAAAGAAACATAAATTCATGCCGTGTTTCAATTTCCCAAAGAATTTTAGAATCGTAAAAAGTTTATCGAATAAAAGCTTTACAGAAATTATACGTACATAAGAAATAACATCTGGACCATGTATTCTTCTATTTAATATATTCTTTGAGCATAGTTATGTGTACATGTATTCAGCAATTGTGATTTACTGAATGAGTGAATAATTAATTTCGGAGTAATTAATATACAACTGATTTTTTTTCTGTATTGGGTAGTATATGTACACTCTACAGGATTTTCAGCGATGTAACTGTGGTCTGAAAGTGCAAGTTTCATTCAGAAGCATGATTGAACTAATAATATATTCTCAATGAACTGTAGAAAAAATTGAATGTTACCTGCGTATTTTAAAGTTTATTTTATTGCCTTGTTTTAAAATACGTTTCTGTTAGAAATGTAAATGATTTTGTTATAGATTTATTTATTTTTTTACGTCTGTGAAAATACGCTCATATTGTGTACCTTGATTCCCGAAATTGTGATTAAAATTTATAACTGAACTTACTTTGTTATGTATGCGATCAATGCTATGTTAAGTTTCAACAGAATTTGTAGCACCACATGACAAACTTTTTAATAGAAACGTTAAAATGCTTTAAAAGCTACAACCCCATAACTAATAATAAGAAAAATGCTATGTTGCGAAAAGGAAATATAAGAACCAGAAACACTTTCATGAAACATCCTACGCATTAAACGATAAAATTATGCATTTTACAGGTTCTAGAATGGTAGTGAAATAGACAATATAATAGAGTTATATTTCCGTGAGAAATTTTATAAAATTAAGCATTTTAAGCATGTGTAATTTTCTTTTTACATAAAAACTATGCAGTAGAATCGTAGATAAACAGGTTGTAGCTTTTCCTATATTGTATTGCGCATAATTAAAAAAATAGATACCTTGTAAATAAAGATAACGGGATACAAGTCCATATTTAATGTCTGTATCGTAAATTATTGTATTTTTAAATTATAAGCTACAATTAATAATTTAGCAATAAATAAAATAAGTTGAAAATATTAGTTTTATTTTCAGCAATAAATTAATCACGATAGTACATAAGTGCTAAGTAAGATATTTTGTACACCATTCTCCCAGTTAATCTGAAAATAAATAGTAGTTATTTGTTATATTGTTGATGGTGTGTAAACGTCAATTATAATTTAATTGCAAACTTAAATTGGTCGTAAAATGTATGTAATATTACAATCGATCATTGCGCCATCTATTCAAAAAAGGCGGAAACTACTCGACAATTATCGACTGATTTACCTACATATACCACTGATGTGGGGTGACGGTAATGCAGATTTGGTGGTCGGTATAATTCTCACTGTCGGTAAAGGCGTGCTCTTTTTACCTTCACCTCACTACGCGCAATCCTTATGGCAGGTTCATAAACCGATATTTTCCCCCTAACTATATGTACATACTTTCAAACTTAATCTTATTTTACTAATTTTAACAGCTATAAAAACTAATAACATATGTTTTGAAAATAGATTTTTCTTACATTTTATTCCGAAAATGTAAGAACAAAATACCTAAAGGTACTAGGGATATCATAGTAGAGAAACAGACTGTTGGCGATCATTTCAATAATTTCTAGAGAAAATATTCAGGTGGATGAAAATTCTGTAGTATACACAAGCGGAGAATTTTTCTACAACTTTGATAACGTGTTTAATTAGTTTTTGTGAAGCAAGAGAATGCAAGTTGTTGGGGTCGACGGTCGTGTCGTCGGCTATCTTTTTTGTTTTTTAATACTTCAAGCAAAACTTACGAACTCAAGAACCTCTTGGAGGCTCAGTGCTGACAAAGTTGTCAAGACAACAGACTTTGTGAGTACGATCGAGGATGATCCTATTTTCGATATCCTGGCCAGCAGTATCAGTGTCGGTAATGGACAAAGTTGGAGTAGAACAGCTGTTTCTGAAAAGCATGATAAGATACAATCTTACTGTCAAGACTGCAAAAATGTTGGTGCTGGAAATCATGAACGGTAAGAAATGATGGAAATTTCATTAATTTTGGGTAAGAGAAAAGAAATACATCTTGTTTTAGAATATCAAATTGGTGCTATTAACGCTCGTTGGAACGAAATAACTGGTACTTATGATTTTAAAAATCCAATGACACGATAGCTTATAGATACATGGAGTGAATTACATTAAGAAAGAAAAGTTACTGGTACCTAAACAACCATCGTTTGGATAACATTGGATTTGAAATATTAATGACTGTGGGTATAAACAAATTATAGAAGATCAATCTATAATACTTTCTTTCCAATGTTAAAATGATTTGATTTAATTTAATTCTATGAATATGTTTGTTTATACTCATTGGTACAAAAATTTTAAACCCAATTTTATCCAAAAAGTGCTTGTCATGGTCATAATTTACCCTTTTAAGTTTAAATATTTCATAGTTTCCTTTCGTGAACCCATATTTTAATGATGAAATAAAACTTATTTCTCTAAAAATGTTGTATTTAATTAAAAAGCATTTATATTTAACTATTCTGAAAAGTGACACACCATTTTATAAGTTCATATTAATTTTCACAACATTGCAATGCATGCATGCAAAACAATGTTAATAATTCTATAAACAAGAGAAATGAAATAATATTGTAATTTGTATTTGGAAGTACTTTTTGTTATATCAAGAAATTGTTAAATGCTTATTCATCAAAATTATAATCAATATTATTGCATGTTATTAAGTTAAATTATAATATATTTCAAGTGCATATATTCATATTTAGTAGCAAGCTACTCTGCATGTTAGTAATCATGTGTTTCTTTCTATTATAATTTATGAGAAACTCAAAAATGTATTAAGCCTTTAAATGTCTAAAAATGTAGTCCAATTAGAAAATTTGTTAATTATATAAGATATACATATATATATTTTTTTTTATTCATTAAGCATTGAAATTTACTTTATTGTTTGTATAATTTATTTAATTAAAATCAGTACTTATATTTTAGATTTTGTTCTCCACAATTGTTAAAATTAATCTGATGCAATTTTCTTTTTCTTCCTGTAGTTAGTATTTGTGTGTGGCTTACTGTTCTTTCAGTGTTAAAAAAGCCCTAACTTTGGTCCCCTTGGCAGACGATTCTCGTCATACGTGTTGAAGGATACACCAAATGCCACTGAGTCTTTTCCTTTATCCACTCAAGTGTCGAATGAGCAAATCATGTGTTCTTCTGGACAATGTGAGGATATAATCCTAGACTGTGGGAAGCCAGTTAATTTTACTTATTATGATAATTTGCTCGGTATTGCAAATAGGGATAAACATCCATTGGTTCCAGAACCTAATGTAGCACTCATGTTTAAAAAAAATGGTGGCAAAACAATGGAAGTTGATATTGATTTATTAGAAAAACGATTAATAAAAGCTAAAAGAGAGGTATAAGATAGCTTTAAGAAACATATATTTTATATAGTTATATGTAATGTATGTCTTATTCAATATTTTTTTTTTCCATTTCTTTTTTACACAGAAACCAAAATCTGTTCAACTTTATAATCAGATTGGGAATTTTTGGAGGATAAAAGGAGATGCACAAAGATCCATCGAGTGCTTTAGAAGGGCGCTTGCTGTGTCACCTCATAACGCAGAAGTTTTATTAAATTTGGCTAGAGTGTTATTAGTTCAACAATATTTGGATGATGCAACATATTTAGCAAGACGTTCATTAGAACGACAAGCTCCAGATAGGAATGCATGGGAACAATATCTTACTCTTGGTCAAATATTCAAGGTGATTAAGACGTTTCAGAAACATATTTTCATTTTCAAAAAATCTGAAAAATATTTAAACGATTTTAAGTAATATTTTAGTATTGCAAAATATTGATGCTTTCTTTTTATGTAGGCATACGGCCATTACCAAGAAGCAGCTGTACACTTACGACATGCTTTAGAATTAAAGCCAGATCTCTCTGAAGCTGCTGAAGCTTTAAGAGAGATAGAGTCACTTCCGGCTGCGAGTATACATATCTACACACTACTGATAATCATATGTTTGGTAGGTGATACAAAAGAGATAAATTATATCACTTTAATTTGTATTAAAATAACTGAATATAAATAGTTATATATATATATATATATATATATATATATGTATATCATTTATGTCATATTTGAAGTACATCGCATTTAAATCTGTTTTAGGTGCTTGGAGTACTTTTAGTAGTTCTAAGTAGTGTAGAATGTGACGAAGACTCTAGTCTTGTCAATGGACAACTTCAACGTCCAGTGCAACGGCATTTTAGCCGGGCTATGGCGATGCGCAGTTTACGACTTAACGTTACTCGCAATAAACGTTGTTGATTATTTGCTAAGAAACAGAAGAACTTTGTGATAGAATAAAAATTTCAGCTGCTGTTATCATTTATCTATTTACAAAATATTATTTGTAATATGATTTTTAACAATTATTTAATGTATCAATAAATCTGCAATTTATTATAAGTGAAAATATACAATAAAAAGCAACAGTAGTTCTCTTTTACTACAAGAAAAAAGATATTGCATTTAACATAAAACGCATGTATAAGAGTACATATATGTATAGGGGTGTGTGTATATATGTAATACATTTTTAATTAAAAACGGAATGTAATCTGTGGAATTACAAGATATTTGTGTTGTTATATTAAGTATTAACATAGATATTATTAACAACATTTTTTCAACATCATTTACAGTATACTCAACATCATTTACAGTGACACTAGAGTATATAAATAATTACTTATATATTCTATTCACAAGATCTAATTTTATATTTTTAAATAATTTACAGTTACATACTTAAGGTTTAGATATTTTTTAATATGTACACAAAACAACATCCCTCATTTTTGCGACTGGAGATATGTAACAAATTTGTTTCCCGCTACTTCAATATAGATTAATGAATTCCCTTAACTTTGATTTAATAATATCTTTAAACTTGAAAGAACAGTGCTTTGTCTATGTATTTTTAATCAACTTTTTTGTTATGTACTTTTTACAAGTACTGCCTAAATTTTAGTTAAACAGCAAAATATTTAACTAAAATTTATGTTAATGTAAAATAAATTCTTAAACGATTTCTTAAAAAATTAGAAAGTAAAGTGTAAATACCCTATGCTTAATGACAAACTGTTTCTTCAATGCATTGCTGCAAACTCTAAATATAATTTAAAAACTTAATACATTCAGAAAGTTAGGCCTTACATTTGCATTAACAACTTTAATTTTTGTTTTATGTACAAACACCAAAAATAATACTAATTAAGACAATATATGCCATAATTCAGTTTATAATCTTTTAAGGGTTTTAACAAAGAATGTGTCTAAATACTAGGATTTATTTTACTGTATTTTTTGTTTAATACCGAACTTATCCTAAAAATGTTATGTTTGAATAGCACAGATTTGTTGAATTTTTATTATTCAAGGTATTTCATCTTTTAAAGACTACTCTGTACAAGGTAATAAACTTATCTGGTTACTATTTACATACAAAACATGAATATTATACACGTTTTATGTATGATCTATTTAAAGAAAGAAAAGGATTGTAATTTGCTCTGTGTGTGTGTGTATGTATATGTAGAAACATCTTTGTCAATACTTACCCTTAAAAGATACTTATGTGCACACATGTAGGTATAGAGATGTATATTAGCATACATGTGTGCAGTGGACATAAAAATTACGAATGTATAGCCTATTAATCTATAGCATATCTATATTAAATTTTAATACACCTTGTAAGTTAAAATTGAACCCAACTAGCATTTCCTACTGTTGCTGGTGTCGGTGGTTGAGTTCCAGATTGTTGCGATGCACTAGCAAATTCTCCCCACTCAGAACTTGTTTGATTTTGGTTCTGAACAGGTTTATGGGCAGGTGATGAAGTTGGAGTTTTAGCAGGTGGTGGTGCAATTTTCACACCACCTGGTGGAGGAGGTAAACCCATATTTGTATTGCCACGTTGCTTTGATTTAGAAGAAACTTCGCTACCATCCTTTTTCTATGTTCAATAAAGAAGAATTTTATGATATATTACTTAATATATAATCTAAATTTATATAATAATATATAAATCAAAACAATCTTACAGTAATTTTCATATTTATTTTTATTGTTTCTCCTTCTTTAAATCTGAGATCCAATTCTTGTTTTGGTTTATCTTTCTCCTTTTCTATTTGTTCCTGATTTTTAAGCCATTTAAAATGATCTTGAAGGGCAACATTTAAATCAAAACTATCAGATCTATCTAAAAATCCCACACCAATGAAAGCTGATCTTCCATTATCATCTTGAATTCTTAGAACAAAATAACGGGAAGAATCTGTGACTGGTTCAACTGCAATTCCTGGATATTGTTCAATTGGACATTTAGCAAATAATTCTCCAGTAACTTTATCTTCCAGCTTTATGGTGACTGAGTCTCCCTGAGATACAAGTCGCATACGCCCAGTCCATGAAGGCTCTTGGAGATTCCAATCAGCTGCTCTATACATGTACATAAAATACTTATAATTACACTTATACTTTGTTATGTTTTCTATTAATTTATAATAAAATCTTTTATAGTTTTTATATTATTTTCATGAAACTACATTATTACATGTAATAGAATAAAATATTCAATATTGCTAAAGTGATTTTTAAAAACGGAAAAATTCAAACATACAGAAACACACATTTTAGAATATTCATTCCAGATGTAATAGTATTTTTTTGCACATTTTCTACTACATCTGACGTGTCAAACACCGAAGCTAAGACCGATGAAAACTGTACAATATTGAATTTTCTAAGCGGTAATAAAAAAAATATTGTGTCTAAACGTGGTTTTGTATATATCATTATTTCATGAAATCAAATATTTTTCAAGAAAAATATTGTCAAAAGAAATTAATCGTACCGATAACCCCTATTTGTTGACCTTGGCGGTATTTTAAACACAAATACTTCGGACTTGACAAGTAATACACTTTCATACGTATCCATTATATTTTTAACAAATCACACAGAAAGCACGTACGTACGTCACAAGTAGAATTTAACGAACTACTATTTGAAAATTCGTTTATATTTTGTGACGAATCTTTACCGTGATTTGATAACTTTATCTCTAGTCACGCCTCCCATCCCCACATCGAAACCATTCACCATAGATTATTTTATTAACTATAGTAGGTAAACACGATTCATGCATAAAATGGTATTTTAACATATACTGCAGTTCACGAGAGACCATACTTACTAGATGACGAGTTTTCGCTCGTTTTTGCGCATATGACTGTATTTCAGTTATATATACTATATAATCTATGGTAATGCGCATGCACTCGACACCGGTTGGAAACCCGAGAATATATACCTAGTGAACAGAAAATTTTACAATTTTTCATTCTTGATTCATCTTCCCTTCATTACACGAAAATTACTTTCTATATTCAAAATTCTTTCAAATCTATTTCTTTTAATTTCATTTCAATTGTATCTTGTATCTTTACCATATCATCACCGGGTATCAGTTATCGCACGTCCTATATTTTTGCCCACCATTTATATGATCGCAAAGTAAGAAGCAAACTGTAGAGAGGAATCACACACGTTATTAAAAATCTTCCTAGACCTAATGAGCTGCGCGAATTAAGTATGGTTTCTCGTGAACTGCAGTGTAGAATATTATATAAATATATTTTATTCATATGAATATATAAGTTAATTTGAGTTAAAATATATCAAACACAATAATTTAAAAAAATTATAAATCACTATAATTTTTTATACGTATTTAAATACATACATACATACATGCGTTGTAAATAAGACCAAATAAGATCAACTACCGATATTCGCAAGAAGCCGGCGTTGTTTGAAGAATTATGTCGATGTATTTCTTTAATTTTATCAAATATAATCAACATTTTATTTAAATGTATTCATAAATTATAAAAATATAAAAATATACAAGATTCCATATGCATCCCTAATCGCCGCATTTGTTGGGGAATGTTTTACAGGTTTGAAAATGAATCAAAATTCCACTTGTTTGTAAACTGTTGCTATGAAGTATTTGGCGGTATTTCTCTGAAATGAATAAGATGGTTTTCTTGTTCATGAAAGTAACATAACATTTTTGTTTTAGGGATAACATTGTAAAAAGAGCATTAAAATGATGCATAGAAGAGGAGGTAAAAGAATTCGTATGGATGATCCGGTGCCTCCAGAGTATGAGGCACCGATGACTCCAATGACTCCTATGAATGATAATTCAACTGGTGAAGCTAATGAAGCTTATTCCACTTATACACCATATAGTCAAGCACCACAAACACCTATACATAATCCAACGTATGTATAATTTTAAATGCAAATTATATTTCAACAAAATAGTAATATGTATTTATGTTTGTCTAGCCCTGAACATTATTCATCTGAGAGTTATAGCTCTCCTGGTACGTCACAGCAACAATATCAAGAACAAACAGGAAGTTTTGAAAATCAGTCACAGTTTGAGCAACCAATGACACCGGCAACTCCAACTAATATGAGGATTACAAGAAATACACGTGCTAGATTACGTGGTATGATTCAAAATGATATTTTTATAATTGATTATTATAATAATTATGCTTTGTATGGATAGGGGGCCCAATACAACAACCAAAATATAAAGAAATAGATACAGACTATATTCCAACTACTACTAGTAGAGGAAGAGGAGGTGGAGGCCGTGGGCGTGGAAAACGAACACATCATTCGCATAGTTTAGAAGATGAGGCTAGCCTTTATTATGTTATTAGAAACAACCGATCTTCATTGACTGTACGTTACTTATTTCTACAAATATATTAATTAGGATAACGTACCATGTACATTAATTACTACTGTATTTATAGGCTATCGTTGATGACTGGATAGAAAAATACAAAAGTAACAGGGAAAATGCTCTTCTCATGTTAATGCAATTTTTTATTAATGCAAGTGGTTGTAAAGGACGTATTACACCTGAAATGCAAGCAACAATGGAACATGTAGCGATAATTCGTAAAATGACTGAAGAATTTGACGAAGTATGTTAATATTATTTTTGTAAACGGATATTTTGCTTGTTTGATTAACAGTAATTAATAAAATAGGAAAGTGGGGAATATCCATTGATCATGACCGGGCAACAATGGAAAAAATTTCGTGCAAATTTCTGTGAGTTCGTGCAAATATTGGTTCGACAGTGTCAGTATTCAATAATTTATGATCAGTTTTTAATGGACAATGTAATTTCATTGTTAACTGGTCTTTCTGATTCTCAAGTGAGAGCTTTCAGACATACAGCTACTCTTGCTGGTGAGATATATTATTTTGATCTAGTTCTTATAATTTATAATCTAGATGTTATTTCTTATAATTAAGAACATAATATTACTGATAACATTATTTATAGCTATGAAACTTATGACGGCATTAGTAGACGTTGCTCTAACTGTATCGATAAATTTGGATAATACACAACGACAGTATGAAGCCGAAAGACAAAAAGCAAGAGAAAAACGAGCTGCCGATAGACTAGAATCTTTGATGGCAAAACGGAAAGAACTAGAGGAAAACATGGATGAAATAAAAAATATGCTTACATACATGTTTAAATCTGTATTTGTACATCGTTATAGAGATACATTGCCAGAAATACGCGCGATTTGTATGGCAGAAATTGGAGTTTGGATGAAGAAATTTCATCAAAATTTTTTAGATGATTCTTATTTGAAATATATAGGTTAATATAATATTAATGTATGAACTTTTATATTGCATAGTATTTACTTAAATTCGCTGCAATTTTGTAGGTTGGACATTGCATGATAAAGTCGGAGAAGTTCGATTAAAGTGCCTTCAAGCATTACAACCATTATATGCTTCAGAGGAATTGAAAACTAAACTTGAACTTTTTACAAGTAAATTTAAAGATAGAATTGTTGCAATGACATTGGATAAAGAATATGATGTTGCGGTGCAAGCCGTTAAACTTGTTATCTCGATTTTAAAACATCACCGAGAAATCCTTACCGATAAAGATTGCGAACATGTCTACGAACTTGTTTATTCGTCTCACCGTGCTGTTGCACAGGCAGCAGGTGAATTTTTAAACGAACGATTATTTCGTCCAGATGACGAGGCAGTGGCAGGCGTGAAGACTAAACGCGGAAAGAAGCGTCTGCCAAATACTCCTCTGATTCGAGATCTTGTTTTATTCTTTATCGAGTCGGAACTTCACGAACACGGAGCTTATTTAGTAGATTCTTTAATTGAAACAAATCAGATGATGAAGGATTGGGAATGCATGACGGATTTATTGTTAGAAGAGGCTGGACCTGAAGAAGAAGCTTTAGATAATCAAAAAGAAACATCTTTAATTGAATTGATGGTTTGTTGTATAAAACAAGCTGCTACAGGTAAATTTTCTTTTTCATGTATATGTTCTTATGAAATTTTATAATAATGTACTTGATGTAATTTTAAAAACAGGAGAAGCTCCAGTTGGTAGAGGGCCAACTAGAAAGATATTATCAGCAAAAGAAATGAAGCAAGTTCACGATGACAAACAACGATTGACGGAACATTTTATACAGACATTACCTCTTCTACTTGATAAGTATAGAGCAGATCCTGAAAAGCTTGCAAATTTACTAGCTATTCCTCAATACTTTGATTTGGATATTTATACCAAATCACGACAAGAGCAGAACTTGGATTCATTGTTAAATAAAATTCATACAATTGTGGAGAAAATGCATGATACAGAAGTTTTAGATACAGCTGCAAAGACATTGGAACATATGTGTATAGAAGGGCACGCTATCTTCACCAGGTTAAGTTTAACGAGATAAAAAGATCTGTGGAAAATAGAAGGATATTTAATGTTTAATGTATTTTCCATAGGTGTGATGTAGCACGTTCAACGTTAATTGATTCTATTGTAAATAAATATAAAGAAGCTATCGACGAATATAGGAATTTAGTAGAAGGAGATGAAGAACCAGACGAAGACGAAATTTTTGATGTTGTACAATCTCTTAAAAAGGTCTCGATATTTTATTCCTGTCATAATATGAATCCATGGGGAATATGGGATTCCTTGTACAAGGATATCGAAGATGCTAAAGATCCATCTAGGTATTAATACTATTCTCTTTTCCCGAATTCCCAACGGTTCTTGAAATATCGGGGTTTGAAGTTTCCAGGTTGTATGGGTAGTTGCTAAAGAGTAAATTACATTTTTGCGACTGGGCAAGGTAATTTAATCTTTAGCAACTTGGCTGGGATTAGAAAACAATTTATGATTGTCAGTTGTTTGTTTTTTTTCTAAGCCCTCTAGTCGCAACAATGTAATTTACTCTTTAGCAATTATCCTGGCAACTTCAAACCCCGATATTTCAAGAACCGTTAGGAATTCGAGAAAAGTGAATAGAATCATTTTTGCTTAAAATTAGTCATAGAATTCATATACGAAGTATCTCGGATACCTCGGCGGCCACCCTGTATACACATAACATTTCATATACACAGATTAATTTTATTACAGGTGTTTACCACACGAGGCAGTCAAGTATTGTATAAGTGCATGCTTTTTTGCAATTTTGTGGGGACAAAATCATCTTATGGAATCTGCGGATTCTGGAAATCGAGGTGAAGATGAATGTCGGCAATTAAGGGAACGCTTGCACTCTTTTATGGGCTCTATGCGTCATTTCGTTAGTGGCGACGTGAATGGCACGGTAATTGTTATATTTTTATTATTTCTTTTTCAAAATTTTCCTCGTGTCGATAATACATAATATCTTATAATATTGTCTTAGCCTTCTCCTCCAATTCTACGAGAAGAAGCTTACAATACAATTTGTGACCTGTTAGTGGTATTTTGTAATCAGTTGACATCACATTCTAATCCTTTAATGCATCAATTAGTATACGAACCTGACCAAGCAATGCAAAATATGCTTAATCGATTCATACAAGAATACGTATTTTTTGAAGAAGAAGATGGTATGTTGTCAATAATGCGTTTAATGTGTATTCTCTTAGCAAACAAAACAATCATTGACACAAATGTATTTTATCCTCACAGACGAACATGACGAGCATTCAAAAATTGAAGAATTGCACAAAAGAAGAAATTTTCTAGCTGATTATTGTAAGTTAATTGTGTATAATATGATACCAACGAAAGCAGCAGCAGATGTATTCAAACATTATGTAAAATATTATAACGATTATGGTGATATTATTAAGACTACGTTAGGAAAAGCTAGAGATATTAATAAAACCCATTGTGCTTTAACTATGCAACACAGTTTGAACATTTTGTATAATGAAATAGTAGCTGAAAAAGGCAAGGTTAACAGAAATAGCGAAGAGTTTACTGCTATTAAGGTTTGTCCCTATTGATACTTTATTACCAATCATATACGTATGAATGATACACATTGTATGTATACATTTGCAGGAACTTGCGAAACGATTCGCTTTATCGTTTGGTTTAGATGCAGTCAAAAATCGCGAAGCAATAACCGCTTTGCATCGAGCAGGTGTTCTTTTTGCAATCACACCTCCAGATGGTATCGAACAAGATCCTACTGGACCACCGCCTAATTTATCTTTTCTTGAAATCTTGTCTGAATTTACCAATAAACTTCTTAAACAGGATAAACGGGTTGTGTGAGTATCATTTTACTTCTGTTTAATGTATTTTTGGAGTTTATTATAAGGACCTTTACATTTGTATTACAGATTAAATTTCCTCGATAGAAGATTACAAGCTGGAATGCCGTCCTCCCGCGGTGAGGACTGGCAGCCATTACTTTTGTATAGAAACAGTCTATTACATGGTGAAACAGATCAAGTACCAGTAACAAGCAAACGAGCATATACAAGACGTAAAAAGGATCATTTAGCTGGTAGGTTAATGAATACATCATAGTTATGAAGTTCCTAAATCTTAATTCATCATTTTATTTTATTCTTTTTATTATTATTATTATTTTTTTTTTTTTTTTTTTTATTCTGTTTTTATTGTACATTTTGCAGAAGAAGAAGAAGCAGATGAGCCTGACGAAGGTTCTGATCATGAGTTTCCTGGGTGAGTTAGGTGTCCATACAAACTTACATTCTTTACATTTTACTTCTTAGAATCATGATAAAAGTAGAATATTTGCACAGTTGCGAGTAATGGCTATATATGTGTTTATAAAGATTTGTAACAAAATTAATCTATAATCTTAATATAATATATAACACGCTTTGTTTGCTTTTAAAATATAATTTATGCTATGAATGATGAGCACTTTAAATAATTATAGAAAGTACCGCAAATGTAGCTACTAAATTTACACGCTTATGTAGTTGTATTAATGCACATGTGATGTGCCCCTTTTTCTTATTATTATTACTATTTGATTGTCATATGAATGAATGCTAACTTAAATCCGTATTATTCAATAGTATTTTTTTATTTTTTACTATTGCTTTAAAATATGCTTTATTATATCATTCTGTTATTAATAATTGTAAACAAAATTTATTTATGAGAAACATTTTGGGTGAAAATATTATTTATAATATAACTTGAAATACAAATCATTGTAAATGTACTAATACTTTCATTTAAAGTCTATTCATTTCTTAATTTTTTTTCTAAATACGGAAATTCTTAAAAATAAAACATTTACTCAAGTTGTTATTTTGTACTTTATCATTTAATTGCATGCCTGTGCTTAATTTGTTAATAAATATACCCGTTATTAGTGGCGTCTTTACATAAATCATAAATTTTTTGTGTTTGCATGGGTAGTAATCTTTTATGAATCGCTTGTTGCAGGCTACCTGATCGTTATACAAGCTAAAAGTTAGAATTTTTAGCAAAATATATATTATATTCTGTTATAATAAGGGGCAAAAATTGTATAAGGATTTGATGAGGTCTATTTTTCTTGGTGCCTGTTTTCAAAGTAATGTAAGGAATTATTGAGAATACATATACATATATACATATAACACGTATTGTATGTATATATACGTATGCCATGTTATAAAAATATCAAATTAAATATTAAACGTATATTTAAATACGTTAATGTTGTACATGGAATTGATGAAATCTATCATTTATACTACCTACTTTTCAAATAATTCACCTATAAGCTAATATAAAGAAAAAAGTAATTTAAAAATATATAATGATATTATGAAATGATAATATTTTTGGAACACCTGACAAAAAAAGTACATAGAGAACGATGTGTGTTCTATTGAACCTAAGAATTTAAAACCAAGTAAGTTTAAAATATGTTGTATTCTGTTTATACATATATTGATAATATACAAATTGGTGATAGATATAACGAATATGTGATATTAATTAAAACAAGACCCTTTTATTCCTGTAAATTCCTAAATCCTGCTTATCAAAATTAAAAATCCACAGTAAATAAGTAACATTATATTTTATGCAGCTTTCGTCTAATTGAAATATAATAGACTTAACTCGTTATTTCATAATTTCTACTCTCAACATTGAATTTTTATTGTAGTTTCTTCGTTACTTAACACGCCGTTCTCTATAATCGCCACAATATTACAGAAATGTTTTTAGGTGTTTGGTTTGTTAATACCTGGATTTCTTCGGACATAATGACCAAGTCCATTAATACGTATGTACACGAAGTGAAATTTTGTAATATATACATATGTTCGTATTATATGAAAAATATGTGTGAACAAATGATGTTATTTAATATTAATTTTTGTCCCTTCTTTAATCATTAAACTAACTCCGATATATTTCCATCAATGAAAAATTTTTATTTCAGCAAACACAAGAAGAAACGAGGCCCAAGAAAACATCAGTGAGTAAATTATTTCATTCTCTTATAAGTAGTTTTTAAAAAAATAAACTAAAAATTTGAAATGATTTCATTTAAGTAATTTCTATAAAACAGAATTTCGATGTTATTCGTCCTTTGTAGTACCATTAGCTCGAATCTGTATTTCAGATTAGCCGTTAATAAAGTATCAATAACTCGTGGATCTAGGGCGGCCGGGTTTTATGAAAGCAACGATAATACACAAATGCAGACATCTCCATCGGCAATTATTGAAGACGCATCAACCAGCCCTTCTCAAGACATAGATAATAAACTTAAAACATTACAAATCCAATCGAGGTCGTAAGTAGTTAACGCTTGTACTTTATAAATTCAAATCATTTTTGCCCGCCCTGAAATACTTGAAACAATTTCAATTGCTTCTTAGACGAAGAAGTCAGGATCATATGGAACCAAGAGAACTAAGAAGAACTTCTAGAAATTCTGGTCGTTATATAGAAGGGCAGTACATGGTAAGTTGCAATAACAATAAAATTGTGTTTAACTGTTTAAGTATTTAATATTCATATCTATCATTATCATTACTTTGTTATAGGAGTCCGATTCTGAATAATGAAGTACAATAAAAAAAGGGTACATCCAACACGGAAATACTCTAAAAGGAAGTGATTTGTGATACGTTTATAAGATATATAAATGGTGTTCAGCTACAGGTGGGTATCCTTTAAGGGAAATAGTAGCTAAGATAATTTTGAACAACTTTTTGCTTTATCAGAATGCGCGTTGAGACTTATTTTTTGAATAATTAATGAACAACACTGACTAAGCAGAGCGCGTAGGCTCGGCCGCGTGTGTTATTCATTTTCATGAATAATTCAAAAACTGTCTCAGCGAGCATTTTGATAAAGAAAAAAGTTGTTCAGGATCTTTCCAACTACCACGGCTTGCAAGGATGCTCACCTGTAGCCGAATATTCTGTATAGATTGAGTAAGTTTTGGAACTTAATCAATCAGTTTACAATCAAATTTCATTTTTATTTACGAGATTATTATAAGGCTTTGTTAAAGCATTTCTTTCCTTTCTAATATTATTTTTATTATTTAGAGTGATATATCTTGTTTTGACTGTATTGTAGTATATATTGAAAACAATATACTACTTAATATCAGGGTCTTTATATTGATAAAATTTTTAAATACTATTGTTATCATAAATCTATTTAATTACTACCGAAATAAATAATTATAACGTATAAAAAATATTTGTCTTATATCGTCTGCTTATTTAAAATTATATTCTATTAGAAACATCATTGTAATTATATATTGATATCATTCACTGTATGTACAATTATAACTTTGTGTATAAGTTAAAAAGATATGTTTACTTAAATTAAACTATTAAATAAAATTTTTATCTGTCATTTGTACCGCGATATTTACGAAAAATACTACTTCTTCTGCGACTTCTTTGTGGCGTAGTAGTCACTGTGTTCTGTAAAAAAATAATATATGTGTAATAATTAATCCAAAACTATGCCATTTCTCATAGTTAATTTTATTAGTGAAGAGCTTACTTCGTCTTGACGTTTCGAAGAGAACAAACTTTTTAATGTGCGTGGTGTCGTTGTTGCCCGATCTTTATTTCTTTCTTTTAATATTCTTGAATTCGGGCTCTTTAATTCATTACCCTTAAAATTTTAAATAAATAAACACTATACATTAATATTCAATCAAGTAACATTTTGTATATAATAATCACATTGTTATTAAATATATTATTATTATTAAACTACTATTATTATTAAATATATTATTATTATTATTATTATTATTATTATTATTATTATTATTATTACTTGTAACGATAATCTTCCTCCATTTTTACTAGGGGTTGGGGGACCAGGTTTTTTATATGATATCTGCAAGAAATATGACAATATTAAATCAAGAATATAATTTTGCATTATGAACAGAACATTTTGAATAAATTCAATCACGGTTTGACTGCTTACCTGAGTTCTATCTCTTTTCTTAACTTTTTGTTCGGGAAGCAAACTTTGACTTAAACTATCATTGAACATCTCATCTGTTACTGAACCTGACTATAATTAAATTCAAAATAATACAAGTACATATTTTTATATAAATATAAACAAAAACAATACTTACTTTGATTTCTTCTTCTGAAAATGGTAGAGGGTGAAATTGCATTTCAGCAGGATAAGAAGATTTTAAATGTGGTTTGCAAAGAGCATTTCTTTTTTTCAAAATAGATAATCGATCATCAACGTTCGACGAATTGCTCTCTTTCATATCAGCTAATGAATTAATATACATATGTTTAAAAATTTTATGTCAGAAATTTTTTAAATTACACTTAATTGGTTGCTAAATTTACCTAAATAGTTGTTATCAAAAACTTCCTCTTCATCTTCTGCGTTAAATGCATTACCCATTGTTTGTATACTTCTAATACTGTACCTTCTTTCATATGTTGTTTTTTCTTGTATCATTGCAACTTCATGCAAAGTTTCTTCTTTATTTTCCCCTATTCCTTCATACCTGAAAAAAGTTTCAAACAATGTCTGTAACATATCTAAAAGATTAAATCAGCTTTTGACTACTATGGTAAAAAAATCAGTCTTACTTAGAACTTCTATGCTCTGTTGAGGAAACTACTTTTTCGTCCAAGTTTCGATATTTAACTTTCAGTTTGTTTAATTCCTTTTGTAATTTTTCCTTCTCCTGTTGTTCGCTTAATAGCTTTTCTCCAACATTCCAAATTTGTGTACTCATACTAGCAACATGTGCTTTATATTTACATAATTCATCTGCTTGTTTGCGACATTGTGATTCCATTTTTCTTTGTAGTAACTCCAACCTTTCCTGTACACACTGTTCTTGCTCGTTGTTTAGCTTTGCTATTTGTGCATTGTATGCTGTTTTCTGTAATGCGTTACCAGAAATAAGCGAATCATAATAATTTAAAAAAGTAAAAGATATTTTAATATACCTACCATATTTTGTTTGATCTCATCTAATTTAACTCTGTACTTCTCATGGATGTCTTTCAACTGAATATCAACGTCTTCTTTCTTTGGCCGGCTAATTAATTCATTTCTTATTTCTTCCAGCTTTAAGTTCTCTTTCTTTAATTGCATTAATTCGTTCTCTAAATCATCTCTTTCTTTTGATGATGTTATCTTTAGGTTTTCTATCTCAAACTTAAGTTCCTCAATTTCGTTTTCTATTTCTGTATTACTTATACGTGAGCAATCTAATTTACATTGTAAATTGCATTTATCTTCTAACAATTGATTAATTTGTAACTGTAACTTCTCTGTTTCAGATTGAAATTTTGTTTTATTAGATTCGAAATTAATTGTAAAAGAAGCAATAAAGTTTGAAAGGTCATCTACTTCGCTGTGAAGTTGACTAATGTCTTTTTGTAATAGCTTATTTTTATCTAACTCTGCTTCAATTATAACTTTCTCATCACCAAAAATATCCAACATATTTTCATTTTCTATTGAATTCAAATAAATATCCTTTAATTGATGTTCAGACCGTACAAAGTTTTTCCACAAAATAGTATGCAATGGTTTTCCATTTTGATAATGATTAATGTACTGTTTAAATAACATATTTTCGAGATGTGTCTTTTTATTGTGTATATATTTCAGTTCATCACATATAGAATCATCCATTACAAAAATATCATGAGATTTTGTTAACAATTCATGCCATTTTTGTTTCAATTCATTTAAAGATGTATCCAAATCTTCTCTTAATTTTACTACATTCCCTAAAGAACTTTTTAATGTATCCTTATGCTCAATGATATTACTTAAGTGCTTTATGTATTCTTCACCTTTAGAAACATAACTGTTTACAATTTCTTTTTCATTTTTCAAGGTTTCATTTAAATTTATATTTACATTAGACAGATATAAAATTAATTCTCGTGCAACCTGCATCTCGTTAACAGATGTCTTTATAGTGTTTAAAATACTCTCAACTTCATCGTCATTATCATTATCATTATCTGCACATGGTTCATTGCACATACCATCAGCATAAAGATTTTCGCTCTTCGGATTTTTGTCTGTTATTACTAATTTTAAGTCATTTATTGTATGCCTTAATAGTTCACAAGCTTGAACAATTTGTAATTTCTTTGTATCTTGTGTTTGACAGTATCCTTTACTTTTACTAAGCTCATTTTTCTCCCTCCTTAACGTATCTTGCAATTCTTCTATTGTTTTTGTTTGTTTATATGACTGTATCTGTAGCTGGGAATTTGTGCTTTGTAAATTTTGGCATAATAATTTTTCATTTTCAAGTTGTTTGCAAAATGTATTTTTTGATTCACTAAATTCTTTCTGAAGTTGTTCTATTATTAAACATTTTTCTTGTAAAGCCTTTTCTTGTGCTGCTAAAACTGCATCTTGATTAGTTCTTACTTCTTGTAAGTTTGAAATTACTTCTTTCATCTTCTTCTCGGAAACAATTGTTTCTGTCGTTAACTTCTCCAATTTGTTCTGCAGACGCTCCAATGTTTCTTCTTTTGCTTTCATTTCTATATTCAATTGATCTAAGCAACGTTGTTTGTCAAGTAATTCTGTTTCCAATCTTCTTACTGCATCTTTCATCTCAGATTCTTCTTCCATTTTTGAACGAAGCACTTGTTCTTTTTCTGATTTTAAAGAAGTAATTTCTGTAATTAAATTTCCAAGTTTCTCATCTTTAGATTTTAATTCGTCTGAAATATTACATACTTCTTGTGCAGATAATTTAAGTTCACTGTTCGTCTTACTTAAATTCATTAAAAGTTTTCCATTTTCAGATTTAAGATTCTTTTGTCGTTCTTCCAGTGTTTCCTTTATCTGCTTAAGTTTTTCTAATTCTTGTACAGATTGTGTTAATTTGTCTTTAGTATTCGTTAATTCTAACTCTAAATCGTTTAATATCTGTTTATTTTTTGTTAAATCATTTTCTAATGTAATATTTAAATTTTTGCTATCTTTTAATTCTTTCTTATTATCAGTAAGTTCATGTTCAAGTTTATTTCTATGAAGCTGTTCTGTAATATAATTATAATACAGAGTTTTATGAGCGTTTAAAATATTATTGCCACTTTCTTTATGTTGCTTCTGACAGTCAATTAATTGACTTGATACATATTTCTTTATCTCACTAAATTCTGTTATGAGAGTTTGAAGGTCTGTTTTCAAAGTTTGTATACATTTTTCAGAAGATTGTAATAACAAAACTTTTTTCTTCATTTCTTTTCTACATATACATAAATCTTTTTCTAAATTTTGCTTCTGAACTTGGACTTGTTTCAAATGTACAATTTCTTCAGAATATTGCTCTACAGAAGAAATAAGTTCACTGATCTCTTTTACATTTTGATCAATTGTTTCTTTCAGTTTTGATATTTCTCTGATATTTTGTTCATCTTTCTGTTTCAACTTACATATTTGCGATTGAAAATCGTGTACCTTTAATTTAGTTTCCTCCATTAAATCATTAAGTGACTGAAATTCCATTTCTTTTGAAGTATACTTTTTATTAAAATTATGCAATGATGTTTGAAGATGTTCTATCAGTTGAATGGTTACTTCAGTATCTAAATTATTAACTTCAATGCAATCAGTTTCTGAAATGATCTTCTTTAAACGTGTATTATACAATTTAGCAGAAGCTTTATACACATTAATTTGATCCGTTAAATCTTGAATGCACTTCAAATTTTCTTGTATTTGTGATCTGGTTTCTGCAAGTTCAACATTTAATTTAACATTACGTACCTCTTCATTATCCAATGATTCTTCTGAAGTTTTAATTTTCCTTCTCAAACTATCTATTTCAGCATTTAAGGTATTTTTAGATTCTTCGGCTTGTAATAAAGATTCCTTTTGGGAAGTACACGTAGTTTGTAGATTTTTATTTTGGTCAATTAAAGATTCATTCTGTTTTTGCAAGGATTCAATTTCTTCTTTTAACTTATTTGCAGTAATATTTGATTTCGTTTCTGTGTCTTTCAATATTTGGGACTTTTTTTCTAACAGTTTTGTTGCACTTTCATAGTCCTGACATAAAGAGTCGAATTTCTTATTTAAGGTATCAAGTTGCGTTTTCAATGAAGCAGATTCCTCCTTTGCTTCTTGTAACTGAATCTCAATTACAGAACTTAAAACTTCGCTACTATTCAGGGACGATGAAAGAGAAGTTAGTGGTGCAATTCCTTCGATCTCAAAACTTTGTTCCATAGTTGTTTTGCTAAGTTCTTTTAGATGTACTCGTAACTCTTCGTTAGTCATTCTTAAGTTTATCAGCTCTCTATCTTTAAGCTCTCCCATCATTTGTATGTTTTCCAAATATTTCTCACAATTCTCAAATTTTTCTTTAAAAAATACACATTGCTTTTCCGTACATGTTAATTTTTTTGTCAAGGTATCATTTTTCGTTTCGAGTCTATCTACTTCACATTGTTTTTGCATCAATTGATCTTCTAAATGATCTATTTCTCTCCTATAATATCGTTCAAGATCCACTGTATTTTTATTTTTTTTACAAGATTGTGGTGTACTTTGCCTATTTCTTTCATCTTGTAAAACTTTTATTTCTGAACTTTTCTCCTGTAACTTTCGCTGTAGATTTTGTACTTTATTCTGCTGAATTCGTAAATCTTCTTGTAAGTCAGACTTTTCAAATCTTTCTACTTCTAATTCAGTTTTTAATTTTCTTAGTTCTTGATTTCTTTCATTTAACAGTTTATGAATCTGAGCAGATCTAGCAACAGGAGAATTAAAAAAGTCTTTAAGAGCTTTTGTTTTTGGTGTCATAGGTGTATTTGGTACACTATCCTCTAATTCAGCAATTATTTCTCTTAATGTTTCTCTATTTATACCTTTGCCATAAGGAATAATCATTTCAAAAAATGCTTTAATCTTGAGCTGAGTTTCGTGCTGAAGTTTATTACACATTGGTTGATAAAAAACTGGCTCTTGAGATACACGTAATAAAAATAAAGATGCAATATATATATGTTCCATATTTCCCAAATCATTGTAATTAAATTTAAATTCAGGATATTCATCTATACGATTAACAAAAAAAAAAAAATAATAGATTACATATTATTATTAAATACTCGTGTGATACGTATAGAAATATACCTTGTAAAAATTTTATAATAATGTTTTTTGTATCTGAAGTATCTTTAGCACTTTTCCATGAACTGTAAAATAAAAATTATTCATATAACTACATCTACTTTAAAGAAATTAATAAATAAATAATTAAACAAGAAGTTACTTACAATAAACTTATTAATTTCTGATAAAATTTTCCATCATCCAATTCTTTCAGATCACTAATACGTGTTTCTAATACATCTAAACAATTCAGCTGAAAATATTAAATTTAATATAGATTATATTTAAAATGTTATATAATAAACAAGAACTTAGAAGTATTTCATGATTATAACAAGAATTTCTATATAATAAACATATTTAAAATTATGTCAACAAACGTCAGTATCTATTTATTTTAACTTAATAATGATGTTAAACAGCATACATATTATTATTTACCCATTCCAATATAACTTCAGTCCATAATTTCATCATTCTAAAAAAGCAATTACTCAATTATTTAGATAAAAAACGGCAATACATAGAATTTACACAAAACTTTTCCGTTATTACTTCTAACGTTTTATGGAAAAGACGTTCAATTTCAAACAATTGCTGCTCTCTTCAGTTAGCAGGAAATACTTGACTACAAATATAATATAAAATTCCCTACATTCTGCTTGAAATCCCTAAATATTTCAATACCGTAATTTTCTTACAAAATTATTAATATATGCAATCTATGGATATGAATGACACTCATAAAATTATATGTGCTTTTTTGTGTATAATTGTTTGTGAAAATAGAAATAAACATAGATATATACATGCAAAGAGTAATAAGAACACGATGCATGATTAAACGTAAGCGTACACATGATCTTATTAATAAATAGTAAAAATGTACAAAAGTATGTAAAATTTTTCAATAAAGTAAATGTCATCAATATTGCTGCCACAGTATTATACTGTGTTGCTGCTTTGACAAAAAAGAAATATTTCAGATAGCGCCACATGCAAATTAATGAAAACACGTCATCGTTACAGTTAACGTATACAAGAAGAGGAACTGAATTTTTCCTCAAGTACACTGTTTAAATGTTAAACATTATGTAAAAAATATTTCATTTGAAAAATTACAAAGTTTTTCATCATGTTTAAGATGTACTTAAAAAACGTAACGCTTGTTAAAGAGTTATGGAGACTGGTCTAACCCAACTTTCTCTCCTTTGGACTAACAGTATATAGGTGGGTAATTTTATTTCGATAACTCAATATTTAAATGAGAAAGTTAGTTTCATTCAGAAATGGTTAAATTAATAACACTGATAATAACATTTTTTACCATAGAAGAACTATTCATTCAAAACTCTAATTATACTGCAAAATTTTTAAAGAAATATTAGTTTCTTTTTCTATTATATAATATATATGATATCATCAAATTCTAATATTTATTAATCATTATATGAAATAATAATGTTTGTATCTTATTTATAGCATAGTATAAAATATGATATCCAATGGTATTGGGATTTCTACTAAGGAAATTGGAGGAAAATCAATGTCAAACAGTGTAAATTGTTCGCCAACGTCGTCGACGTTAAATTCTCCATTAATGAAGTTATCTTCATACTTCCTAGCTGTAAGACCATGGTCATTAAGTGCTTCGTTAATGCCAACACTTCTTGGATCTGCATTAGCATATCGATTAACAGGCTTAGCAAATTTTAGCTGGATATCTTTCATTCTCACAGTATATACAGTGTTTTGCGTACATGGAGCTGGTAATGTAGTAAACACTTATTTTGATTATATAAAAGGGGTGGACAGCCGAAAAAGTGATGACAGAATACTAGTAGACCAACTTTTATCAAAAGATGAGTTAGTATCGCTAGGTGCATTATTATATACAGCAGGATGTTTAGGTTTTGTTTTATTAACTACTATATCTCCTGCAAAAATGGAACATCTTGCACTTGTGTACTTTGGAGGCTTATCCTCTTCCTTTCTTTACACAGGAGGGATAGGGCTCAAATATATTGCATTAGGTGATGTTCTCATTTTGGTTATTTTTGGTCCAATTTCAGTCCTATTTGCATTCATGGCTCAAACTGGTTATGTTGAATTAGGTACAATATATTATGCTATACCTCTTGCATTAAATACAGAGGCTATTCTACACAGTAACAATACACGAGATTTAGAGAGTGATAAGAAAGCAGGAATAGTAACCTTAGCTATCTTAATAGGTCATACTGTGTCTCATGTTTTGTATGCATTTTTATTATTCACACCTTACGTAACTCTTGTAGTGCTTGCATTAAGGTATTCTATCTGGTTTTTATTACCAGTCATTACTTTACCAACTGCCTTCAAAATAGAAAAGCAATTCAGAAGCCCTCATATGATTCAGAGTGTGCCTAAACAAACAGCTAAGCTAAATATGTTTTTGGGCATTTTATATGTTATCGCTTGTTTACTTGTAGATCCTCTGCCTTACCTGTAACACACATTGTAAACATACATCATTTGCAACATTATCTGGAAGAGAACTTACCAATTCAAATAATTATATGGGCAGCTGATAGCCTATGTAGCGTGTAATCTCATACAAATTTTGTTATTTTTGTTATTTTGTTTTATTATTAATCATCTATTACTAATTTATTTGATTCTATTCGAATTTACTCTTTGTTTCACAAGAAATTGATTTATATTTCACTGTCTGTACAAGCATTATTATATGTATGTAATATGAAATTTATTTCTTACTTGAAGTATACTTTTCAATATTTGTAATACAGTGAACATTTAGAGATGGTTTTTCAGTAAAGCGATGATCTTTGATATGTACAAAATAATTACATCATTTAGAATTTAATTACGTATTTGTATTTCTCTAATGTGTGTAATGAGCATAACATTTTCACGTTTAAAATAGGTGTAAAAATGTGAATTTTAAACATATTATTATTTAAATATGTTCATGTATAATTTATCTCATTGTTTAGATTTTTAAGTAGCATTATTTATGTGAAACCATATGCATATCCCAAAAGTTTTGTAATTTTGGAAATGTAACAAAACTTGTCATCAATGTTTTTACATTTTATAAATTGATAAATTTTTCAAGATAAGACAATAAATCTTATAATGTATCAATAATAAACTAATAGAATATTGTTTTGTTATTTGATATTAATATAAAGATTTGTAATGAAACAGTTACTGCAAATTACCGATGTAAATTTATTTATGATTAACGTATTGTACCTTTTTTAAAAGTACAGGATGTAATTAAAGTTCACTATATAAAAATAATAAAAACAATTGCAATCCTTTTTTATCCGACCTCGAAAAGGAGGAAGATACTCGATTCGATCAGTATATATTTTTTATTTATTAAGTATAAACAAATATGCTGTACTTTTAAATACATAACCAATAAATACAGATTCAAAAGATAAATCTAAAATATATATCGTAATAAATCTTATTCTCTATGTGGTGTGATTATTTGTAAAAGTATTGAATTCAAAAATCAATGTTGTTTATTTCAAAGTCAAATTTGTGTAAATAGTTTTAATGAAAATAAAATGTATCTTTATAAAACGTAATTACAAGACAAAAAGAAAATAAGTTTTTACAGCAATAATTTAATAAATCGTTTTTTAAATCAATTTACATCTTTATTTTTAATTCCTATCTGTAATATTTTTTTTAAAATAATTCTGATCTTTAGAATATGATTGTAAAAGCAAAAAAAATGCATTTTTCAAAGAATAGAAATTAATTCACAGATTTTGTGTATCTTTGAAGTTGTTTAAAAAATGTGAACTCGATATATAATTATCGATACACGCAACACAATCGATATCATTCGACATAAGTATCGAAAAGCTTCGACTTTTTTGCGATTTAGCACGGGTATCTGTATTTGCAAAACATAGCATCTAAATATTTAAAAATAAGAGCAATAATTCGTTGTTTTCAGTTGTATTTGATTAAGTTTTTGCAAGAAGTAAAATATGTATAACTGTCTTAAACTATCTGATTCAGTTGTAATATGCCCTTATAACAAAAATCATTTAATTTCAAAATCTCGTCTTCAAAGGCATATTGTTAAATGTGAAAAAGTATGTAGATTAACATAAATAATATGTTATTGTTTTAATATAACAATGTGTTAAATTCTTGTTATAGAATTATCCTGAACATTATAAAGTTATGTGTCCATATAATGCAACTCATCGCTTGTTCAAAAATGAGATAACCGAACATGTTGTTACGTGCCCTACACGTAATGTATTGGAATCAGAAATGCATTCAGGTGTTTTAAATTCTATATTTTCACATGGTAAAGTAAAATATTTTTTCACATTAAATTCATCGAACATATTATTTATATAATTTTATAGAACCAAGAAGACACGGTGCCATTAGCGTTTCATTAAATTCAGAAATCTCAAGTACAGTAGATTGCGCAGAAAACTGGGATTTAGAAAGAGATGATCATTTGAGAATTTTACACGATGACAAATATTCTTCAGTTGACAGTATAGAAGCACACGAACTTGTTGATTCAGAGTAAAAACACTTTTTTAAAATTTTTTATTATAAATCAGTTTGTTGTATATTTATTTACTTTGCTTTACTGTATGATTTTAGTTCAAGGGATAACATTGAGAAAAAAGGTTTAAGGGCTCCTCGTGGTTTTTCTGAAGCTATGTTGAGAGAAGCAAATGAAGAGTCTTGTGTTGAGGATTTGGAATCGATAGGTAGCTCGTTGGGAGTTGGAAGAGGAAAAAATGCTTTGAAAAGTGGTCAGTTAAAATTAGTTGGATTAGGTAGAGGAAAGCCGTTGGATGAGTTTTAGATTTAAACATTTATTGGTTCACCTTCATAACTGTTGTTTATCACATTGAAAAAAGAAAGAAACGGATGTTTATTTACATAGTACACAATATGTAAACTTTATGTAGTTGCATAAATACTTTTATTTAAGACATTTACATTATTCATAATATTTACATAGTATAAAGGAATTTGCAAAAAGAAGTTATTTTTTTTTTTATAGAACAAAAAAATGTTATTACAAACATTACTACTATATGAAAAAACTAATGTTTTTAAATTACTTATAACATAATTGTGACAACTGCAGTGGCTGATTTATGTTTAGCAGTATTTAAACAGTAATATTAAATGCTTTTTGTAAAAATTACTAATTATAGATTACATGATTTTTGTATTTTTTTTGTATTCTTATATAACATTACACTAGATAATATAAAATGTTTAATGTTTCTTTATTTACATTTGTAATAAAATTTATCACATTAAATGTTGAAATTAATTTAACATCGTTTAATTATAAATTTAAAAAATAGTAACAATTAAACTGAATATTCAATTGAATAAATTTAGACCACATAAGTCTTATTATAAACAATGGTATTGAAGTAATGAGTACCAGTATAAAACATAAATAGGATAATGAAAGGAAGTATAAATCGATTATATCAATTCAGAAATGAAGTCGTTTAAAATAGACTCTTTTGTGGAAATGAAGAAATACTTGATTAAATGGAATTGTTTCAAGTAACATATTTTTATATATCGTATGTAAGTACATATACATATCTTTGCTCATAAAATTTATTGAACAAATATGCATGATACATTTACCATGTACATCTTTAGAAAGAATTATAGTCGCTGCAAATTATTTCCTTTCTTCCGTGCAACACATCACATGTTAACATCTAAAACGAGACTTAATAACAACTTTGTTTCAAATTTTTTTTCATACAAACCTTGTACATGAACTTTGCAGGAAATGATATCCTCTTTTTACTCTGTTTATGAATATTTAAATGGAAGTTGGAATAAATGTCGATAATCCAATTCTATGTCAATTAATGTTCTTAAATCTGATAGTTTTTTTTTAATTTTTTTTTTTATTTTTCTATTCTTCCCCCTTTTCTTTCCTTTTTTATTTTGTTTACTTTTTACCCGCGGTCACGTGCATTAGAACGTACAAAGGAACAAGTGCTAAATTTGTAAATAAGATTTTAATTTCTCTGGATACTGACGTTTCAGCCAGCAGTTATTTACAAGTTTTTAAAAGTATTTTTTCGAGTAATTGTTGGCAGTTACCTAGCTGCAGTCTGTTTAATGTTTAATGTATAAAAACCGTAAATTTATTGAGCGCAATATTTGCACAATAGCGAGATCATTGCACTATATTCATTTACTACACAGACTGATACATCTATTGGTTGGTAAAATGTACCGTGTAGTAATGATATTGGCTACGCAATATCGTGATGGTTTCGTTAAATGGTTATTTATTGTATTACGATCACAACTTATATATTTGTAGTTTTTTTCTTTTGCTGTTTCCACATTGATATCCTTTCCTTTAAATCGAGCACTAAAAATATTCCAAGAATTACGTTATCCGAGTCTTTGTCTGTTACATATTGCTAAGTTGAAATATTTAACTTACTTGGTGTAAGCATATCTTCGCTAAGTGGTTGCCGACTGAAAGGATCTGTAGCGCTATTAAGGAGATGTCTAATAATAACTGCTTTATCCATGACAATACCAGATGGAAGTTTAACAGGTTCTTCCATGAGCGTATCCATAAGTGGATCTCGAAATTCCTCTGGTGCGTCACCGTAATCTTCGTCACGTGCACGATTATCTCTAGCAATAACTGCAGCACGTTCTGCAAGTGCTATAAATCTTTCAATTTCCGTAGTAGTCTTGATTACCGACCTTTCTAATCTATTCGCAGCATCAGTAAATAATTCTTTGCAGAACGAGCGCTACAATTGTAATATTAATTAGACCGACATGATTGTATTAATAATTTTTCCATATGAATTGTGAACTTACTTCGTCGGTAGCTAAAGCAGCCGCAAAATTATCGCAATCAAGATGTAAATATATATCGACCAATTGGCCAAGTAACGCTCTTGGTTCCCATCCGTATTTCTGTGGCTTTCTTACTTTTAAATTTTTACACTTAGGGCCACACAACTGTTGTAAATTAAAATTTAACATGGCACATAATCTTCCAACTAGTTCAGGTCGTAAAAACGGTTCTGTGATGTCGACTGTTAAATAATGAAACATGGCAACGGTCTCCTTTGCTAATGTAAGATACGATCTGGCCTGTCTTTCATCTGCCGCTAATTGTCTCATTCGCGAATGTTGTTGTTCGGGGGAAAACGCTGCCCATGCTTTAAGATCGGACATAAGTTCTTGGATTTCATGAATACGCTTCAACGATTCTAAACTTTCATCTAATAAAAACGTCGTGTCGTTCATTAACATATTAATGAATTTCACAAATTGCTTCCCATTATTGCTTTCTTGAATAATTGATTCTCGATGCACCGGACTGTCCCACATAGACTTCAGGATTAAACTAATGTGATAACGTATTGAAAATTTGTCGTAAAATTCTGAACTGGAACCGGTTGTTTCAACGTCGGTATAGAATTTCATGAGGTACGACGCTAATAATGTTTTAGATATAGGATGTGCCATTACTTGATCGTGAAGTGATTCGGTTCGCCCCTGAAAATAAATAATAATAATAATACACTTTGTATTCAAGTTACAATTCAAATAAGAAAGATTAATTAAAATTATTAAAAAATAAAAAGAATTACCTGAACACTAGGATTTATTACAAATAGCACTTCAATAATTTTTGCTATTAAATATGGATTTCGTATACAATGTGGAGTACATACTACAACAAGTAACCATGTAATAAGTGAATTGTCCATGTTATTTACTATTACGCCAGGACTAAATCTGCAAATAACGAATACAATAATTGCATGGTAAAATAAGTTTTTCTTCTAACTCAATGTAACATAATTTAAATAGATACTTACTGAAGGGTAAATAACAAAAATTCTGCAATATCTTCAACATACCATTCTGGTAAGGCTGTAAACTTTTGTGGAACTTCTTGAGGTAAAGGAAGTTCAGGAAGAGGATTTCCTGGCGGAGTTTGAGTTAATAAACTTAGAAGAACCTCTGCTACAGAAATATAAAAATGCAAGCATCTTCTTAATAAAACAGGATCATTTAATCCAGCATCCGTGCACGATTTAGACTTGCCGAGTTGCTTCAATTGTTCTTTACAACGTTTTATTAATTCTTTGTTACGACCTGCGAAAGGACTGTCTTTCCATTGCGGTTCAGTAGCTTGTAGATCGTCGAGCATTTTCTGCACGTCGCGTAAAGTCCTCAGCTTTCTCTGGTATTTCTGTAAAGCCGGTAACAACGCTATATGGTGACAATGTAGAGTAAGAAACCAACATTGTGTTGGAAACTTTGGCTCGACCCACTTGTGTGTCCTTTCTAAATGTTTTAGCCAATCAGCAACTTCTTGGTACGATAGCTTCAACCTTGTGTCATTTTTTATTTCCACAAAACTCGAAGGATGAAACGGATACAAAGGATCCACTGTGTCCAATTTAATTTTCACGGAAAGCATTTGTAAAACTGATAGTAAATTTAACATAAATCCGTCTCCGGCGAGGGAGAATTCTTCCGTTTGTATTTGAGCACGTTTCTCGTTATGACGTAACAACGTTGCTAAGTATGTTAACATTGCTTCACGGCAGTTGCTGTTTGCGAGTATCGCATGAAATATTTTATGAAGCGACGTTCTGGTGCTTTCCAGTTCTTGTTGCAACGTTAAATTCATCGACTTGTCGATGAATGGATTACCGCTGAAGAATTTCTCAGCCACGTTTGGTTCATCTTCGGCAAATACAGACACTGACAAAAAAGGTCCAAGAAAAGACGTTGTTGTGAGTTCTCTACCAGCTGCTGAGGTCATAATGTCAGGCAAAAATTGTACTTGATGAATAATTAAACGACAGATCGGGCGTATGTTACTACTCGGTCCACAACGAATTTCTATTAACTCTTCTAATGCTTCGATCGGTCTTCGATGCGTATTCCCAACCAAACTAGGATGCTGCATTGAAAGGTATAAGCCTTGCAAAAGTGGAGTAAAAATTTTATTAAATACTGCTGAATTTGTATGCGTCCTTGCCACAAGTTCGTGTAAATATCCACGTGGTAAACTCTGCGACAATACTGGGTACAGTAGGGGAGTCATAGCTAAAGGATATGTAGTTGAAGACTGCGAAATACCAACTAGGCCTTGCAATACAAGACTGGAATACTGAACACACTGTGCTCTTAGAATAGCCAGTATATCAGACAATGGCGGTGTACTCGATTTCTGTTTACAAAGAAAATGTTATTACATATTGCACAGAAAACAATTAATTTCGTTCGGATATAGTTATCAGTTATACCTTTGGATTGTTACGTTCTTCAACTGCAACTCTTGAATAGCAATCTAGTAAATAAGTGAAACTCTTACTTTGCGACGATTTACAACAAATATCACACCGGCAAAACGTCGCAACTGGACTTAATAAGGGACTTGTTTGACTATTAGGGCTGTCTTCTCGATTCGAAGATATATCTACATTAATTTCTTTTAAAGGATCTTCGTCTTTCACAAACATACACAGTATCTCCATCAGTGCTTGATTTATTATTTCTGCGGCATCCACAAATTTTTGCGTTAACTCATGTGCCGCAGTTTGTGGTAAGAATACGCAACCTTCTGTAGGTTCCTTCCATGATATGCATAATATACGTGAGATAACAGAATGTATTTGTTCTGTAGTTATCTCTGTACTAGAACTTGTAGTCTGAAAGGAAAAAAAAAAAAGGGAAAAAAAGACAATTTAAATAATAGATATTGCTGTGCTTAAAAAACTTACACCGATACTTACACGTGATCTTGGTTTTAAATCTTTTCTATCCGATTCTTCAACTTCCATATTTTCAATTCCTGAATCTACATCAACTCCAGAATTATTACATTGTTTATCACTGTTTTCCTCTACTTCCATTGGTATCTCAGAATTCTGAAACTGCTGTTGCTTCGATGGCGATATTATTTGTTCTGTAAATGCTTTCGATGGACCTGGCGTACTCGGAGAAACTGGACCGCTACTGTGATTTGAATTAGTTCCTGAATTAATGGTATCTAAGCCTGCTAAACGAGCCATACGTCTTCTTCTTACCTATAATTCGCATAGATAAATTTTTAATTATATTCCTATTTTCTATAAGGAGAACAAATTAACAAATTTTAATAAACAACATTTAAGTAAGCATAAATTATGTCTATAATTTATATTTAATACTTTGACAATGATACATTTTAGATATTTTTTGTTTCCCTTTCATTTCATTAGAAAACATAACAGCAAGCGACAATAAACAAACCTATATAAAATGTAAACAAATAGTTGCTATATATTTATAATAAAGAACACAAAGAATAACAATGAAAAGCAGAATACTGAAATACGTTAAAAATAAAATTTCATCCTGTCTTTAACCTATGAAACAAAGAACATTTATTTACGTTACAAATGAATAAATAACTGTAGCAATTTATGACAAAGAAAACTGTCCTAAGAAATTACAGTATTGGAGAAAATCGGTTTTAATACATTATCGTTATATAATTATCTCAACATAACATCAGAGTGAAACAAGTATTTTACAATATGCCAGCAAACACTCTTGCCATTGTCGTTTGCATGTGATAAAGCTAGTAAAGCACAACGAAAAAAAAAAATGAAACGAATGGTAGCAACAAAACGAAGTCGACAGTGAATAACGATTGAATACGATGCATTGGTACTCACTTCCTCTTGACTTAACTCGTTCATGGTAATTTTCTTATTTTTCTTTCAATCTATTTTAACCTTTAACACAAGTGACCGTGACTTCACGTTTATTGTACTATAAAAATTCAGTAGAAAAGAGGTGTTCACTGTTTAGAGAATTCTGGACGAGATATGTCAAAAATTTGGACAGTCACTCCACATCTGTTTGCGTTTGGACGTGAAGCCAGCAATTCCACGCTGCGTTACGGATAATCACTGCCAAGCTGCGTCGATTCTTCAAAACAGCTGAGCAACATACATCGGAACGCACTCTTGCACTGATAATGCTAACTACCTTGATGAAATTATGTACATATGATAACGTCTCACTTCGATATTTCGTGGTAAAATATTATTAACAAAAAGTACTTTCATCGAAAGTATTTACACTGATGTGTTCATGCAATTTATGTTCGTTTATATAATATTACATTCCAAAATTAATCACCATATTGTAATTTAATACATTTTGGATTTATTAGAAACTTTCTCGTGGGATTGAATCGTTATACATATCGTTAAATACGATTATTAATTACGACAATGACTAACTGTTCAAATAATTTAAAGGTTTGAAAATCTGCACCGGTTTATATCAACTTGAAAATTGTTTTAAAACATGTAATATTAATATCATTCGAAAGGTAATGTTATCAGACATTAAGATTTTAAGCTTCTAACACTTTGTTGTACAGAATAGAAAATATTTTTATAAGTCATTTGAATAATTACATAATCAAATACTGTCATAATGATATTTAACCTTTAATTCATTGTGAATATTCTTATACGCGTTTTAAACCTCCACTGCTATTTTCGCTCTCTTTTTTTTTCTTTTATAACATAATTTAAAAATTCCGTTGTCCCGTGTTCATTACGAAAATTTAATCTTCACTTATACAGCGTTTAATTCAAGGTTAGGTTAAAATATATGCAAAAGAATTGAAATACAAATGTTTTAAAGTAAGTTGGATAGTCACAAAACACATTTTTAACAGACAACGGCTAAATTTATTATAATAATTTTTATAAACGATTACATGAAAACGCGGAGAAACAACACGAAACATAAAGGTACATGCAAGAGCGTTCTTTTTACTTATTCAATAGTAAGTATACTCTTGCTGGTTGCTCCGCTTACAAATGCATTTACGCGTATGTGATTATTACATTTGTCAGTAAATTCGTGTGTGTTGTACATACATACATACATACATATGTATATTTTTTACGGTGCGTCTACGTATATGTACGCATATCTCTGTAAGGGTTTTTCATAATCGAAATACAGTTTCTTTGTTGCATTAAGATTTAAGATACCAGATTTTCGTTCTTTAAAATTACCAGTTAAACCGTTAACAATTTATATCAAAATGAGCGGGGAAGAAATTATTGATTTTACTACTTTAGGTAAACGTAATATTATCATTTATCTACTTTAGTGACATCGATTTTGTTAATTTATTTCTTATGTGTTCAAGCTCGAGTAGTACTAGTGACATATGTCAAATAGTATTACGAACATTCCTTTATTCAATAATTATACATACTTGTTATTTTCGATCAAAATTATTTTTATAAATTACGGATTATTTACTTTTATTATATAAATTACCATAAACTGAGGTTAAACTTTGATTCCAGGGACATAAAATTATTGCCCTTTTTTTTTGCTCTTTAATAGTTTTTGACACGTAAAATCCATAAATGTAGGTCGTAACTTTAGGAAATTAGCGGTTCAAAAGTTATGAGTATGTAAAGTTCGCGTTTTTAGGGTATTTTACACGCTACTTTGACGCCATGTTGCTTCCATCTATTATTTGATTGGCCCGCATAGATGAGCTTTCAAAGTTCCTATGTATCATACTACCAACCTAAAAATTTTAAACAGGGCCCTTTAAAAGAAATTATTACATTTCAACAGTATTATTATTTCACGAAAGCGTTGCCGACCGCCTGACGGCGGTCGGATTTAAGTATATAGCCTAACCTAATCTAATACTTCCGCTTACCTTATTTAAAAATATATTGTTTCTTAATTGCCTCCATTAATGATTCCATCATATCGACTTTGTTTTTGCGGCAAAATCGACGCCATAAATACTCGCACAGGCGGTCGGCGAAATCATTATCGTGGAAAACAAATTCAAATGAAACATTTGATTTATCCCGCCAAAATGGCCGCCGAATGCTCATCTATGCGGGCCAATCAAATAATAGATGGAAGCAACATGGCGTCAAAGTAGCGTGTAAAATACCCTAAAAACGTGAAACTTTACATACTCATAACTTTTGAACCGCTAATTTCCTAAAGTTACGACCTACATTTATGGATTCTACGTGTCAAAAACTACTAAAGAGCAAGAAAAAAGGGCAATAATTTTATGTCCCTGGAATCAAAGTTCAGCCTAAACTGATGTTATCATTATTATAGTTATGCAACTACATACTATATTTAGATGTATTAGTTTCTGAATCAATTTTGCAGTTTTTCATTGCTTTATATAACGTGCTCTTCAAATTTTCCCGTCAAATATAATAGCACAAGAATATACATATACACACATATATGCAGCTGTTTTTTTTTTTTTAAGAATTAAATATGAATAGAGTTTTATGGCATGTATATGTATAATTGTATGCTATTCTTTAATAAAAGTATTATCGTATTTCAAAATTAATATACATAAAAAATTTGTTCACTCATAATTTTTTATATGCATACACTATTTATAAATGTTCATGTTTTGTAGAACCAGAGATTCAAGTTTTGGTGAAGAAGAGCACAACAGCTCGCGAATATTCTTATTCACCCTATAGTAAGTTCAAAGTTGGAGCTGCAATACTTTGTACCGATGGGACCACTTTTACAGGCTGCAACGTAGAGAATGCATCTTATCCTGTTGGAACGTGTGCTGAAAGAACTGCTATTGTAAAAGCAGTGTCAGAAGGAAAACGAAAATTCAAAGCATTAGCAGTAGTAGCTGATAAAGAACAGAATACTTTTACCACTCCGTGTGGCTTCTGTAGGCAAGCTATCGTAGAGTTTGGTGATATACAAATTTATTTGGCAGGGCCTGACATGAAAACTGTATTAAAAACTTCAATCAGCAAGCTATTACCTCGTGCCTTTGGCTTTGGAAATGCAGAAATATTACAATAAATAATTTCTAAAGTATGTTTTTATATGATTCAATAGCTCTGAAATAAAATCATTTATTTTGTACTCATTAACTTTTTTACTATCATATTGTCATATCCCATAGTAAAAATGTGCAACTATTACTTATATCCTATCCTATAAATTGATATACGATTGGTGCAATTATAACAATTGAGATATCAGTTTCGTGTACAGTAAGTTTCAGTGAATACAAAGACAATCCTTAAAAAAAAATATTGTTACTGTAATCTTATTCCTGAGTAGTTTTCTCGTGTTTACATAATAAAAATGTAAGCGATTGTAACGAGGTTTCTAAACGGTGTGACTGCTAATGTACATTATACTCAATAAGCGAGAATAAGACGAATACATATTATATACAATCAATGTAATAATGTAGCTTATTTATGTACAATATGCTCTAATATTATGATGTTACATATAATCATTCCTTAATAATAAAAATGCAAAACAGGAACGAGACTGTTTTATGATACACATCCAAGACCTCATCGATGAAAATTTTTCTTTACCAAAAAGGACACCTGCAATTGAACATAATTTTAATATTATTTATTACCCTTAATAATATGTACGAGTAAAATGACTTATAAAATCGTATAAATTTCAGAGAGATAATGAGAGACTGAAAATACCATCCGATATAACATTGACATAGATTTTCATTATTGGTAGCCTGTTGAATTAAAAGATCAACTTGACGTTGGACGCTTAATGTTTCTTCATGAGAGAAATCGCGTCCTGTTAATTTATCCCTTACTCTTGTTATAATTGTAAGAGCTTTTTTGTTAAGTGCTTCTGGCTGATTAGTGTCACCTGTTAAAAATAAGTTCAATTTTTATTTTCATTCTCCATAAGGGTGAACTTTATTAAAACGATATATTACCTCCATTTTCAACGCTACACGGTACTCCTTTCTTTGGTAACGTGGCAGTAAGAGAATCTAACGTATCGCTATGCTCCTGATTACTACTAGCACTCATCCCTTGAGCATCAGATCTTTTACCTTTCAACGCAGCGCTATCCATTAATCTCCAATTTAACAGAGGATCATAAACAAACGCTTCTAACACCGCCATCAAGCTGTCCTTGTTACGATGCAGAACCGACATTACCGATTCGCAGGTTCTTCTGTAAGTGCCCTCGATTCCCGTTACCTCCATTGCATTGATTAACATTCTGGTTAATCTAAATGGTATTTTTTCAGGAAACTTCTCACGGGTCATGGCCACTTCGAAGCAATCTCCAAAATCGATATGCAATATTTTTCCGCTTAAGCGATCTAACATTAAATTCGAGGGATGCCGATCTCCAAGGCCAAGAATGTATCCTACCATTGACATTACAGCGAGAGAACGAGTATAATTCGTTCTGCGATCAAACCATACTTCACTCGACGGTGATTTTAGCCAGAGAAGTCGCGACAAATCATCACCGTGCGTATGTTCGAGGGCATGTTCGAAAACTTCAACCTTTTGCATAAGCGTAAGATGATCGTAACCCGGAGCCATCTGTATATTAAATTTTCTTTGGTTAGATTATCAAAGAAGATCAAGTTTTGTGCATATAGATGGTGTCTCATAACTCGTGTAACACCCAGATATGGGGGTTGCTGGGGTTATTTCGAACAACTTTTACCTTTACCAAAATGTTGGTTGAAGCTTCGTTTTTGAATTATTAACGAAAAAACACTGGCCAATCAGAGCGCTCCTTTAGCGCGGGCCGAACCACGGGAGCGTTGGCTCTAAACCGTGAACAAACGCATTGGCACAGCGTGTGGGTATCGAGGGAAGCGTGCGAAAAATGTTACATCGTCTTAAATTAAGAACAATGTGGAATTATTCGTTATTCGTGAATAACGAATGCGTTTGTGTCATTGCGTTTGTTCACGACCACGACCGAGCGCGGTTCAGAGCCAACGCTTTCGTGGTTGAGCGCGCGCTCTTATTGGCCAGTGTATTTTTCGTTAACACTAGATTTACCGGACCAGTTAATATGACTGGTTTCAAGTTTTTTTGTTTTAAATTACAAATCTTATCGAAGTATTTTTGTTGAAACGTATGTTGGCTATTGTTGAGATAAAGAATGGATGTATGTATTAAATTATGTTTCATCCTCGATCTATTTAATTTACTACGTTGTTTTCAACTTTAAAATAAGTCTGGAAACGTCGGTAAATCTAGTGTTAATAATTCAAAAACGAAGCTTGAAGCAACATTTTGGTAAAGGAAAAAGTTGCTCGGAATCACCCCAGCAAGTTCCAGGACACCCTGTATAACTCATTACACTTACCCGTAACATTATCTTATGTTCTATGTTTAACAATATTTTCTTCTTCTCCCTGTAATCCCTAATTAGAGTATGCAATGTATCGCAATGCGGTACCCAACCAATTAAACCGCTATTCGTGGATAACGGAATTACAGCATATCTCTAAAGGTGGAACAGAAATTAATTTACTTGTTAAATTTATGAAATTTGTATCAATATCTTACTTGGATAGTAAGATTTCTTCTAAATGTATCTGGATCGTGCAGTAGAAGAGTATTGACTAGACCAAACAATTGCATCACACGTTCATCCTGCCTAAGATCCTCGTGTCCCTTCAAAAGGAACATGTAATCCTTACCATTGCTACCTGTTGAAATAGAATTTTTAAGCGTTAGCAATTCTCAATCTTATAAATTATAAAATAATTGACTCGTAGAATGAGGCAGACCTTTTATACACAATTTTCGTGGTCGTTGTTTGCTTGTTATCACTTGCATTGAACTATGAATACTTGCTATTCTGACTATTGGCTGTCCAGGACTGTAACTTCCTGGTACGGCTAGTTCCAAATCTCTGCAAAGAAGTAACTTTGGACTAACATATTGAAGCTCTAAACTAGTTAATTGCGGCAATTGCCGGGATATTCGTCGAAATACATGATAGTACAGATCCCAGGCCTGATTCAAATCACGAACATTGCGTGACGCTTTGTATCTGTGACACCATTCCTGTGCTTCCATTAAATCTCTACCGTAAGCTTGATTAAAGGATGTCTCCTTTAAAGTTTGGGGACCTCTTTCTAACATGGCATGTAAAGGCTCCAAAGTATCAAACATCCCTCTGACATTTCTTTCTCCAAAATACAATCTACTAGCTTCTTCCAATCCTTCGTGCCAAAGCTCATGCCAGAGAATTGCAACTCTAATCAATTCATCGCTGACCATCATTGCTTGCTGGACTAAAGTTGGACTATGCTCGCACATACTCTTCAAAATTTTATTCGCAGCAGTTTTCCTGGCATGGCTGGCACTTTTTGAGGCGACGGTCAACGGATAGACTAAAGCTTGGGGATGAGTTTTTCCAATATCTATCAGAAGATGATGTATGCATCGACCAACCAACGCCCTGGGAGTATCTATTCTCGCTATAAGTTGAGGAATTACTTGTAACCACGTATTGATCTCGATCAATCGAATACCTTCGACGATGGCTTCGTACACTTCTGGCCACTGTCCATAATCAAACCATAATGTCAATAAACGAAGCGTATCTTGCAATGAATTCCCATGGGAGAGATTAATAGATCTAAAGAAACCTTCTACCGCTGGTACAGTAAATTGAGATATATATTGTGAACTAGAGAGATTATTGCGAGTTCCATTTCCTGGATTATTTTCAGCGTTAGACTCCCCCTGTTGGTGCTTGTAGAATAGAACTGTTTCAAAGTTAGTATACGCAAAAGCGTGCCATGCTTTGTACCATGTTGGATCGTGTTCCGTTGCTGCGGCATAATAAGATAGAACCGCCGGTATAGAATGTTCGTTTATACCTTGCAAAGCCTCTAACCATTCCCCAAGCTTCAGGTAACATCTAGCGAGTAGCCTCTTCCTTACTTCTTGCTGTTTCTCATCCTCCGGATTTACAATCGACACGGTTGTTGGTTGCAAAGACGTCTGTACGAATCTTTGCAATTGATTGTACGCCTCCTCTCGTTTATTCGCGACCCACATGTGCTTGCAGTAAGCAAAGGTAACCTGAGGATGAATGGTGGTCGGCAACGGTTGATCAGGTGTTAACGATGGATCCGCGCCAAGTAACATCACCAACGTTTTATGGCATAACATCAAGCTACCGTTTTTTCTACAGAGACTCGCATATTTCAGCCATGTATACATATCATCTTGCGGCGAGACCACCAACGTATGAACCTGTATAATCTTTTGCCAATCTTCGACTATCCTTTGCCCACCTTGAAGCCTTTCCCACCACATTGATTTAATGGTATTCCTTCTCTCCGGAACGAGCTTGAATTGTATCACCTCTTCTAATTCAGCTAATTTCTGAACCTCCACCATCGCGTTGTAGGCTCTTTGATAACTTTCACCTGCCATTGCGGTCAGCTCGGTGTCCAGCAAATCTCTGGCGCTGTCGATAAGTTGATGAGCAATATTGTACTGCTCGTCGTGAATCGCTAAAACAGCTCGATAAAATGCCCCGTCTTGACTATCCTTCGGTATCAACGATACATATTTCTCCATGCTCTCCCACTGACTCAAACCCCACGCGGCAGCGGCAGCCATCCTAGCCATTCTCTGTTTAATCTCATCGCTCTGATGCGACCATTGTTTAGTAGCTACATCGTGCAACTGTCCCCATTCCCCAAGTGCCTCCAAGCATCGCATTTCACCCAAGGTGGATTCCACGTCGTTCATATCGCTTTCCAATCTTTCTCTGTACAATTGCAACGCTTTGTCCCAATTATGTAACTTTTCGTACCAACGAATTTGCACCTTCAGATCTTGCTGATTACTCTGATTCATAACGTACTCTAACAAACCTTCGGCGGCTTCTTTTTGCTGGAGTTTGTTATTAATCGATATCAAAGATTCGAAAACGTTGCTGTTCCTGCTCTTATGAAATTCATCCTCCTTGTAATGCAACGCTTTCGCGTACGCCCTGCAATGCATCGCTCGTTCCCCTAAAATTTTGTTGTCCAACGGTAACGGCCCCTTGTCGCAGTGTTCCATAAATTCCGCCAGGTTCAGGATCGTTTGGGTTATCTCAGGAAGATCCGGCACCATCAACGCTTGCTGCAACGTCTGTATAAGCTCTGTTCTATACGTATCGTCTAGTTCCGTCCAACATGATACAAATGCTGCGTTGAACAAGTCCCTGGGTAACTGGGAATACGTCTGCGCAAGAGCCCAGCAGGATCTCAATGCCGGTGAAGGTGATTCCTTGAGCAAACCGATCGACAAACTTCTCAGCCATTCCAGCCAATCGTCCTTCGATACTCTCCTGGTCGCTGTCCAAGCTTTCTGAAGATTCGAAGCAGACACGTGTAATCGTTTTATCGTGGTCGTGTCCGACGATGTCAATGACAAATCACGGTTCTTATTTCTCGAATGTCGATGACGTATCAGTAGATAATCTTCGCCATCAGCAACGGTTGTTTCTGTTAAAATTTTATCTATTAGAACGTCGTAACGGGAATTAACAATCTTGTGTTTCGTCATAACTTTTTGTACTAATAATATAAATATTTGATACTTTTTCCCTAATTGTATCACCAATGCACACAACGTGTCCATGGCCGTGTCTCGTAGCTCCGGACACTGATCCAGGGTACGAACCAAAGGATGCACGATTCTAGATGCGAAATCTGTAAAGTCTAACGTGTCGGCCAGATGATCGACGGTCTCCAATGCGACTCTGTTTACTGTTATCGGACAGTCGGTGGCGTGAAACAATTTCACGATAGGCGGCAAGACCAAATGAAGATAATTATCCAAATTGTTGCCAAACTTTTGAAGCGCTTGAAGAAGTTTCACAGTTACCGATCTATCTTTGCTTGTATCGTGTGTAAGAACTCTTAATATCTGTGGCATCAATTGAGGCAAGTAAATTTTGAATTCAGCACCTAAGGCGACCGCAATATGTTCGACTAGAAGTATCAGCGTACTTTGTAACGGGCTGTTTACAGTCCAGAATTCTTTGATCAAATTGAATATATCGTCTAAATAATTTCTAATATGTTGCTTCACGATCGCTATGAGAATGGCCAGCTGTTGGAATAGATATTCTCGAAAATTAACGTCCGCCGTGCGAACAACGTTCAGAAAGCTTGGCATTACTTGAGAAATATATGGCACGCATTTTATTCCTAAACTTTTGAATATAAAAGTTACAGCTTGAACCACCATTGTATGGTGCTGCGATAACGTCGGGTCTCGTATGATCCTCATAAGCGTTGCAATCGCTATAGCTGGATAATATTCCTCCAAGGTAGACGATGACATGTTCACCAACATTTCGCTGGTCGTTAAGTCCTGTGTATTCTCAGTGTCGCTTTTAGTGTCAGCCATAGACGTAAGAGTGTCTAACAGAGAATCAATCTGGCCAAGATTCATTTTGTGCTTGTACGGATCCAAAGCACCGAGTAAACCGAGTACTCTTATCGTTTCTCTCCTAATGATCGGTTGCTGTTCAGTTTTCAAAAAGTTTATCAAAACATCTAACAGCGATGGATACTGCATGTACGGTTTTACAACGTGACCGGTGCTTCCAACCAACTGCCCAAGAACCCATAGGGCAACACCTCTTTTCTCTGGAGAACTGGCGTCCACTAGCATTTCGAGCAGGATAGATAAAAGCTCAGGCATCCACTGTTGCATTTCGGCACCGTTCACTTCGGCTAGATCACCGATAGCACGTAATATACCCAAGATTACACCAGGGTTCGATTCCGGTTCCTTTAACTTCGGTACGAGAACTTTTAATATCGGTTCCATGTACGGTCTTATGAGCCTCGGCGCGCTGACAACCAAATGATCTAGCATACGAGCTGCTTGTTCTTTGTTCCGACCCATACCAGAATGCTCCAATTCGGTTAAAAATTGTATCAGCGTTTTCCGAAGAGACGGCATTACGTACGCCGGGTTCATCGTGCTCAATCGTCCGATCGTACGAATAGCTAATTCTCTTATTTCAAACATTTCGTCGTTCATCGCGATAAATAAAGCTGATAGATTTTCGGCTTGCGCCAGATGAATGTCGAAAGAATCATCCAAAGAGGCTAAAACCCAGAGTCTCACGTCAGGATCTGTGTCCGTGATACCTACGACTAGCAATTTTCCAAGAACCGTGGAAACGGTGTTGGTCACTGTAGGTCCTGGTTGATTTAACGCTAAACGTAATAATCTCGAACACGTTCTCACCGCCTCTAATCGAACCTCGGCTTCTTCCGATGTGAGAAAATGATCAGCGCATCGTCTGACAAATTGTAAAAGTGGATTACCGTCGAAATTAAACGTTCCAAGGGTTTTCAATGCCAAAACTGTAGATGGAATATCTACTTCTGTAGGAGGGACAGATATGGGGCTAGTTGCAGTCCACGGTGCACCAGGATGTCTTAAAGGTTTTTGCATCAGAACCTGAGACAACATGCGTAAAAGTCCTTGAGATATGTCAGATTTTAATGATGGAACGCTATGAGCTAATTCTCTGAGAGATGTTGTGAGAATTGGGCTCAATCCGGTTGCTAACATTGGCTCCAACAGATCCCTTACATCCGCAGCTATCACTTGTTTCACAGCGTGTCCAAGTAGAGTTATGCAAATAAATACTGCTGGTTCCAAGGCTGTTCCTCGCTTCTTGGTGGATGTCTCTTTAGAAGGTAATAAACTCTTAATTACTTCCATAATTTTTGAAAGATAAGGATTTATTGAATCCTCTACTGCGACAGCTATAAATCCAATTGTGGTGAACGCAGCGTACCTATCTTTTTCTCTACTACGTAAAGTCATTAAAAGATATGCTAGCGACTCTCTCAGATGATCTTTTGTAAATTTCTCTTTATTAAAAGCCGCTAGTCTAGGCAACAACATCATAAGAGCGTGTTGAATATGTGGATTTCTAGACATTCTTTGATTCATTACGTCATTGTAGATGTCATCTAGCCTTTCTTGCATCAAACAACGGCAAACTGCAGATTCATGCACCGGATATAACGTTTGCTGAAAATTAGAAGAACTCTGAGAAGAACTGGACCATTTAGAGACTATAGCCGTTTTTAATCGAGGCATCAAAGACAATATATCGTTTTCATTCTGCTGAGTAGAGCAATTTAATCGTTCCATTAAAGCTTCGTAATTTCTTTCCCATTGAATGTTACTACATCTAAGCAATTCGTTTAATATTAATAACGAACCATGTATTCTATCGTCTCTGTTAACTCCCCTTTCTCTTGTATATACTTCTTCAAATCCTGCTACTATTTCATCGTAGCATTGCTTGTACCATTGAGACTTGTGCATTTGTTTCGCTGTTTCCCTCTGCGCAGTAACAACTAAAGCAGCTCGTAATGCTTCAACAGCACCTTCTCTTATCACAGGTTTTGGATCACGTATCGCGTTAAATATAAGTTCAAAAAATGGAGTTACTTGTTGAAAAAAATATGTCGGCATGGAAACAGCCAATTCCCTTAAAACAAGCACAGCAGCGTGTCTTTTACCTTCGTGTCTGTCTCCACCGAGCCATTCAAAGGCACGCTTTACTTCGAATTCTACATATTCTGCAGTGTAAGTACCTGAAACTAATGCCAATTTTCCAACAGTTTTAGCAGCCAATTCCATAACCCCTACATCGTTGGAAGGTAATAAATTTCTCAAGTAATTTGCAAATCTTATAGTTCGTGTGTTAATATTTCCTACATCGGCTCCAATAAGGCAAACTATAGCTAATATTCCTCCCTTCTTTTCATTGACATCTGATCCGGATACCATTTCAAATATATGGTGATTAAATTCATCCATAAAAGCTGTGATTTCTTCTTGCGATGCTTCACGGAGCTCTGTTTTAACATAGAGACAAAGGTCCCTAGCTGCTTTATTACGTGTTTCCTCATTTTTAGATTTAAGTCTTTGAACAAACTGTTGCAAGAGCATACTTAACATTGTTAAAAATTTACTGCTGTCAATTTTACAACTTAATTCTTGTTAATTTCTTCGTAATGATATCTGAAAAAAATTTGACATTCACGAATACAAAGTAACATTATGCACGAATAGAAATTAACATTTATTTCCACGTACCTACTTGACATCACACGAATTTTTCATTGTGATACAATATTTTCATGATTGTCATTATTTCTTTAATTTTCTTAAAGAATAAAGTTGTAATAAGTATATCTTCAACTACATTATTACGAGGCGATGTCTGTCACATAAATCCTTCATGTTTTCATTCACGCCAATTATATGTCGAATAAACTACAAGCTGCTTCTGTGTGTTGTAAACACACAAATCATTGAATTAGTCGATGTCATTAATTTTGTGAATTTATAGTAAATACAGAAAAAATAAAAGTGGTGTGTTCTTCGAGAGAACTATCTTAAGTTTATAACCTCTACATTGGTTAGTACAGTTTGCTCGTGCAGGAAAATTGTGCGCTTTCAAGAGGCTTCCCCCACTCTGTTTGATAAGCTATGTGTTACCGTTTTGAGCCTGGTGTGTATAGCGATATCAGTTATAAAAGAGGTTATTTATATATAAATACTTCATTAACCGAAATAATTTTAAATGCGTTTCAAACATTTAATTAGAAAAACTATAAAAACATGGCAAATGAAAAGGATATAAATAATATTGAAAAGGTAGAAAATCGTACACAATATGTGAACATGTGTGATAAAGAAGCATGTTACAATGGAGAGAAAAAATTATTAGAAATAAATCCAAGTTTAAGCAAACGTCAGCAGAAAAAAGTAAAAAAACGAGAAAAATGGTTGGAACGAAAGGTGGAGATAAGGTTTTTACTTTACAATTATCATAAATTCATAAACCTTTTGGGATGAAATTTTATAATAACATTGTTAAGGTTATGATTGTAATACTGCCAATGTTAATAACGTTGTTGATTAAAAATAATATTAATTTTACAGATTACGTGAAAGAGAAAAAGCAAGGCAAAAACGAGCATTTGCTCGTGCAAATAATATAGACCTTGGCCCATCTAGAAAAGCTTTAAAAAGAATTACAATGGCAGATAGTACATGTAAAATTGGAATAACTATTGATTTGTCGTTTGATGATTTAATGATTGACAAAGATATTGCAAAATTGACTAAGCAAATATTAAGATGTTATACTTTAAACAGACGTGCTATTGCACCAATGCAATTTTCACTTACAAGTTTTAATGGAAAATCAAAGACAAATATGGAAAGGCATAATGGATACGAACATTGGGATGTATGTTATTATTTGAACAAGTTCAAATTATTATATGAAATTAGCAAAATCTACATTTAAAAATGTATCAAATACATTTTGTAGGTCAAATTTTATATGGAATCATACTTGAATGTCCATCCAAAAGAGAAAATCATATATCTTACTAGTGAATCAGAAAATGTTATCACTCATCTGGAACATGATTGTTTGTACGTTATAGGTGGTCTTGTTGATCATAATAGTCATAAGGTAAGCTAACTTTCTTAATTCGCATAAGTCTTCTTACATTACATTTATATTTTTAGGGTCTCTGTCATAAGTTAGCTGTACAGGCTGGAGTAAGGCATGGCCGATTACCGTTAGATAAATTTTTACAAATGAAAGCTAGAAAGGTTTTAACTGTTGATCATGGTATGTTTTACTTACAATTTAGTTAATTAATTGATTAAAATATTACTGACTAAAATGTTAACATTTAGGCGTGTATATTTTTCAGTGTTTGAAATTTTGCTTAGGGTTAGCGAAGGAAAAACATGGCAAGAAGCATTTTTGCAGGTGTTACCAGAAAGAAAAAACGCACAACCAATTGAGCCATTAGAAAGAAAGGAAGATGTATCAAAAGTCTATAATGAAAAACAAACATTACTTCATATAAACAATGAGATAGAAGAAAAAATGGAAATTAATGAACTTGAAAGCACAAATGATGTATATACATAATAAAAATGTTATGGATAGAACAGTTATGTATGTATCATATATAACTTTACAATATTGATATTTTATCAAATTTTTTCTATTAACACTTTTATTATCACAATACGTTTTGCAAATTAAAAAAAGAAAAAACAAATTCGTTCATGTTCGCAAGAAGCACGATTTTATCTACATAAAAAGTAGATAAAAATATATTTGTGTACTCAAAAAATTTAATACTACATACACATACAAGCAAGTGTATATATATATATATATATAAAAAAAAATAATGATTAAAATAAATTAAAGATGCATATTTTATTTAAGACAAGCAAATTTACTTTTAACGTAAGATTTCTTACACAAAATAAAAATAAGGTAAAAGAAAAGTTAAAATTACATTTAAAAAAAATATAAATCATCAATTTTTCTCAAATTTTGCAAGAAAATTTCAAAAATACTGTTTCTATATTTGTGTACAATTTATATACATACCATTTACACGTATTCCTTTAAAATGGAATAGAATTGTAAAAATAAATTAGAATTGTATAAAACTATACATGTTTTTATATAAAGTATTATAATACAGTAGATTATGACTAGAAAATAACTATTTCCAATATTTCAAAATTAAATTAAAGAAGATTAGATTATTTTCTTAAACACAATTTTCCGACGTGTTACCTCATTTTTCATTTTTTGGTTTTCGGTATATGTTATTTGTACACATTAAAGCTTATGTTTGTACTTTACCAATGTAAAGTGTTACATGTAAAATGGAATAACAGTTATTGCAAAATTTGGGTAAAACTGACACGATAATATTTTAAAATGTATAAATTTATATAAAACGAATGTGAAAATCTTTTTACCGCAAACCATATTCTTTGTTATAAACCATAAAATTTTTATTTAACACATTTTCGCCAAACCATCAGAAGCAGCTAAAAAATCGTCACAAATGATTCATGGACGACTCTATACAGATAGTATCGATAAAACTATTTACACAAGTGACATCATTTTTAGTAGTAATCGTACAACAAAATATGATTATTTAAATAAATTTTAAGATTGTACTATTTCATGATTGAAATTCTCACATTTTATGAACAAATTATTTCTAATCATTAGCAGGCTATTGATTCATGTACACAATTTATGCTCTGTTCACTATTTAATCTGGATTGGACTAAATCAAACTATATTATTTACAAAATATTAACGGTTTGTTTCTGATAAATTAAATTGTTCTCTGTATGAACATGTTTTACAATATCAAAACCAGAGCAAATACTATAATATTTATCCAACTGCTACCTGCTGCATAATGAACATTACAATTTCTAATTCCTTAATTATAATTTACAGCTAAATATTTTCCTGTACTTGATACGTATATACAAAACTATTTTTGACCATGAAGGTCAAAATAATATTTAAACAAAAATTTATTTATTCGTTTTTTCTTTTTTTTCTTTAAAAGTATTTTTAAATTCAAACTTTTATGTACACTAAGAATTGTTTATATTAAAGATCAGAAATAAAGATCAAAATGATTTTCTTTATTGTACATAGTATGTACAACTTCGTGCATTTACTTCGAATGTACGTAAGTACACCATTGTACTTTTTAGAAAGTTTAAAAATTTCACAGGGTAATTATCTTCGTTTTGTCTAGTGATAAAAGATTTTCGCGAATTTATTAAAGAAAATAGTTGCATTGCACAAATATTCATGAACTGAAGCAGGTAGTTCAAATCTAAACCAAGTAATTTAAGTTGCTTAAATTATTACCTTGTTAACATATATTTAATCATTAATTTTTTTTATCGTTTAACGATCAGTTTTACTTTTAATTCTACTCTGCATAACAATAACTTCACAGTTTCACATACCTGTGAATCTTATGCAAGATCTATGTTATCAACTTCTTGACTGTCAATTATTTCGAATTCGCTACCACTCTCATCACTATGACTAACTAATTTTCTTGATATAGGTTCAAGCTCCGCTTCTTCTTCAGAAGATGATCCTTTTTCGAAATGAGCACTTTGAAATTTAATACCATCCACATCATTTTCTTCGGCGCTAAGCTCTAATTCCGAGACTTCTATATCGTCAGCGCTGCCATCTTCGTGCGATGGCATTTTTAAACCAGTAAGTTCTTCGTCATTAAAAAATTCTGAAATTAAAGGTATGATTTATGTACATATATTTTTTTTAACAGTGTCCGAAAAATATACTCGATATTAAATCACACCATTTTGAGCATCAGATAACACACTGGTTGGTGTTGGAGACTGATCCCCTGATTCTCCTGCTCTTGTAAGAACTTGAAGATTATCTTCAGTTACTGCTGGTAAAAATTCTTCAATTTCGCTATCCCATTCTGTACAAGAATATAAATAATGTTCCTAATTTATCATGTTAAGTGCTGATCATACTTTGATTTTTAATTTTAATTTTAATATTATTATAATATGAATATTAATAAAATATTTCAATATTTAATACAGTATTACTTACCTTTGTGTGATATTCTGCTAGGGAGTTTTAACAGCAATGCAGGTCCAAGTAGAATGCTCATACAAATTGTATATGCAAGAAGTACACCATTTATAGTACGACCAATAATCCATAGGCCCAAAGATAGAGAACATATAGCACTGCAAAACTACAATCATTTTTAATATTTAAAGGTGTAGTATCATTCTAAAATGAATTCAAATTTTAAATATGTTAAACTTTGTATTTTTCAAGTAATGAATATAGTAACATTTAATCATTTAACTACATTCTATTTACATTTTAAAAATATTTAAATATTCAATAGAACTTTACCACTCCCGGTTGATCTTTTCTTAACTGTTTCAAACTATGAATTACTGATTTTACTCTTCTTCCTATTTTTTCTATTTGCTCTGCTTTTGCATAGGATCTATAAAGATATTATGCGTACTTCAATGAAATTGGATCAAAATATGTAAATATAATTTTTGAAAATTTAAACATTTACGTCGATGTATCCAATGCTTTATTTTCTTTTTGAACTTGAGCTTCTAAGGTACTATAGCAAAGGACAATGACCAGCGCAGCACTGCTGGCTGCAGCAAAGCCACGAACCTCTAATACAATAATACCCCTGTAAAAAGAACATCAAATTAACATCGTAAATGTAATATAACTTATGTTTTAAAATTTAACAACAGTTCCATATTTTCTCACATTTATAATAACATCTCATTATTGTACATTAAAATAATTAAGAAATGTATTAATTGAAATAATAGCATAATTTATCATTAAAAATTTTTAAACCCCTGATTATACTTTCTAATTATCAACAATACTGCCATCTAGGCTAGTACTTTTGATCTCCAGTGAAAAACACAGAAAAATTGCAATTCATTCTATAAAGTATGTAAATAAATACGAATGATATGAATGAGTATAATTACAAAAAAAAGAACGCTTTTAATATTACTGGGTCGATCAAACTAGAGGAAAATCATCAATGACCGCGTATCAACTTATTTTCGTAATTATGTATGTACGTAAATAATGTCACGGAAGTGAACTTTTTCTTATCATGAAGAAAGACGTACGGAGAAATACAAATTATTATCGTAACTCTTTGATACTAATATTATTATTTACAACGATATCCAATACCAAAGCGCACACGCTTTAACAAACCTTGACCTAGAAGACGGATTGCTTACAAAAGCATTACGAGATAAATTGTAGTACAACTGTTTCGATACTTCTTTTACAACTGCATTAATAAAAAAAGTATATTGAACAAATTCTGATCATACTCCTGGAGATTCCTGAAGATTGCAAAATATCAAATAATTGCCTATTATATTTTATAAAAATATCTCATTTTTATTTTGCAAATCAAACGAAAATTAAAAACATAATGCGTATTGGTATAACGAAGAAAATAAAAAAGAAAGAAAATCAGTCACAAAATAATTTTGCGAAATCACGCGTAACGCATATAGCTGAGAAATGACGCACACCGTGTCGGACTTAAGTAAACTCACCAAAACAGTATGTTGAATACGATGACGACGGAGATACTGTTTACCGAATTTTCCCAAAGAAGAATACTCTCCAAAATACCACAGAATCGTCTCGAAGCCTCAAAATTGCATCCAACATTCCGATACTGTTCAACATCGATAGTTTTACGCTTGTCCTCGGTAGTCACCTCACTCGTATCACGAAATGTCGCATTTCTCATCCATTGGAAATAACATGCCACTCTTGAAAGTCGTTCCATGACAGTTCCAGGTCGACGTTGGCTGCTTTTGTCGTCCTAATTCCTGTACTCCTTTGGCATGGTACACCCTCGGAAGACTGTGCGGGAGTATTTTTAGCGCGTGACAACGAGAGTTAAGAGTTTTGAGAACGAACGGGAGTTTCCTTCTGCTTTGCCTCGAATAACGGAGTGAGAAGGAGATAGAAAGAGATAGATACGTGTGAGAAAGAGAAGGAAAGAACGGAAAGCGAGAGGAGTAAGAAAACAAAATTCAAACGAAAGGGATAGATTGCTAAAACTGAGGATCAAGATTGACGAAGAACGAGTGAATGAAATATAAGCGGGATGGAGAAAGAGAACGTCACCCGATAGAGAAAGAAAAATAGATAAGTACCGATTGTATGTATTTATATATGTATATCCTTGCACTTGTTTCGCGTTCGCTCTTGTCAAACTTCCGGACCACCTTCTTTCGAATCACAGGGTTTCTTTTGTTTCTTCCTGATTGATTTTTTAAATGTTCCTTGATATTCAGTTACGTTGCGTCTGTTATCCTTCTACTGACGTACGTACGCGTTCAAGCGTTATTTCGCATACCCTACCTTCGCTAACTGCAAACACGTGACAGCTGCGACGCGAGACGCCGTTGCACGGCCACAACGTGTATTACGTCCCTACAATGGAACTGCGTAAATCTTTAAATTTTAGTTTTGTCAATAACATATGACCAGGTGCTCCATTGCCTCTTTGTTGAATATGAAACTACATGTATTTCATTCTTTAGTTATTTAACAGTTTACTCATCCTCCTATGATTGTCGGCATTTTTTTTTATTTTTCACAATTTCGTACCGATCTTAATGAATTATTGTTAATACATATTTGTTTTTTGTTTCAGTAATCTTTAACCGTTGAATATTGTTTAAAAGAATATTTTACAATACGTGTAATCGGAAGTTTGATAAAATATTCCATTACCTATACTGTGATTAAGTGCATTTAAAATTCCAATGCTAAAAGGTTAAGAACATTCAATGAGTGATTGTCTTTTCTTTTACGAAAACGGAAACGATAAGTGTTATGAAATCACAAGTTTTCGCTTTATCGTCGGGCAAGAAATGATTTTTTTTTTTATTTATTTATTTATTTAACTTCTAAACAGGTGAAATCCTTTTTACACATAATATGAAATAAGTAGAAATTGCTTACATACTAATAGTGAAAGAAAACTTATGCTAATATAAATTAGTTTTTAGTTTATTTTTTATCAAATGTTGTTACTTATGATTGATAAAGGATGCTAATAGGAACAAAAGCTACAGGAATCAATATAATATCGGTAAATGTGTATTCTCAAATACATGATAGTACAATATGTTTGTTTACTTTATCTTGCAAGATAGATCGCAAGATAGACTAATATTATTTCAGTCTATTATTTCATTATTTCAAAATACAGCTGTTATAAATCGGAGTAGTTATTTATATCCAAAACAATTTTAGCACGTATCATTTTTAATAAGTTTCATAGAAGCTGAAAATCACATCTTACTATAATGGAAAATGATTAATACATAACAAAAGCATTCATTTCTAATACTTAGTAACTTAAAACATTGATTTACACTATTTTAATGAACTGCGTTAACTTCTTGTTAATTGTATTTCCATTTGCGTATATTGAAAAAAATAAGTATTCAGTCATGTATAATATTTTATAAAGATATTTAGAAGAGAAACGCAAAATGTCCGTTTTTTAGCAATTGTTAAATGATTTACACTTACTACTATGCACTTTCTTATTTTTTACATTTATACAATTTTTTACATACATTTTTAAATCAATATATGATAAAATTTAAAAAATGTGCGAAAATACGGAAGACGTAAGAAGAAAACATTATTCTTCAAAACACATTCATAAAAAACGTTTTACATCTTGCAATATCACATATTAGAATGTTTATTATTTATATCCCTTTTCTGTCTGAAATATATTAATGTATCAAAAATCTCAATAAATATATTTAAGAGAAGAATTCATTACACTCTGAATCAGCAATGTTAATATGTTTTATAAATTTCATTTTAAAAAAGGTAATTAAAAAATTACGTGAAACATTTTTTGTCATAAGATAAAAGGCACTTGCATATAAATGTCACAGTAAGATTGAGATTGTACATCCTCAAATCATTGTGTTACTATACTTCTATGCAGGTATTCATTCCTACATTACAAGTATTCATTGTATACATAATTTACACTCGTACACACACATTCATACATAGCAGTCTAAGTTATATGGCAGTATTATAATATCGTACTTAGTGATAATAATCTGATAATATTTCATACTGCAACATTAGTTTCCATTAAATACTTACAAATTACAATGTTAAAAACTATTCCAATTAGTGCTAAAGCTTTGTTTGTTGCATAGTAAAGTTTTTGTTTACCATTTAAATATTAAACAGTTTAAAATTTATATTAAAAAAAAAAAAAAAATATATATATGAAAACAATTTACTGCAATACAATAAACTTTTTCAGTAGAGAGAGAGAGATCATTCTTAATATTTTTATTTTCCAGCATATGTTGGATTTTTAAATGTTGAAGTTGCTTGTTTGTAAATTGGATTTTCCCCCTGATTAAAAAAAAAGAATAATAATTATAATAGATGATCTCATTTTTAAAGGTATCACATTAAAAAGAAGAAAATGCTTACCGTGTCCCATTTTGCCATCATTCTTTCTTTCTCAAATCTTGCAAACTCTCTCCTGTCGTGTATAGTTGTTAATAGTTTCCATAAAAGTAATAATGCGAGCCCAATTAAAACAATTGCCGCTATTACACCTAACACTATTCCGAGCATATAAACTTGCGGTGGACATTCCCTTTCTTTCTGAGCTCGTACTTTTAAGCTATTCGTTTCATTGTAATAATAAACGAAATTATATTTACAATCATCCTCGTCAATACCGAAGCATAAAACTTCGTCTTGATCGACATCTGGTATAACGGTATCGACTGGTTCGGGTACAAATTCTTTGCAATTCTTTGCACACTCTTCTTTGTCGGTAAAATTGCCAGTGCCATACATTTGGCACAGTACACAATTTTTTAACTCTTCGCACCGACTCGGACACGTCGGGCATTTGTTACAATGTTTGCCCGAGTACCTTGTACTGCCTTCTTCGTGACAGAAACATTCACCGCATACGCAGTCTCCCTAAACAGTAAAAGATGAATGTAAATTAAATTCATAAAATATGGTAAATTTTCTTTTATCGTAATAACGAGCCTTACGTGTCCTGAACATAATAATCCATTCGTAGTTCCTGGTGCAATACAAGTTTCGTTTGAAGATCTACAATTACAAGATGGACTAGTCCATCCCGCGTGACAAACACATTGGCCACATTCGCAAGTCCCATGATTTGAGCATAAATGACCTTGATCCCGATCGCACGAAAAATTATCACACTCGCAAAAGTGACCCGATATTAACTGCAATAAATAATATAATATAATAATAGATAGAAAGATATCATGATATACAGGGTGTCCCAGAACTGGGGTAGGACCCGTGAAGGGGTGATTGCTGAGGTCATTCTAAACAACTTTTCCCTTTGCCAAAATGTTGGTTAAGACTTCGTTTTCGAGTTATTAACGAAAAACACTGGCCAATCAGAGCGCGCGTTTAGCGCGGGCCGAACCGCAAAAGTGTTGGGTATGCTCTGCATTCGAACTGTGGTCGTGATCAAGTGCATCGGCACCACGTCGGTATAATAAGAATCGTTGTTCATGAGCAACGAATAATTCGATACTATTATTGCTTTCTTTTTTTAAATTCATTATTCGATACAACTTTTGCCCAACGAATCCTATTGTACCGACGTGGTGCCGACGCACTTGATCACAAGCACGGCTTGAACGCAGAGCATACCCGACACTCCCGTGGTGCGGCCCGCGCTAAAGGCGCGCTCTGATTGGCCAGTGTTTTTCATTAAGGGGGGACACTCAATTAGAAGCATGAAATTTAGCAGATTTTTAAAGATTTTTTTTACAGGATACCAATTGTTCAATCTTTTTGTAACTTAGAGGCTTATTTATTATATATTTAAGTATCTACAAAATATTTTTGTTTGTTTGTTGAAAAAATTTAAAAATGGCGGAGTTTCGGGACATTTTTTGCGGCGTGAGTTCTAAAACTGCGGGAACTGTAGCGACCGCATCGTTCATCTGAAATATATGGAATGAATTTTTTTTAGTAGTTAAGACTTGTAGTTTCTATTTAAACTAAACTGATTTTGAAAATCATTAAAACAAAGTACCTTTTTATCGCAAAATTACTGCGGAAAATTTTACGTTTTTGGTTTTTAGTCTGCTATTTCTGTAATTTTTAAATTTCATACAATTTTTTTAGTTTAAATAGAAACTACATATATTTCAGATGAACAATGCGGTCGCTACAGTTCCCGCCGTTTTGGAATTCACGCCGCAGAAAATGTCCCGAAACTCCGCCATCCTTAAATTTTTTCAAGAAACAAAAATATTTTGTAGTAACTTAAATATATAATAAATAAGCCTCTAAGTTACAAAAAGATTGAATAATTGGTATTCTGTAAAAAAAATCTTTAAAAATCTGTTAAATTTCATGCTTCTAATTGAGTGTCCCCCCTTAATAATTCGACAACGAAGCCTTAACCAACATTTTGGCAAAGGAAAAAGTTGTTTAGAACGACCTCAGCAATCATACCTTCACGGGTCCTATCCCAGTTCTGGGACATCCTGTATGTGAGAATTAAATTGTTACACTAAAATTAAGTATATAATTACTTCATCGCGGTTTTCTCTTTCTTCACATTCGCACTGACCACAAGCACAGGTTCCTCTTCCTGAGCAATCTACAAGGGACGTGTTATCAGGCCTACAAGATTGGAAATGTTTATCGAATCCGGTCATCTCTTGATGAGGGCTGCATTCGCAGCGTTTCCCAAAAAATCCATCGTAACATTCGCAGATACCACATTTCAAGGTTCCTACACCATTACATTCTGGTGATTTAACTTCATACATAGCCCCTTCGCGTTCGCATTCACAATCACACAACATTTCCAAATTTACAGTAAGCGTTTCATTAATACCAACCTAGATAACATTAATATGTTTAAATTAAAATGTTTCTTATTTTTAATCGTATATAAACAACAATGTGAATATCTTTATTCTTACTGGATATATGTCAAACTTCTGTATCCATTCAGATCTATTTTCTGGACAGCTTGTAACTGCAATTTCAGCAGTAAATTCTACTTTTGTTCCAACTTTCAATCCGTCGCATTTCGAAGTTTCGATAAGCGGTCCTGAACCCAAACATTTTGAAAAATATTTCACTTTTACAGCACTGCTGGCTGTATCCTTCATCTCGACAGAACTTGAAATTGCAGCGTACTGTTCTCGAATTAATTCTACAATGTTACTTGAATCGTCTGATAATTTGCCAGCAAATGATCCTTCTACGTGTTTAGTCAATCTTTTGTAAACGTTTATCTGTTCCTCAGTGACAGCCCATATAATATTAATAGCATTCTGCTTAACTTTTAAATTGATTTGAGAAATACTTGGATAGTCTTGCAAAGATGAGTGAGTGTAAAGACCGGTGCCATCTAAATGGCATTCACCGTCGTTTGGTTTCACAATTCCACCTAACTTGCCATCACCTGCATAGTGAAAACCGGCATCCGTAGAAAATACTAAAAGTCTACGAGCCTTTTCACGCCAACCAATTTGTCGCCTACAGACTATAGCTTGCATAATAGCATCGAATCCTCCTTCTGGCGCATCCAAGTTTCCAGATACTGAAGCATTTCGTACCAAGTTTGCAAAATGACTGGTATCTTGAGAAAGTGTCATAATGTTTTTATAACCATACGGTGCTGCACAGCCATCGCACGGTTCTATTAGCGATTTTGGCATTGTATTAACATAAGGCATTACAACTTTGTCCACGAAACTACCAAAGCCTAAACGAAAGTTGCTTGTAATTTTACTCATACTTTCTACTAAAAGTTGTCCCAAGTCTGATAACTTTTTCTTGTCATCCTCCATCGATTTACTCAGATCCATAAGATAATACAGATCAACAGGATAATCTTTTGCTTGGGAATAAGCAAAGGTCATTCTATGTGCTTCGTCTGAAAATAATAATGTGTTATAAAACTGTAAATATAAAGTTCTTGAAAACTATCAAAATTATAACAACATACTTATTCTGAGTTTCAGATTAACTTCCTGGGGCCAAATTTGTACAGCTTCCTGCCTTCTGCCACTGTTGATACTAGACTGTGAACTACCGCTAAATGAACTAGAATTCATATATGAATAATCATAACTACTGCTGCTGCTGCCACTGGTATAACCACCTTTTGTTAAATTACGATGTCTTATCATACTGAAAAAATTGTCCGGATTCCATGTGTAGTCTCTTGGACATGTTGCAAATATTTTGGTATTTATATTTGGTAGAAAACATCGTTTTTCAGAAAATTTCTAAAAAAATAATCAAGTTAACATATTTATTACATAAAATTTATAACAGAATTAAAACATTTAAACTTACCGGTGCAGCGCACCAAGCACAATGCGGTGTTTGTATGCATTCGTGACACGTTTGTTTGCTGATACAAGGATTCATCCCTGTCAATCTTTCTGGAGGGGCATAATTTGCCCTTGATAACACAGACGTGATAATTATTATTGCTATAATCCATCTTAAGCTGCCAAACATCCTGTATATATAAATATGAACTCTATTTTAATTTTTCTATTTAAATAAATAATAACAGTATATAATTGTTTTATTCAAATTTTTAGATTATCAGCATAGAAAATATATTTTTATGAATGAAAATAATAACAAAAATTATAACAATCGTACGGTAACTTTGTACAGAAATTTCTTTTGGGAACAAGAAATCAGTTATGAGGTAATATTCCAGTAATTGTTGACTCATCAAATTCTTAAATTATATATCCTCACTGTCTATTTTTATCTTCTAAAAGTAAGAAGTATTAAATATACCGCGTGTAATGATTCATATTATAATTAAGAACATCTAAAACTATAAAATTGTTAATTATTAAAAATTGGGACAAAATATTAACTTCATCTGTAAATATAACATATCAGAGAGCAAAATATTTATAAATGGATTAAACCATTCTATTTATCTTATTTGAGTAATAAAAAATTAATAAAATATAAAATTATAATTAAATACAATTGATGTTTAGATTTAAATAAAAAATTAGATTTTAATTTAACATTTTGTTTTATGTATGTACATAAAAAAAATTGTAATATTTTACATTTGAAGCATTTAGAATGTAGTTACAAGAAGTATTAAAGAAAAAAAACATTCTTAAAATGTAATTAACTCCTTCCTAAATGAAGAAATAAAATGTATCGAAGGTCTGAGGTGCGGCCAAGCCGTATCTCCTACGCTATTAATTTTAATTTTAAATAATACTTTACGTATCATTTAATCGAGAAATCATTTCGTTATAAAGTTTGAAAACATATTTCATTTATATTTTAAATATATTTTATATGTTTAAATTGCAAGTATCCACGATATAAAACAGACCGCTTATTCATTCATAACGATGCCGTCATCTTTATATTTACAAAGTAGAATCATTTTATAAACGAAGAAATTGGATATTAAGACCGCAAGTAAAATATCAGCTAAAACGTTTCGAAGGCTTACTTTTCTTTTAATAGGTCCTGCACCGATTTGTTGTTAAAACATTACAAGTTTGACCAATGTTTTCTTGTTACTTGAATCACCATAAAAGGTAACCCATCAAACGCACGCACTCCACAAACAACTGTCTATACGAGATTGTAGTAGGCTCCCGGGGCCCGGGGAAACTCAGCTTGTGTATATACCATAAAATAACGAGAACTAGATTTGCAATTCTGAATTCTGTATACCACGACCGTAGTGCCCTCGATTCGTGACAGATTTTGAAAGCACGTAGTAACTGTAGCCTTCTCCACCGACGAGAACAGTATCTCGTCGGTGCACTTGGGACGTCGTGGAGAGGATAAAAATTTGTCCCACGTCCCACGATTCTGGCATCACTGGACTGCGGTAGCCTGGTAACTGGGTAACTGGTAGTCAATGACTATGAGTACAGTTTGTGATTTCTGATGGCGGTATTGTTGACGTTTACTGCTCTTCGTAGCTAGAAACAGTTTTACAAATACAAAGTTAAGCACTAAATATTCATTGTCAGGCAGTAAAACTCAAAATATATAATGATTTCGACTCGTATTCTATATATTCCAGTTATAACTGCTTTCTTTTACTGGAATAATTTGTTATGGTGCTATGTTTTTTGTTTACTAACCATATCCTGTTTCTTTATGGGATGTTTAATTGTACTGTTTATAAACATTGCACTTTCACCGAAACACCAAACTGGTGCAGGTACTATAAAAACAGTTGCAGAAATGGATGCATTTCATAATTTATTAATGGTAAATTATTGTTTATCTGTAGATTGATTATTACATTAGATTACTTTGTCTACTTAAAGATAGATAAGATTACAGACAATTAAGAAAAAAGTAATGTTATCTATCTTTGTTCTTTATTAAATTTATTATTTGACAATGTACTTACTGACTAAGCTATGCTATTATTTCAGAAAGGATACATGGTTAAAACTTCAAATAATAAAAGACATATGCGTTATCCATTAGTGTTCACTCGTATGGTGGATGGAGCACTGCAAAACTTGTTGGATTTAGTTTTTCAAGATTTTGTTGGTTTGTGGTTAAGCGAATTGGCTTTCAACTCTGATCAAATAATAGATAACATGAAACAAGACATGTGGGGAGCAATTCAAAGTCTCCACGAACGTTTATCAAAAGTGGATCACACAAAACTGGTTGCTTGTAATATAGTGAATAAAATCACTTTTCATTTTGAAAAAATTAGAATTGCTCAAACTGCTTCGTAAGTTGCGATTAAATCTTTTGGATTATTACACATTAAACAAAATGTAACAAAATATAATTTTTATGTATAAACAGGTCAGAAGGTGAAGATCCAGTATTTATTTTATCAGCGCATTTAATGTCATCTACATCTGAGTTAGATTATTTAAGAAAAGTTAGCGAATTGTATATTTTATTTTTGTTACCCCACTGTTATTCGCTCGCGCCGATCAAGTATTTATTGAGAGAAATTCTTGCATGTAAAAGTAAGTTCAATGACTACACGAGACTATATAAATTCTACGCTTCACTTTATCTTTTATATAATTTTAGTATTGAAACCAGCAATAGACTTAATAACAGATCCTGATTATATTAATCAAAAGATCTTAATGTATATTGATCAGCAACAATTAGCGGAAGCAATGCATAGGAAAACGTATGAATACGCAGAATCGTTTGAAGATTTTATCCGTATGATCAAAAGTTCCAAAGATTTAGAAGTACTTAAACATATCAGATACAATATCGTTACGGAGATTATGCAAGCTACAACAATACAAAATGTTAAAAGAGCGCAAGGTTTAGATCCAGACAATAATGCATTCGGAAAATCTGATGTGATTCAAGCTCGAAAATTGAAGAGGTACATCAGCCAACTAACATACGCTAAAAATATGTGTGAATGTCATATGCAATCGTTAGGATGGAATGGATATCCTGTTCAGGTTACAAAACTATTTTCATTCAACGAAAGATCGATAATAATTATATTTGACGGCAATTTTTTATAGGCCAGCGACGTTACTGACTCAGCGGTGATTACAGAAGAAAAGATTTTACCACTACAGTATATTTTAGATAATGTAATAGGTCGACGATACCTATCACAATTTCTTGAACAAGTTGCTAGTCAAGATTTAATTGGATATTGGGCAGCTGTACAGGAGCTGCGCAATGCGGATAAATCCAATTGGCATCAATTAGGAACAGAAATCTTTTATACTTATATTACCTCGCCTACTGCTGAAATAAAGGTTGATAGAGTTATTCGCAAGAAGATGGAAAGTTTTCTGTTAGGTGACATAGGACCTCATGTGTTTTATGAAGTTCAAGATAACGTTGTCAAAACTTTGGAGGAAAAATATTATCCGTCTTTTGTCGTTAGTGAACAGTATAAAAATATGCAAGAAGCATTACTCAATGAAAGAACAGATGGTAATTAAGAAGCTTTTAATATAGAAATTACTTATTTAATTAAATGATCACTTATATATATATATATATATACACATTTAGATTTAACAGAAGATCATCGTATAGTAAATGGATCTTTATCAGAAAATATATCTTTGCTCGTTGGAGAACATTCAAACTATGCTCGCAGTAAGTTGGATCAGCTACAAGAAAAATTAAATAACAAAATGCAAGCTTTGCAAGCGCTCAAGTCTTCGTTGAAACCTGAATGTAAGGTTTTAAATTTCTTGGCTAAGGAAGTTGAATGGTTGCAAAGTGAAAAAAGACAACTAGAGGCACATTTAACGCACACTGAAATGTGGGCAGAACATTTGGGTCATTGGAGAGCAGAAGTACAAAGCGCAGAAGTATTATTTTTTCTTATTTGTCTATTCTTCGTTATATATTTATATAGGAGAAAAATAATTTTCTTTTTGTTAAAGAATAATCCTTAATTATTAAAACAAACCAATCTAATTTAGAAAAAAATTGTTAAAAGATGCCAGATAACGGAGAATCCCCGCACTTTGTCTTGGTTGTTCATATGGCAGAAGATGAGGATAATACGGAAGGCATATGTAGCGGTTGGGTAGTGTTACGAAAATTACAAGATTTTCAAGTTCTTCACAGAAAGCTTCGTCAACTTTGCTCCAATGTAAAAACCTTAGAATTGCCATCGCAACCATTAAAATTCTTTGGAAAATCCGATAAAAATACTTTGGACAAAGCCAAGATACAGATACAGAAATATTTAAATGTAAATCTTCTTTAATATTTTCATCGGCACAGTAAAATATATTAACCTTGAATTTTTCAACTGGTATATTCAATATTTTTAGTTTATTTTAGAGGATGAAAAACTGAATCAAAGCGAGGCTTTATATACATTTCTTAGTCCGAGTTCTGAACATCTGAAATATGCTCCGCCTTCTCCTAAAAAATCTCGTTTTTCATTATCGACATTATTCAAAACGTCTGTATATACTTATGGATATTATACCGCACGTATTTACAAAAGTTTAATGTAAAATACTTATTTATTTTAGATCTAGCAATGAACTTCGTGACAAAGAAGACGAAGAAGATTATTCATTATTGTTAGACGATACTGACAGTGGTCGAACAGTAACGGATGGATTTATGAATGTTAATAAAGATGCGATAGCAGAACCTCTTTATGCACTTTTGGGTGAAATTTTTGATTTACGAGGAGTGTTCCGCTGGCTTCGACGTTCTTTAATCACATTCGTTCAGATTACTTATGGGCGAACCATTAATAGGTACAATACTCGGAAGTTGTTTAATAGCAGATATAAAATATGTAATAAATGTAATATTTTAGACAAATCAGAGATACGATTGCATGGGTATTCTCAGAGCCAATGTTACATTATTACATACAGTTATTTACAAAATCTTGGTGGCCAAATGGTCATCTAGTGTCAGAGACAGTTATTCGTACAGACGAGGAGAAATTAAAAACCCGAGGCGAAGCTCGACGACAATTTCTCAATAACATACCTGAGGTTTTAACAAATTTGGTGGGAGCGCAAAGTGCTCAACGCGGTGCAATCAAAATCTTTGATTCTTTACAAAATACTAATTTAAACAAACAATTATTTTATGTAAGTTGTCTTCAAAATAATTTTTAAATTACATTTTGCTTATCACCTACCTAAGTTTCTTTGTTACAGGATATCTTTGAAGTTGTGACGTATGAAGTATTTCCAGAAATACAGCGGAACCATTAAACTTGTGGATGCAATAAATTTTCATTCCATAACATAATTGTTTTAAAAAATTTAACTGATCATTCCATACATTTTGAATCGATGCATAAGAAGTTGTATGTATGTAAATCACAAAGAATTAACTTGAATAAGTTTTATCGTTACCGACATTTAGTTTTTTTTCTCTTTTTTGTTTTGTTTAAACACATAATATAATCGTTAATAATGAAAATTTGTAATTTATATTTTTTTTAGCGTTTCAATGTCTATCTACAGATCATGGAACATTTTGCATTTTTAACTAGGTATTACGATAAACTTATTTTTATAGAAAACATAATATAGTAATTATTTTACACATCTTTATTTCAGTATGTCTTAAATATCTTCATAGAATGTATACATAATATAAACAACTTTTTATATGTTTTTTTTTTTTTCATACATTTAAAAAATCCGAAGATAATTCTATGAAACATGACTGAGGTACAGTGAACATAAATTTTGTACAGATAAAGTCATCTCATAAGTTATACTATTTTAATGTTTAGATTATTTAGTATTTTGTTGTATATAAAAGGAAAATTTTAATATAAAAAATATATTTTCAAAAAAGGTAGGTAATAATATGTATTGTCATTTATAAGAAATCAATATTATTATAATATAATTCGTTTTAGAACAAACTATTAGATGATTAAATATAAAAATGACCGTTTATATCGAAATAATTCTTAACATATTAACAACTAATAACTATCTGAAGTTATCATTCATACTTTCTTAATTTGAGTATAAGAATGACGTTACTTATGCGATGACTTAACATTTTATAATTATTTAAAACACAATTCAAAGATATAGATTCCTTAAATACAGCTGAAGAAGGGACTAGCTTTTACGCTACTTAATAGTATTATCCTAATATGAGAATATTAGTTATTCTCTTTCCATTAACTATAAATCATTTATTATTTTTAATTTGCATATTTCTTGTATAAAGCACGTAATAATTAATATTATTTATTATTCATTATTGTTATTATTTTCATTTAGAACTTACGTTAATGAAGAGATAAAGAGATGAGAGATACATTTTCTGTGAATCTGCACAATTAAATAAAAACATAAGGGTAGAAAATGCATAAGATAGTACAAATATCTATTCAAAAACAAAAATATATTTTTAATTATTAATGCCATACATACAAAGTTTGATAGGCTGTTATAAAATATATATATGATTTTTTTAAATTTTCATACCATTTGATCGAATATTTCATTTAATAAAAATATTGTAAAACAAACACAATTTTTGAAAATAAAATCCAAACTATATATATAAAAAAAAAGGATAAATTGTTTTAAAAGGGTTACTATTAAAATTAAATAATTTAAAAACATTTTTTATCAATCTTTGTACGTAGTATAAGGAGTAAAAATAACTGTAACATAATGGTATAAAAATAATAACATATCATAGTGTAGATTACCTTGAAAGAACGGATATCGACACATTATAAATATATAAATATACAGTGTCTATTACTTAGACATGTAATAATATAAATACTGTTGTATCTCTTTAATGGTATCGACTAGAATTATTTACGAGATATTAAAAGTTACAAGGATGATCGTTACTCGCAAAAAACCAATGGAAAGAAAGTAACTTTGGATCTATAAGATTTTGATCAATTACAATGATATTTTATAAAATCTCTGTTGAAGTGTAGTTAACGGAATCCCTAAACCTGATACGTACAGAAAATCGCGAGTAGATTCATGAATAATACCTCATGTACAATGAATGTCTTAATTTTACATGAAATTAAAGATGTATCCTTTGAAAGATATAGAAGAGTTTAAAATGACATATGATATTGTTGACTAGTTGGATCCCTTTTTCTATTGCAAAAAGTATACACATTACCAGAATGTATACCTGCTTTTATTTACTTGGCAGTGAACTCGGGCCAATAGTTTACATAATAACGATGTGTTAACCCTTCAAATAATCTATCCAACCACATAGGTAAACCATCCAAAAGGTTGTCCTGATATAAAACGTTATTTCCGCTCTATAATAGAAACAATCCAGATGTTCCAACTATTATAATAAAAAAGTATAAAATATGAAAATCTATTGCGTACCTCATCTTCGGAGAGGTCAGATTCATTAGAACTGTCGAAGCCAATAAATGCGCCAGCTTCTGCATCGTCCGTTCTTCGAGTTAACTGTTTCGTCATTCGTTCTATCCTCTATTTGCATAATAAAAAATATGTTACCTCGTAATCTAACTATCGTACGACTGGTATATTAATTCTTTTAAAAATATACATGTACCTTCGAACCCTTGCCTTTAATACATTCTGGGTGTTTAGCATGGTACATACAAAAATATTTACGGTGCCCATTCAAAGATAACACAGTTCCCACACAATTTTTTGCATTAATATTTAGTTCCTTCTGTTCTGGCAAAGTGAGGGATAACAGTTTTTTATACCAATCTAATCCTCTCTCAAGAGACATATGTCCAAACATAAGGGTTTTATTTTTTCTACAATCAAACGAAACATTAAATGCTATAAAAAAAAAAAAAAAAAGAAAAACAATTTAAATAATAATAACAAAAACCTTACCTATAAGGCCACACAGCTTTATGAAAAGCTGGTAATAGTTTTAGCCTACTTTGAACATCAACTAATAATATAATAGTTCTACAGCCTGGTTTTAATAATCGAACTAAACCATTATATTTTTCTGCTCGTAATTCATGTAATCGTAATTGTGGTTGAGACGGTGTTGCCTTACTGTTATCTTTACACTGAGCACGTTCAGCTTGAACACTTGCTTCCTCTAATTTCCTACAAATGGAAAAATGAATTTCAATAACATAACGTTTAGATAAATTTGTAATTTATATACTTACACTAAATATGACATTCCATATCCTGCAGCACCAATTAACATTAGAGTAGCTATTACCGACACTAAAGGCAATATCTGCTCTTTAGTAAGGCTATCCGAAATATAATCTACAGCTAACAATGCTTTGCCTATAAGTTTATCTACAGTACCCTGTGTGAAGTGATAAATTGATATCAATAATATAGCACAGGATTGAAATAAATCCATCCTAATACCGAATTTATTTTTGTTCCCAGGAATATACCTGTGCATGTTCATCCGCTAATTCTCCTACAACTGCAGCGTAGGGCAAAGCCTCTGATACACGCAACAATCTTTGTATGGTTTGTTCTAAATTTTGGCGCGTTTCATTCCATTGAGTTTCATCTTGAGCAGCTTCGATCCAATCGGTAGGTAACCATTCGTATTTTAAATGATTTGCATCCCTTCTCCAAATAATAACAATATGTAACAAAGGTTCTAGGGGACTGCCTTCTCCTGTTGACAATGCTGATACAAATTCGGGTTGTGTATCCTTAAACACGTACGTGTATCTAACACGTTCAGTGCTATAAATTGAATTTTGATATGGTATATTATAATTCAAATTCAACGTATATTTAAAATAACATTACCTGTAAGATGATTCTAAAGCTGCTTGTCGAAATTTATGTCTTGCTAAATCATGAAGAGGACTATTCTGCTGTGATATTAACACAGCACACAATCGTTTCTGAGGTCTTAACCATTCAGGTGGACAAACAGAATCTAACATCGCTTGATTCGAAAGTCTAGGCAGAGCAAGGAATTTGTTATTTGAAATCACATTGTGCATTGTATCGCTAGATATATCCTTCATGCTAACAGATGCCATAGGTTTCTCAGAATTTTCATTAAATAATAATAGAGTATCTAAATCCATTGAAATTTTATATTTCGTTGCAATAGATTCTGTTTCTGCTTTATCCATCTGTGAAATGAAAGTAATTAAAAAATTAAATAATTTCAACAGTTTGTACGTTAAAAATAAGAAAAACATTTTTACCTGAACAAAACCAAATGCAACACGATCTCTATAATAAAATGCGATAAATAGATATCGTAATCTTACGGATTCTTTCTTATCAAATATTAAAGCTCGAATTCGATTATCTATCCATCCTGAGAGAAAATTGTCTACATTATTTTTATTTATGCTAGGTATTAATTTATATGGAAATTTGTTTCGTAAAAAATCTGAAAAACAAAGGGATTATTTAAATTTGTTGTTCTATCATGCGATGATGTTAATGAGTTAACGTAACGTACCAACAATTTTTTGAATGCTAAAGAGTGATTCCTTGTAAACACTACTACGACCATCTATCGTAACAACAAGACATGGTAATGAATGAATACCAAGCCTCCTTGCCAAAGCAGATTCTTTTTCGGCATGGGCTGTTGCTAAACCAAGACCCAACGGTTCTAATTCATCGATTAATCGCCGCCATGTCGGTTCTACTTGCAAACAAGCAAAACACCAATCCGAATAAAATAATATCATATATGGTGTGCGATAAGTTTTTGGTATAATTACATTTTCAAACGATCTGCAAGAACCATACATATGCAAATTACAATAATGTATACAAATATACATATACATCTACAAAATAATACATACCGATATGTAATGCTCATCTTATAGAAAAGTGAAATGTCTCGATTTTGGTAATGAAATTTGAAGTTTCCAGCAAACAGTTCTTCCAAAGGATCAAGGACATTGTTGAAGTGACTGTTATCTCTACGTTGCCTAGAGATACTTTCTTCTGTGATACCATGGTTATCAAATTTCTTTCTTCTTTCTGGATCAGTTAAAATCTACATATATAAATTTTCAATTAAAAAAACAATCATTGACATTTGATGCTTTTTATCAAGATAACAATTTTACCTCGTAAGCTTTTGTAATTTCTACAAATTTATTTTCTGCACCAGGGTGGTCAGTTTTATCTGGATGCCTAAAGAAACGATACGTCATTTTATTAATAAGTAACAGCATAATATTTAACCGAATCCTTACCATTCTTTGACTAGATTTTTGTATGCCTTCCTAATTTCTTGTAAGGTGGCACGTTTGTGAACACCTAATATTTTATAAGGGTTTCCCAGTGACTCACTTCCACTAGCTGGCGATAGAAGCTTAGTTGTTATTATGAAAAGCACAATAAAAAATGAGAACCTCATTAATAATTTTATATTGTTCACTTTCCTATTAATGTTATTTGATCGTTTGCTTACTGACTCAGAGGTACTTAAAAAATTAATCGATAACATTGTGGTGACACTTCTTAAATTCGTCACCAGAGGGATCGGCTCAGATCTGCTGAAATTATCAGTTCTCAAACGTCTTCGTTAAATTATCTATTTTAATATATATTTCCTCTGAGACCATCTGTACGCCGCTTTTTCTATATAATATGTATTTAACAAGTAACATTACTGATGAGTCCAGGAATGAAAGAACGTTTATGCGAAAAAATTTGAATTAATATTTATATTATTCATATTTCTTAACTATATACTAAATTTTATAATATCAATTAAAAATTATATTATCCTTTTTCTCAAATCACTTTTAATATTATTATCGTCAAAATTAAGATTTTGAGGATTTCTGCTTTCCCTGTAACGCCATTTTCCCTAGGCAAGTTTACTTTCATTTACTTTGCATCGGTAATGATATTATCTTCTTTTTTTTTTAAGTTTAGATTGTAAATTAAAGTGTTGTACGACCTCAGATACATAGGAAAAGTGTCCTCAGAATTGATTTAAAGCTTTAATTAAGAAAAAAAAAAATATCTCCTATGAATTAGATATAATGCCTGTTGGCTCGAGTGTCATATTCAGTGGTGGGGACACCTTCCCCTCCGCTGGCTTAGACCACCATTTTCCCTAGAGGCACGCCGAGCATGATCGAGGATGCACTGACCATCGTAGGCACTTGTGGCGCCACGAAAGATTTGAGAAATTTGTAAAAATAAATTCATAAAAATCAACAAATTTATAAGATAAAATAGTATAAATGTATCGTTTCAAATAAACACAGTTTATACATGAAATTACAACATAATATTCATATTCTGTTGTAATATCATGTAGTAGGACGTTATATACTCCTGCATATGTTCTCGAAATGGAAACCATATACTACTTAATTGTATTACACCTGTATTAACGACGAAAATATCATTAACTAAAGAAATAGCGAAGTTCTTTTAAGGCCATATTAAAAAATAATCGCAGTTTTGATAGAATTTTGTAACACGGTCATGGACTAATGTATGACATAACAGCCAATATTATAGATCCACTTTAATATATATAGAAAAATGGCTACTTGGGCTGAGGATGAAATTGGACGAAAATGGGATCGCTGTTTTACTGATGCTCTTTTTAAATTTGGTAAATATCCTATAAATATTTCTAATCATTAGTAGATTTTGAAAAGTATCGAGTTTCTTTCATATTGAAATAATAATATCATTTTTACAGGAGGAGGAGTTCTTCTTGGAGGAGTATTTTCATTATTTTTTTTCAAACGTAAGCTTTAATTAATTTAACACTTCTGGAAAATGATAACTTTCATATGAATTTCTAGTGTTAAGAAGGATTTTTATTTTATACAGTCATGAAGTTAATTTATATACTTTGAAATTAATATCCAAATGGATATACAGTTACAAGTTAAAGAAAACTAAATTTTTGACTTAAAACAGCAAGTAAAATTATACTTTCAATATTGTTAAATGCTGTTTTACAATTTTACATTCATAGATTTTTTTTAACCTCAAATTTTACTGTTGAAAACTATTTTAACATATACACATGTGAAATGATAGGTTAAATATAATCACTTATTTTCAAATCAGGAATAGTGTCATAATCAATGCATACATATCATTTTCTATAGACATATATATAGATATCAATGTAATATTTTTCAGGAAGAAAATGGCCAGTTATAACTGGAGCTGGTTTTGGATTAGGTATGGCATATTCTAATTGTCAGCAAGATTTGAACTCCACATTGAATGTTAACCCAAAATCAAAGGAGTGTAAGAAACCAGGTGAAGATAAAAAAAATTCTTAGCGAAGTTTCTATTGATGAAAAATTATGTTGTTATAAAATAACATACAATATACCAATAAACTAGTTGAACTTGTATTATAGTCTCATATGAAATAAACTTTTTCTTAATTAATTTGTTACAATTAATATAAAAAGAGAAAATGCTGTGAAAATATATATATATATATATATTTATTACTTATGTTATTATTCATAAGATTTGAAAGCAATCAAATAAATGTAAATTACATTTATTTTACATTTATTTTATTTCCCTGAATATTTTAATTTGTATAAATAATTGCAGTGTGTTCAAATAAAAACGAATAAGTAATCGCAGGTATAATACCATATTTCCTACTTATAAAATGAATAAATATGTTAAATTGTAAAAAAAGAAAGACAAAGTATATTCAGAAATTAATGTTGAAAGTGGATCTACGCGAAACAAACTCGATTAACGCGAGGAAATAAAATACATCTTATTTCAGCAGTAAATAAATATTGAAAACATGAAAAAGGATATTTTTTAAATACTATAATGTCTATTAACTATAATATATGTTAATAAAATATATACATATAGAGATTAAAGTCATCGATCTTTAATAATAATTTAAATTTAACCTTGAAATATGTTTGGTCGAATTTGATCGAAATATAATTTACGTTTTTAATAATTATTATCTTTATAAATACCGTAGTTTTTATAAAATATTTTTATAAATTGATAATAACTACGGATCGAATTATATTATTTCAAACTATGATTCGATATATCTCGATACACGAAACGAGAACTCTCGATGTGCCACAACTGACTTGGATCTAAACGGATCTAAGCAACATGGATATGTGTTGATGCTTAACAGGCTTAGCAGTAATATTTGATTGTAAAAAAATTTAAAAAAGGTCGCGCAATTTAGTGAAATCTAAAGCAGAAAGAAAAGTTACTCTGTTTCGACGAAAAAATAAGAAAAATGTTAACTGCTGCGAATTCGTTGTCAAATAACGGGGGATCATACAGCAATGACAGACCGTCAAATGCAACTGATACAGAACTTGCTACTGATCCTGCTTCTGGTGGATTTTTTCACTCCGATTACAAAAAGTAAATATATTATCTGTGAAAAGTATATTTATATAATTTTAAGTGTTTTTTTGAATTTGTTTTTTTTGTGTTTTAATATAATTCAAATGAGTTGGGCGCTTTTAAATGAAAAAATAACATATTTTGTGTATTATCATGTTTCAAACGTTTTGTGATGCTTTAATTGTGTTTTATAAGTTGAAGATTCAATATGTTATTTGCATGTTGAAACATCATGAATCGAAGATTTCATTTAATATGAAATGTATTAATATTTAATGCACAGTTGTTTACCGCAAAGATACTTTCTCTTTTAGGCATGAAGATTTAAAACAAATGCTAGATAGTAATAAGGATGGGCTTAAATTGGAAGCAATGAAACGAATAATCGGGGTGATATACGTTATATTTATTATATAATTTTATAATTTAATTTCTTATCGAAAATTATTGTCAAACACGCTTTAGTTTGTTATATCATCTTCAAAAGATTTATTAATTTTTGTGTATTGCGCTTAAGCATTTAAAATGATTTTTTAAATATTTTTTTCAGATGATAGCAAAGGGAAGGGATGCATCAGAATTATTTCCAGCTGTAGTAAAAAACGTTGTATCAAAGAATATTGAAGTAAAGAAGTTAGTTTACGTTTATTTGGTCCGTTACGCAGAGGATCAACAAGATCTTGCGCTATTATCTATCTCTACATTCCAACGAGCATTGAAAGATCCTAATCAGTTAATAAGAGCTAGCGCTTTAAGAGTGCTTTCGAGTATAAGAGTTTCTATGATAGTGCCTATAGTAATGCTTGCTATTAAAGATTCAGCCAGTGATATGTCACCATACGTTAGGAAAACTGCTGCGCACGCTATTCCTAAACTTTACTCGTTAGATTCTGAACAAAAAGATGAGCTAATAAGCGTTTTAGAAAAATTATTATCCGATAAAACAACTCTTGTTGTGGGTTCAGCGGTAATGGCCTTTGAAGAAGTTTGTCCTGAAAGAATAGATTTGATACATAAAAATTACAGAAAACTTTGCAACTTGTTAGTAGATGTTGATGAATGGGGCCAAGTTGTTATAGTCAACATGCTTACGAGATACGCAAAAACGCAGTTCGTTAATCCTAATGTAGATGTATGTATAATTTGTTAGAATTACAAATATCTTGATATACATAAGATTCATATTTTTTTAAAATAATTTTTATAGAACCTAGATGATGATGAGAATCGCCTATTTTATGATTCTGATTCTGATTCGTCTAATTCAAAGAAACCAAAATTAACGTTAGATCCTGATCACCGATTATTGTTACGAAACACAAAACCCCTTTTACAAAGTAGAAATGCTTCTGTAGTAATGGCGGTGGCTCAGTTGTATCATCATACAGCACCGCAAAGCGAAGTAATAATTGCTGCCAAAGCATTGATAAGATTGTTGAGAGGACATCGAGAAGTTCAAAGCATAGTTCTTCATTGCATTGCTAGTATATCAATTACCAGAAAGGTAATGTAAGTACTGATATACTAATAACTTGATTTCTTATAAATTTACAGAGTACGTTAGGTTTATATGATAACTAGCAAAGTAAGGCATTTAAAAATAAAAACTAACCGGTGCATAATTTTTTGATTATTTTTATATAGGGAATGTTTGAACCTTTTCTTAAGTCGTTCTTTGTGAGAACTTCGGATCCTACGCATATAAAGCTTTTAAAATTAGATATTTTGACCAATTTAGCTACTGAAACTAGTATCGGAGTTATATTAAGAGAATTTCAAACATACATTTCTAGTAGCGATAAAGAATTTGTTGGAGCAAGTATACAAGCGATTGGGAGATGTGCAAGTAATATAAAAGAGGTCACTGATACGTGTTTAAATGGATTAGTTTCTTTATTAAGTAATCGTGATGGTAAGTGTTTATCAGGTATACGATTATGCTAGAATATAATAATTGCCATTTTATGTGATTTTTTGTAATTTTTTGTTTAGAGGCTGTTGTAGCAGAAAGCGTGGTTGTTATAAAAAAGCTCTTACAAACTCAACCGAATGAACACAAAAATATAATAGCTCATATGGCAAAATTAATGGATTTCATAACGATACCACAAGCCAGGGCATCAATTTTATGGTTGTTAGGAGAGTATTCAGATAGGGTGCCTAAAATAGCTCCGGACGTACTTAGAAAAATGGCGAAAAATTTTGTAAATGAGCAAGATATAGTGAAGCTACAGATTTTAAATTTAGCTGTAAAGCTCTGTTTCAATAATCCAGTTCAATCGAAACCGTTCTGTCAATACGTCTTCCAACTTGCTAAGTACGATCAGAATTACGATATCAGAGATCGTACACGTTTCTTGAAACGTTTTATTTTTGAAGAGGATGAAAATAAGAAGAAACTTCCGCAGCTAGCTAAAAGAATATTTCTAGCTCCAAAGCCTGCACCCACGTTGACATCTAGATTTAAAAATTCCGAGTATCAGTTGGGTACATTGTCGCATTATTTGGATATGCCATGCGCTGGTTATCGTCCTTTGCCACCTTTCCCTGACGAAGCACCTGATCCATCGGTAAGAGACGTTGCGAATCGTACTACAAGAGACGCTAGGGACGAGTATTATAAGAAAGATAAGAAAGATAAAAAAGGAAGAGGAAAAGATAAACCGTTTTACAGCGATGATGAAAGTATTCAAGCAGAGGGTAAGTTTTAAAATCGTTTAAATTATAATCCAATATTTTTTTCATGGAAATGGTATTCATATTTAGAATTGGATAAAGAAAATGAACCTTCGGATACTTCGACAAGTGATTCGACGGACGAAGACAGCGATTCATCCGAATATACATCGGAATCTGGCAAATCAGAAAACAATAGCGAGAAAAAGAAATCTGTGAAAACATCAGATGATTCTGATAGCGAATCAGAAAGCGATGAATCAGATTCCGAAGAGACTTCGGAAGATTCTCAAGAAAGCGAAGAGCGAAATCGTACAGTTTCAAATCAGCAAACGAAAGAGAAACCAAAAAGTAACATTGATCTCCTTCTAGATTTAGACGATGGTAAGATATATAAAAGGAACAAACGGAAACACGATTTAATATTATAATGAAAATGATATCTACATTTTATTTTAATTACAGTGATTCCAATGACACCTGTCATGCCACTGAGTACAGGAGGTTTTCTTACTCCCGTTAATCCAAATGTTACAAACGACGTGAGAGAAGTATCAACTTCGTTTATTCCAATAAAAAAGTCTGAATTATTAAATAGTATTATGGGTCATGGTTTAAAAATTGAATATAGGTTTACTAGATCCCAGCATTTAGTAAGCGCTTATTTAGTTACTATCGAATTAACATTTTCAAATGAAGGGAATGAGCCGATTAAAGAAATACAAGCAGGGACAAAGGTATGTAATTTGATTTTATACACTTATTGGAAAATGTAACAATTATACTTTACTTTTTATTTTAGAATTTACCAAAAGGTATGGTTATTCATGATTTCACACGAATACCACTTTTGGAAGTAAATTCGAATTTATCTTCCACATTGGGAATCAATTTTAATGACTCTACGCAGCCGGCAAACTTTAATGTAGACTTTTTAATCGGTGAAGAAACATATTCGTGCTCGGTTACTATTAAAGCACCTATCGGAGAAATAATTAGAGCCGTATTGTTGCCAGAGAGTATGTTTACTGCTGAGAAAAACAAGTTAAAGGGTATGAACGAACATGTCGCAAAAGTGGAACATCCGGGCAATGCGAAAGCTCTTCCTCAGAAAGTTTTTGAAATTGCAAATGTTGCAATGGTGTCTAGCAATGGCGAGGAAATTCGGTTAGTGAAGCAAAAAATGTATTTATAGTTTTCTGTTACGTTTCATAATATAAAATTTTCTTTGTATCCTTGCAGATTTGCTGCCCATACTTTAGCATCAAAATCCTTGGTATTAGTGACAATAAAAATGATAAGTAACAATTTGTTGGAGATTTGTGTAAATTGTGAAAAAATGGTAATAGGCTCTATCTTACTGAATGAATTAAAAAGTAATTTAAAAATGAGTTAAGTGTTTCACATTTACAGTTATGAATTATGAAACACAAGTTACATATATTTACAAATCTTGTATAAAGTAAATATACAATTTTTAATTAATGTTAATAAATGTATACAGAAATTTGAAAAATCTAACAAATATATACAACTAAAAACAAAACCTGAAACATGTTTTTTACAATAACGCGAAACCATTGTTTGCTAGTCTTGAAAATTATCAAGTATGTATTATATTTGTATATTCAGAATACATTATTTATGGACAATATTTAGAATTTGTTCCTATAAGTTATTTTGAAATTGGTCCGTCTTTGTTTATTTCGATAATTCTCGAATATAATCGGTGTGTGTGTATCGATATATGTATAATCGACTCCAGAGCATGGCCAATGGAAGGAAACACACTATAGTGTATAGGCTCTTTTAGCCGCACGATTTAAGGTAAGATGGAATATGATCAATGGGTCTCGTATTATCAAAGCAATCTCTTCTTATGATAATGAAATAATTGCAGATTTTGCAAAATTTTATATATTTCATACATCTGTTTCCAAAATAACACGATATTTTTTCCTTAATATCATTATTTGTTTAGTTTTAAGAATTTAAATTTTGTAAGGTTAATGTTTGACACTTTATCAATTTTACAAGTAAAGTTAATGTACATTACCCTATTTCAAGTCATAACATTGTATAAACTATTTTGAATTAATTGCTTCACCATTTTTCGCTTATAATCTATATTTAAAGTTAAAGGAAACGTGACATAACCTTCACAAAACATAATGTAAGTTATGTTAAATAAGAAATTAAGTTGATGTATTATTATACCGTTTTAGATGATTGGACACATGGACACATAGAGAGTTATAATTCCTTTAACACCTATGTATGTTTATATTTCAGATGACTGATCCAAAGGAACCAAACGCAAAATCTTTGGAGAAGAAAAACTCTTCTTCAGAGAGAAAGGCTGGGAAGAAAGGTCGAATTAGGCCAAGAAATTATGATTTAGGAAATGGTGTTTATAGATTTAGCCGTACTCGTATGTTCCATAAAAAGGCCATTTATAAATTTCTTGGCAAGAAAACTCCAAAAACCGTATGTTATATAATGTTACATATTTTTCTTAATTATTATTTATGCTGGTATGTAATTTATATGTTTAACATAACAGGTTAAGCCTAAAAAGCCAGTAACCATTGAAAAGAAAATCAGTGGTGATAAAAATGGAGAGAAACGTATTGTATTATTGAAGAAAAGACGTGCAAATTATCCTACAGCAGATCCAGTAACTGTACATCATGCTAAGAAATGTTTCAGTGATCATCGACGTTATTTAAGGTCTTCTTTGAAGCCAGGAACAATTTGTATCCTTCTTGCTGGGGCTCATAAAGGAAAAAGGGTTGTTTTCCTAAAACAGCTTAAGAGTGGTTTACTCTTAGTTACAGGTAAATTTAATATAGATTTACGATAAATGATTAAATAGAAATTAAATTTAATGAAATATTTTCCTTTTTCTTTTAATTAGGTCCTTTTTTGATCAACGCTTGCCCACTTCGAAGGGTTAGCCAGAACTATGTAATCGCTACATCTACGCGTATTAATATTTCCGGTTTGAAAATTCCAAATCATATTAATGACGATTATTTCAAAAGAAAACGGGAGAAACGTGCGAAGAAGGAGGAAGGTGACATTTTCACCAAGAAGAAGGATGAATACAAACCAAGCGACCAGAGAAAGGTTGATCAAAAAGTGGTGGACAAATTTATTATTTCTGCTATCAAGAGAAATAAAGAGAAGAAAATGTTATTTACTTATTTGTCAGCAATGTTTGGCTTGAGGAGCAGCCAATACCCTCACAGATTAAAGTTCTAATCTTTTATGATTTGAATATAAATACACAATAAATACAAAAACAGTAAATAAAATTTCTTTTTAATTCCTTAATTATAAAAAACTTATTGTATGTTTGGAATAATACATTTTATACATCTTTGATGATACAATTGCTTTTATACGTATATAATATTTGTATTTTGTATGAAAAATGTAAATTAATATATATATAATACGTGAAACTAACAATAAGATTAAAGTTGATATTATAGTTGTAATACTTACATAGATATGATTAATTTGTATGACTACAGTTGAATCAGTTGAATTTATTCTCTATGTATACGCATGCGCGTTACGATCTAGAACGTCAAATGAGGAGATTGAATAACGTTACTCAGTGTCGTTACTATAATATGTAAAATATCCATCATCCACAACTATGTATATATCTTCGCATATTGTTTTCAGTCTAATCCAGACAGTGCTCAGCTACTGAATAGTGACATCACTGTGTTGGATTAGACAAGCTACTGCAAATAAGAAGTGTGTTAACACAAATGTGTTGCCTGTTAAATACATATGACATGTGACACGCCATTCGCAAATGTCTTCTCCTATATCAATTAAATCTATTGAGTATTCCGCTAATTATCAACGTTTTGACGATGATGCGAATATATCACTTGAACCAGATATTTCGCACCGCCCATGTCCAAGTGAGTCTCAGTTGAAAATTATGGTTTAAAATCATTTTTCTTTTTTTATAAAATGTATGTTTGTTTTGACAAATGTATAATTAATATCATCCTTCTTAAGTTTTTTATTTTGTAACAAATTAAGTTATTACTGCATGAATTTGTCAATTGTTTAACTTTGTGTAAGCAAACTTTTATACATTGAGAATATTCTTTGTGTTGTTTTTGTTTTAGAATATGGATCTATATTATCATCTTCTTCTGCAGAAAATCACATGAATTCTTCTGTGGAGAATTCAAGAACACCAGAACAATTTATTCAGAAATTTGATACAGCCGAGGTAGACAGAGAAAATATGTCTGAAAATGCAGTTCTTCCGGCGCATGATTCACTTTCAGATCATGATTTACATTGGGAAATGAATTATCATGAAGCTGCAATATTTTTAGAGGTATTTATGTGTCTATAGTACTTTAGCAGTAGCACTTATCATGTTATATATATATATGTATACATGTATGTATATTGATAATTGTTTTAAGATGTGAAATGTTATCTGAAGAAATTATTTTCATAGGAAGGTAGGAATAATGAAAAGTTTGACTCTCATCCAAAGCACCCAGAAGATTTACCAGCGTATCTTTTAGTTCATAATAATTGGTATTATGGGTTAGATTTATTGACCTCTCTTGTACTTCTGGCTTTAGCTTTTGTGGAAGAACCAGCTGTACCTTTGTTTGGTGTAAGTCATTTATAAAAGAATCACTTCTTTTTGAAACATTGGTTTTTAATTTGTGTCTCATTTTAGATGCCAGTTTGGGCACACGGATCAATAGAACTTTTTGCTTTGATAATAATAGGTATAGAATTAGCTTTAAAATTAAGATGGATTGGCTGGCTAACTATGTTAAAACATAAACGAACAATGTTAAAGGTAACAGCAGTTTTATTCGGTTTGTATTTTGTTATTGTCATTGTACGGAATAAGTTATTAATGCAGCTGAGGATAACATATAATATAATGGTTGTCTTTCACAATACTAATGCAAAAAAAAAGATGAGAATATTAATGAGAAGATAAGAAGCCTCAGAACCACAGACCGTTTTAGATTACATTTTTAACAAAAGAGAATGTGATAATTGTATTATTTCTTCTTTGGTGTATTATATATGCTAACATATTTATTAGGGTGTGCTGTATAAAATACATTTATTTAATTTTTTAATTAACATGATATATGTTATATCAGTGGTGTCTGTTATTGACTTATTAACACTTTGTACTCATTAATATTCAGATCTATCACACAATGGCATAACAGTATTAAATGCCGATAATATGCAATGACCAACCAACGTATTCAGAAGAAAATTTCTTTAATTAAAGGAAAACAAACGTTTACATTATTAATTTCTTCTTTTTCTTTTTGCAGTGCATTACATTAGTCATCATGTTTTTGGAAGCTATGACAGTTTTAGTGCGGCAGTCATCGCATTTTCGTGTAACACGCGCCCTGAGGCCTATATTTTTAGTAGATACAAAATGTTTTGGAGGAGTAAGAAGATTTATAAGACAAATACTTTTAACGTTACCACCGATTTTAGATATGTTAGGGCTGCTTTTATTTTTTGTTACGCTTTACACAGTCTTGGGTTATTATATGTTCAGTGAAATGAACAGAAATTTTTCTACTCTGCAAGACAGTTTTGTGAGCCTATTTGTCCTTCTCACTACTGCTAAGTAAGTATCATTTGCAGTAATATGTAAGTAATAACTAAAAAATTTCTGTTGCTATAAAAAGTATAAATGAAAACAAATATTTTCTTACAATTTCAATGTTTAGTTTTCCAGATGTAATGATGCCATCATATTCGAAAAATAAGTGGTATGCAATATATTTTGTATCTTACTTATCCACAATGTTATACGTGATGATGAATTTAATGTTGGCAGTAGTTAACGAAACATTTACAGCAGCTGAGCGTGATAAATTTAAAAAATTGTTTTTGCATAAAAGAAAAGCATGTCAGCATGCATTTAAGTTGTTAGTTTCCAAACAGAATCCAGATAAAATGCGATTTCGTCAATTCGAAGGATTAATGCGATATTATGCTCCAACTAGAAGTATGTTAAATTCGTATAAAGTTATATCAAAGATTTTTCAGACTTTATGAAGTAAACAAATAAACTTTATGTAGGTATTAGAGATGTTGTTCTAATGTTTCGCTACTTAAATACTTCTGGAAGTGGAGTTTTAAGTTCAGAAGAATTTTTGAATATTTATGATACTATAATGCTTCAGTGGGAACCGCAGTACTCTGCTGTGCCTTGGTATCACAGTACGTCACAGCCATTGCAAATTCTCTGTACAGGAGCTCATGCTGCTATTAGATGGACCTATTTCGAAATTTTAATGTGTAAGTTAAACAAACAAGTGAATTTATACAAAATTAATTTTCACTTTACTATATCCTAATTGTTAATTGCTAATTGTTTAGATGCAACAATCGTCGCAAATGGTATTGCTATGATAGTAAGGATATTGGAGCCGAGTGATACTACTGTCCATGGTACACTTTTATTTGCTGCATCTTGGGATACTTTCCTTTTTGGGGGAAGTAAGTAAACAATATTTATAACAATATCGTATAATATTAATATTAAATATAATATAATATTAAACTATGTATAATATTGTTTTTGATTATAGTATTTGTTACCGAAGCATTGATAAAAGTATTAGGACTTGGCACAAGGCGATATCTTAGTTCTGGATGGAATCTTTTTGATTTAGGCACATCTGTAATGACGCTTGTCGCAGCTTGTATTTTATGTCTATTTCCTACGGCAACATTTTTCGTCTTATTCAGACCACTTAGAATTTTAAGATTATTTAAAATGAAAAAGAGATACCGAGATGTGTTTGGTACTCTAGTTATTTTAACTCCTTTAATGTCTTCTACCGCAGTAGTCATGCTTGTTTTATATTATTTCTTTGCGATTATCGGAATGGAATTATTTGCGGGATATAATATGCGAAATTGTTGCAAGTAAGTGTAAATTGAACAACTTTTATTTTTATGAATTTCATTTTTTAAGATATATATATTACATAATTGAACTGTTTGGCAGAAACACAACAGTTGAAGATTTTTATAAATATTCTGTCAATGAAAGTACCACACTAGGATATTATTATCTTAATACTTTTGACAATCTTATAGCCAGTTGTATGACTCTTTTTGAGTTGACAGTTGTTAATAATTGGTTTATTTTAATGAATGCATACGCATTCACTGTTGGAATGTATACAAGAATCTATTTTATGGTATTTTATCTGGTGACAATGATTGTGTTAACAATTGTGGTATCTAGCTTTTTGGAAGCATTTCGATTTAGGATACATTATAAGAAATCAACATCTAAACGCGATGGTGATTATATTTTAATATTTCATCACGATAATCATAAACATATAAATTTAAAAAATACATTTTTCAATTGAATTAAAACTAGATTTATTCTACTTAATAATTCTTGTAATCTTTTTACATGTGTTTTACAGAAGAAAAAATGCTTCATGAAGAAGTGGAATTAAAATGGGATGAATTACAATGCATGATCGAAGATTTTCAAATTTTAGAAAAATTACGACCTTCACTCATAGTTGGTGTAAGTTTATAGGTAATTGGTATTTTATTTATGTGATTTTATAATTGCATTAATGTTACAGGGAACTACTGCATTTATTGGTTCACGGCCTCGAACGCGAGAAGTATTGCAGAGAAAAATGTATACAAATGAAATAAACGAATGGATTGCAGAAGTAGTACAAACTGAGAGACAATTTTTGTCAAATACTTCTCATAATTCGGAAGAAGATTGCACGGATGATATGATCTCGGAATCAAATCATCTAGGAGTAACAGAAAACTTGTGACACTCATCTAATGTTGTATAGTAATAGTAATAAATTAAACCTATTTAACAAATGTATATCCGTGCAACATGCTGATTTAAAAGGTTGTAACATAAACCTAAGTAGTACAAGTAAAATTTTTACTAAATTTATGAAATAAATGTGAAACCATATATTGAATGGAATATGAAAAATGAAATCTTTTTATTTCAGATTACACGCAGTGATTCGTTGATCAATAATTTTATAAAATTTAACATCCAGAATATGAATGATCATTACCTCAGGTACAAAATTTAATTCTCCTATCTTTTTCTGGAGACGAACGTGAAGTACTAATTATAAAATATGATGTTTAACTACATCACAGTTCAATATAATTTTACAAAATTTAATAACTCGTCATATTTTTCTTTTAAAATTCTACAATATTTATTCATCTTTTTTTTGTTATAAACGTGACATTGTTTTAAATAAGGTTTTTTTTTATATAAATCAGACCCTTTCCACTATTTATTATACCCACTACCCTTTCTATCATGTAATAGTATACAATGCACATTTATAATGGTATTAGAAAATCATTAATTCCTAGTCTTTTTAATTATGCTTTCTGTTTTACAATTTTATTTAACAATTGAAATTAAAACAATGAAGGAACAGAAAGTAGTATATTGAAATAGTTATTGCTATGTGTATGTATGGCGCTAATAAAGAACTAATATTTAATATAAATTCTAAAAATTTTTTTAAGGAACAATACTATTATGCTTGTGAATAATTGTAGACAAAATATAGATTATATTAAAATATATTGCAAACAAAAGAAAATTTATTTGTTAATTTAAATTCATAGTATATTATTTATGAATTTGTACACCAGGAACCCCTAAAGTTGTTAACGTGACAGTAAAACCGTCTGCAATTAATTTTCGTGATATACTAGAAATTGTTTCTGGCTGGGTATCAGGTAACAATAAAATAAATGCATGCCCACCGCCTCCAGCACCTGTAAGTTTTGCTGCTAAAGCATAATTTTGTGCCTCTGCACAAATCCTGTCTAAGGAGGGATGCGAAACTTGACATGTAGCTAACAATCCTTGATTCATGTTAATAAGTGTCTGTAATAATATGATAAACAGTAAGGAAATTTGAATATTAAAATTTGTATACATAATAAATACTTACCATTAATTGTTTATAGTTTTCATACAGAGATTCATTATCAGTGGTTGAAAGATTTTTAAGTTTCTGTATGATTTTTATTGCTTCCATTGAAATATTATCAATAGAATCCATAATGAGATCAATAATAACAGGATATTTGTGTTTCAGCTCTAAGTATCTTTCCATCAACGCTTTTGTGCTTCTATTAACTCTTGTGTCTACTAATAGAATTTTCATGGTTTGTACATTGCTTATTGGTTTCATACAATGACCTTTCTTAAATTCAATCATCGATCCGTACGTACATATGGAATTATCTATTCCAGATGGATTACCATGCATGATCCTCTCACAATTTAAAGCATATTTCGAAATCATTTCTAAATCAGAAACACCGAATTCTTTGCAGATATTTTTTCTCAAATATGACCAATGTAAAAAGCAAGCAGCAAGAGAAACTGCGAATGAAGCAGAACTACCGAGTCCAGAACCAATTGCAAATTCATTGTTTAACTGAATTTGAAAAGGTTTTATATTTATATCTTCTTTCTGCGTAATGTATATGAGAAGATAAAAGAATGCCTCTAAACTTAATTTTTGTTGCAGATTTGTATAACTGATATTACCAACAAATTCCTTTATCTTATTATAAAATACTTCATAATTCCCTATTAATTCTATGCTGTTATTAACAACAAGGAAGTTTTGTATTTGTTGAAGAGGTATACTAATAAATAGATTTACTTTAGGAAAATATATTTTAATAACTTGTTCTGCTTCAGGTAACTCAGTTAAGTCTATTGTTGTATGTAAACCTATACTAGCTGCAATAGCTGTTTTTCCATACACTACAGCATGTTCTCCAAACAAGATCACTTTTCCTGGTGCAGACACTTTGAAGTGAATCATATTAAATTTTTTCAATTCTGTTTATGTGGCTGCTAATAAAAAAAAGCTGATTACAAATTGTTGTAAGTAAAAGAACTATCATTCAGAATTTTTCATTTTTTAATTAATCATAATTCATAATTATAAAGATTGCATATAATACCTTTTATGATAGGACATTAATATTTTGCGTTATAAATTGTTAAATAAATTAGCTCTTTTGTTTTTCCCACTGTTCTGGAGTTAATGTCTTTTGTGAAAATGCATGGATTGTTTTAAGTTCTTCTTCTAAAACTGCATTTACTAGCCTAAGGCATGAAAAGATAATATTTTATTTAAAAACATGTATCTTGTTCGAATCTTTCAAAAACTTAAAAATTATTATACCTATGACGTTGCAGTAAAGGTTTTCCATCAAACACATCAGAGACAATTACTACAGAAAATTTAGCACCACAACCATCAGACTGATCTATCACTTCCTGTAACATTTGAAATAATATAAAGGTAATTTATTGTATATTCTCACATATTAAAAGTTACAGCACAGATTATATTACTCAGAATTAATAAAATTTCAGAATCTTATCATAAACCTTATATTATTGCTATAAAATAGAATTTATGTTTTTATCAATACAGTAACGTATCAGTTTATTTCAAGAACAAATTTTTGTTTCAATTATAAAAGCTCAAACGTTTCAATTTTTGTTTAGTCCATGGACTTCCCTTATTCACAGAATGAAATGTTTTGATACAACTGCCATAAAAGGTTAAATATGCATGCATAATGTTGTTGTTATGCTAATTTAGTTAAGTAATATTTAATAGTAGAGCAAAGTTCAAACATCTGTAGAGGATTATATAATTCAAAAAGAAAAAAAAAGAATATATTTATCCAATACTTAATTACAGTATAATCAAATAACATTAAATCAAGTACAGTATAATTTATGATATAAATTAGAAATGAATAAAACATACATAATAACAGATTTATATGAAACAAATAAGGTATTTTATTATGGTAGTAATAGTTATATGCTATATCCATTTAGCATTTTGTGCAATATGATACCACTGTACTAAATTAATTCACTTTATTTATGATGTTTCTTGATATATCAAATTGTTTGTAGTTGAAATATAAATAAAATATAATAAAATGTGCACAGGAATATATGGAAACTAATAATGAGAATAAATCTGGGTATCTATTTGGTGGTTTTAAAAAACCGCTAACAACAGATAATATTATTATTCCTAAAATTGAGATGTGAAATAAAGTTATTCTCCAAGAATATAGATCATATCTTGATAAGCCACTTTTGCAATAATGAAATGTATCTCTTATTACTTTCACAAAACTTAATCCACTTTTGTTCCTTTTAAGTTTTGTTTTAATTTGCTCTTGATTAGTCATAATATGTACATTTCTATTCAATGATTCACTACTGTTAAACAAATCAGGATATCCCCAAGAAACGAAGAGAAAATAAAAAATTAATGTAACGCAGTACGCTAAATACAAATCATCTTTTATAAACAATGGTAACATGCTAAAATGTGAAATTATTAAAAACCAGAAACAAGGAAATGGATTATGCTGAAAATATAATAAAATTGGAATGGCAACAAGTAAAATTGTCTTCTCATGAACTTGAAATGAAAAAAGGAAAAATGCCAATGCACAATTAATAAGAGAAATAATAAATTTTTCTTTTTTCGGGTTCAGATATAGATCTATAGAACTTGGTAAAACCGCAAATGCGGTTATTGTTAAACAAAGTTTGGCTAGTTGTTCATTTGTAAAAGTATTACGTAATTTATAAAGAACATTTACAGCACACCAAATGTTAGCAACTTTATCTTCAAATATACCTCTGGAAACTGGGAATAAGCGAAGAATTACGCTTGCAAATGTTTCCAGATTTTTAAGAAATGGTAACCATATAATGAAAAACGTTGCGATTACTGTGAAAGATATCCATAATAGCATTTTTAAATTAGATATTCCAATTTTTTGTTTCAAAGGTAAATGTTTCCCAAGTATATAGAAAAATATCGGTAATGCATGATAAAGTTCCATCTGTTTATAATTTAGTGCTGCTACAAACAAAATTGATCCAATAATAAATAAATTTTGAAGTATAAATGCAACTGCACCGATAAATAAGCCCAGTGATACACAATTATATTGAAAATGTCCATTATCTATTAATATCAAACTTGGATAAATTAATACTATTAGAAGGATAATCTGTCGTTTTGTGAAACCAAATATATTTGATTCCCTTTTCCCAATATTTTTCAATGTTTTATTGGTTACTATATAATATATCATTGATGGGACATAAGTAAACATGTCCATAAAAAATACGCTAAGTCTCATGAAATATTTGTGATCTTCAGATTCAAAACCTCTTGATTCATGTAATTTTACATAGGAAGAATTAATCTTATTAGCTATGTAGCCTAAGGCAAAACTATGGTAAGCTGTTAAAGGAGGATAATCTAACCCCCAGTATAATAAATCATTGTCAGTTGTATTGGTGTACCATTTTACAGTTGGAAGATTTAACGTTATTTCTTGCCAGTGTCGCTGTGCTTCATAGTCTCCAAATATTTGAGGTTTCCCTTGACCACTGTACGGGTGGTACGTAATGCACCACCTTAACAAAAGGGCTAAAAGGGAAATTAATACAATTTGCATGCTCTCCTGCATTTCTGGTCATATATGACGACAATCTTCAATAACTTATATCCTTGATTGCAACGAATAAAAGCTATTTTAAAAACAACGTCTAGTTACCTATAGGTTTATGATGGAAAATTTTAGGTTAGAATAAAGACTGATGAAAAAATAAAGAATACAATAAAACATGGATAAAATACGTACCACGTGAGAAGCATTTAATTCCTTAATTAATTTATCTTTAATATAACTTTCAGTATATGGCATATTTAATTATTGATTCTTTAAATCTTGACTTTCGGTTCTGTTGCTTCTTTCAATATGCAGAAATATTATACATACTATACAGTACTGCCTATTATTGCTTATAAAATCAGTATGTAAGTAACGATATATTAGGAAAAATTTCAAGGTACAAGAAGATAAAGTATCCTATTTTTTTTCTTATATGATTTTTATAATTTAAATAGTTTTTATTATTTCGCTTTACGTCAGAGATAAAAGTGACTTTTGAATTCGATTACAATTTGATGGAGTATTATTAATCGATTACCAAATTTCGATCAATCGAATTATCTCAATATTTTAAAGTTATTGCAAACAATTATGTGTGCTGTATTGCTGCGCTTTTGCTAATTTGTTATTATTAAATAAAATTAAGTAAATTTTTCGCTGTAAATATTACCTGACCAACGTAAGCCACTAAGGAACATAGGCACTTTTTCTGATACAAAAGTCAGTTCAAAGTAGGTATACGTAATTATTTACATAATTTTTAATATTTATTATAAAAAAGGATCAAGTATCGATAGAGACTATAATAATATGCCAGGGATAAATTTATTCATTTAAATACATTTTACATTCTGAGGATAAAATGGATGCGAATCGTTTATTACATTATATTTTTTATCTTCTAAATTAATTTTAACTAATTTAGAACAGAAGCTAAGTTTAAAAAAATGTTCATATAAAAGATAAATTTTATAAATGCTCATTATAAAATATATATATTTTTAATAAATGTGTATATATTTAATCATTTTATGTAATAATATTATACATAATTAATTTAAGATTTTTATTACATTTAAACAATGATATATTCTGCAAGTTATGGTAACAAGTAATTTATTTTAATTGTAATATAAATATCAGTTTTTAAATGTGAAGAAATATGTAACAGGAATTATATTTACTTTCAAAGTAAATATAATAATAAGAGCCTTGCACTTATACAAGCATAAGACACATAAATCTTTTAAAACTAAGACAGCTTTGTCTTAGAGCTTAAACCATCAGATTGATAAGCTTCAATTTCTCTTTTTTTGAACTCCTCTTTGCTTTATTTAAGGATGAGGAAAGCTGTGTCATCTCCAGAAACAGAGGAACAAGAGATCATTGTAATGAAAATGACATGTCAAAATTAGATTTAGTTCAATTGAAATTACTGGCTGAAGTCATGAGGTATTGCCTAAATAATGGAGAAACTAATAGGAGAAGATACTGTAAGAAATAATGTGTAACTACTCTTCTTGCAAATTATTTTGTATGCATGGCACAATAGTATTGTCTAATACCTAATTCCAGGTACAGCAATGATTATTATTATAAAAGCAAATTTTCATATTATATGTACCAGACGGTATTAGATACATCAGAATTATATTTTGCTAAATGTTATATTGCATATGTATATCCAGTAATTTGGTTTTAAAGAATTTGACATTATCTTCATACGTCAATGATTACTTCAAAAATTTTTTCATTTGTTTTGTCTGATGTTGCATACTGTATTGAGCATTTTCAGCTTTAGTAACAAGGGAATCTAACTTGGCCAAATGGGATCCCATTTTTTCATTGATATCAATCTTTTTTGATATTACTGGTTCAGTTTCTGCTTTGTCCATACATTTCTCATCATTTGCTAGTTCTATTGTTAAATTTTCTTCATTCATTGATGTTTTAGCAAGAAGATCTTTTGGATCATTGTCATTTTTCTTGCTGTGTTTATGATCTGGTGTACCGTTTCGAGACCCCACTTTTACTTTCAACAGAGTACTTAAACTGCCACAAACATTCTGTAAAATACTTTTGTTCTACAAATTGATGCTTTGAACTTAAATTATATAATTTTTGTGATGTATATGTTTATGGCTACTAACACTGCTTTTAGAAAAAAAATAAAATAAATGGCAAATCATGAAGCAATGATACTTAAAAGAACCATAAACAATTGTTTAACCTTGAATCTATTAATTTTTTTCTGTGTTGCATTGAGAATAGTGTTTAATTCTTCTAATCCACCTCCTATTCGTTGAGCGGCTTCATCAGAGGAATCTAAGTTCTGTAAAGTATAGTATAAATTTCTTTTTAGATATCTGAAGTTATTATTCATTAAAATATTAAACATACTTTTCTTCTGATCACTACAGTAGTAATAGTACTTACAATTTGCAAGAGAATATAAAAAACTATTTTTTGCTACATTTATGCTTGTCTACTGGCATAATAATAATATAATTACTTGAATCACTGCATCGTCGTCATTATCATTGACATGATCGTTCGCTTCTCTCCACTCCTCCTCGCTTGGAATTGGTAATCCTAACAATTCTGCCCTTTCGCAAGCGTGAATGTAGGCCTGAGACATTTTATAGATTAAACTAATTACTTTCTGATAAACGTTCTTTAGCAAGGTGTAACAATAAAGTCTAAATATATTCTATTTTTATTTTTTTGATCTTTTCAAGGATATACTACTAATCAAACAGTAAGTCTATTAAATATTAGTGGAAGATTAAGGGTGTTCCTGGAATCCATGTTCGAACAAATGGTGCGCAAGCTCCGATAGAAAATGAAACTAAGTTTTGGCTATTATTGATACTATAACTGAGAAAAAATTCTAATTCTTGTGAAGTAAACTTTTTAAGAATAAAAGTTCGTTTTGCAATACTAAAACATGCAAAAATGTTAATAGAATACCATGCATGTTTTTATGTTTATTTTAACGTGAAATACATAAAGATTCAATGTAAATAAAGTATAAAATGTTATTTCATATTCTATTATAAAACATTTATTGGCCTAATAATATTTTAAATAATATTTTTAAAAGCACTTATTTTTTAAATTTAGCGGGAACTCTGTAGGTAATCTGGGTTGATCGTAGTTCAACATCTTGTTACCTGATGGCGTTAGTAGTACTATTTTTTGAAAGTGCACGTTAAAGAATTTAAAAACATGAAAACACGGTTTACACGTTGTTTGGAGTTCATCAAATCAATTAAATTTCAGTAATGTATAAAGTCCTTTTTTATCGCTATATGAATTAAATGATAGAAAGTGAGTAACTCTGAAGTGACGAACCATTTGCCGCAGTGTAATTATACATATACAGTCTGAAGAATTCGAAATTAATAATTACATATCTTAGGAGTGATGATAAACGTGCAAAAAACTTTCGAACGTGTTAAAAAGCATTTATGTTCATAACTTGATTACTAACATTTACCATCAATTTCATGTTTTCTTTAATTATATTTCTTAAGAGTGATAAGAAGGTTGTGTAAAAAGGAAGAAAATACATACCTATTAAATGAAATATAACCATTATTACGATCATTTGTTATTACTTTTTAATAGCATTTTTGATATATAATAAATAGTTTATAATTCTTTGGATTGTGCGCAATAATACAGTAGAAATGGAAAGACTAACGAATTGCCACATTGATTGCATTCCTAAATGTACATACTTCATTACTTTCCCAACATTCTTACAATCAACTAAAACCGCGAAGGAATTTTCCCTTTTATTAAATTTATTCGAACTCATATTTTAATCGAAATTCTTTTTTGCAAGTAAACAGTAAAAGATACACAGATATATTATATGTCTACTTTTTTCGTACTATAGATTTGTAGCATTGATTGTTAATAGATACAGCTTCGCAGAATTTTAAATTACACAATCTGAACCAGTTTTTTCAAACCAGTGTAGTTATCGAAAGGTGTAACTGTCAACAGTTTTAGTCACGTAGAATCAACAGATTTTTATCTGCTCACCGAAGGAACATTGGCACCTGATTAACCGAAAAGGTATAAAAAAAAAAACTTCTGAATTGTTTGAATAATATAAAAGAGTTTATTGCTCTAGAAACGTATAATCAGAGTTTCCGAACATGTCGTGTCGTACTTTGAGCGGGGCGAAAGAAAGACAGGATTTCGTCCAGTTGACTAGAGGAAAAGGGGCCAATCAGAGCGCAGCGACTGGCGTCGAATCGGGAGAGTTCGGGATGGGACGAGGTAAGCACGATTTGCTTGCTTCGTGAATCTTGCAATCCGCTTCAATTCAGTCAGTTGAGAAAGATCGCTTTTGGTGGAATGTTGTGTTTCGACGCTGCAGTTTATATCTATCGTATATAGGCAGCATTAAGTAACTGTTTACCACAAAAATCGGAACTTTCCATTTCTCAATACACGTAGAATGGTATACAATTCGGTCATACATTCCGCACGGTGATATATCGGTGGTGCGTAGAAATTATTTTCACCTACATGTACGTGACGGTGCCATTTCATAATTTAACACTTTCTTGTTCTTCGGGTCAGTGAAATTATTCGAAAAAGAGGATATATCTCAGTTACAAATCATCCAAAACATCCGTAATATAGATGAAGTGAATGTTCTTCAGGGGCAAGAAGTTTTGTTTGGTGAGTCTTCCAGTTACTTTTTGTCCTTAGCAGTCGAAAGAATTTTCTGCTTTTTTTTAGTACATACGCGAAGTTTTATATCTCTTATTTCACGAAATATTGACTGAGAAAAGATCTTAGAATGAATGAAGATACAGATTTATTGTATACGTAACTAAAGCCAGGCATGAGTGAAATGTCATCGGAATGTTGTAGTCATAACATTTGAGCACAGTGTGCAACGACAGTAGCGCGTAGGGCACAGTTCGTCTGGTCATTGAATCTGACTGGCGGTCCTCGAACTGCAGAAATTACTTTATCGCAGTTTATGGCGGGGTCGTAAATGGTCCGCATGAAAGTCCTGCGCTGAGGTGCCAGCTAGGCTCCTCCTGCGCGGATTACACAGTACAACCTTTAACCCGTTCGATCAGCAGCGGGAGCTTTCTTTTAGTTTCGATTAGGTAGAAAAAAGGTTAGGTTAGGTTAGGTTAGTCAGCGAAGTACTAATAAAAAAAGGCCTGAATGGCTTTAGTCAGTGAAAAATAACTATGTACTTCATATCTGGAAAAAAAGTATATTCCTGGCAGCCTGGAAGGCCTTAGTCATTCAAAAATATTAATATTAAATTATTTTTCGGCTCTGCAGAACTCTGTATACTATTCTATACCAGGTATGTATACAGTACAGTACCTTCGTGGTACTTCGTAGTACCACCATGAAGTAATTTGTACAATTCATGTACCATTTGACTCGTTAGGCACGAATAAAAGCAGAATACTTCTTTTTAGTTAACTTAGCTCGAAAAATGGTAGAAATAATATGCGCTTGTACAATGACTGAAAGACAAGCGAGAAAAGATTAAATAGTATTTAAGGGGTTAGGTCACTCTAGAGCAAGAAAAAATAGGCATATTTTGAAAATTTTCTTTTTAATGATGGAATTAATCCAAATTCTGCAAGCATGCCTTTATTAATAAACTAATAAACATTCGGCGAGATCGGTTCACCGACGCTGCGGCGTGAATGTGTTAGTGAATTTGTAGCCAACTTCACTGCGACAAGTTCAATCCAACTCATTGTCAGTGTACAATACTTTATTATTTATATGTTTGACAAGCTACGAGAAGCATACATTAGGTTCTAATTTTGGATACACTGTGTGTAACCAAGAAAAAAAAAGGATTGTTTTCTCTTCTCTTAGTTTGTAACCACGTGCTTCCAGCACGAGGAAAGTAATTATCAACGTTCCCTGGCAAATTTAACAAGTAACCTCGTGACTGTCGATTCACATCCTCCCGTGACTTTGTTTGACATACGTATTTAAAATTACAAATTGGTTAAAAATGCGTGTCGCGTTTGTTTTTCGCGCATTAAAAGAACAAACTTCTGGGATAATATCGATTTTGAAGCGTAAAGTTCATTTTGTTTCTCCTTTCTTGGATAACTTTGTAAAGAATTGAAATATTATGTATCTTACGCTTATTGAATATGAAAATTCGATTTTAAAATGACTGATACTCATAATTATTAGTGGAAACGATTAAACTTTGACGAAATCAATTTTTGCAACCTTTCGACCATTTATTTTGGGCTTATCTAAATTATAAACTAAAGATATGTACAGAAACGTCATACTGGGCGTGAACCAATAATAAAAAGGAAGCCTGAAAAATACGAAAATAAATGGACGAAACGAATGTTATCTTTTGAAAAAATTTCACACGAATATTCATTTTATAGTGGAAAGCGAATTTCCTTTAATAAACTGGTAATTAATCGGGTGGGTGAAGATGAAATTCTCAGACATTCATCGAGCATAATAAATGTTATTCGAACCAGTGATATTGAAAAGTAAGTTGGAAAACTACCGTCCCCAATGTTTCGTCGCGTGATAATGTGGAAAATTTTATACCGTTTTTTCGCGGGCATATGCACTTGATATTTATACTTGATAAAAATCTAACCCGGTCACAAGTGTATCTCATTTCCCTGAATTTCAAATTGAAACCATTCGAAATGTATGTAACAGTGGGTCACAAAATAATTCGCTCATCGTTTAAAACAGAATACCTTATTTAAAATTGGACCAAATGACTTGAGGGCTTTTTGAGAAGCTATAAAAATTCATTTATTAAGATATGAGGTTCTGTCGTTTTAAAAAATTATAATTTGTCGAAATCGGGGAAAAAATAGTAAAAGGCAATTTCTTAACTGTTTTATTTGAGTCTATAATGAAAATTTAAAATATGTCTTTCGTAGATTCAAATAAGTTATGTGTATGGTGAAAATTTCATCGAGATCGGTCAACGCATTTAAAAGTTATAAGTAATTAAAATTAAATAATTAAAATTTCCAAAAATCGCAGGTTTTCATCTAAGAACATAACTAGCCACGTTCTTAGGTGAAAAATCGTGATTTTCGGAAATTTTAATTTCTTATTATTAAAATCAGATAATTAAAATTAAATAATTAAAATCTCCAAAAGTCACGGGTTTTTCATCTAAGAACATAACTAGTCACGTTCTTAGATGAAAAGTCGCGATTTTCGAAAATTTTAATTACTTGTAACTTCTAAATTTATTATAGGCTCTTATAAAAAGGTTGAATAATAACCATTCGCTATTTTTTCACGATTTCAACAAATTGTAATTTTTTAACGCGATAAAAAGAAATATTTTAGTGAATTAATTTTTATAGTTTCTCAAAAAATTTCAAGTTATTCAGTCCAATTTTAACCGAGGTATTCTATTTTAAACAGCGTCCACTTACTTTTGCCTCTAACTGTATATTCTTTAATCCTCATTACTTTTCTGCTTTGTTCATATGCACGAACGTTATACACTTAGATACTTTTTCAAATTTCTATTCTATTATCTTAGTTCAAACGTTATCAATAATGATATATCGCTTTTTTGCAGAAAAATAAAATTTCTAAAAAAAAAGTTGCGCATGGAAGAATGACATACTTCTCTGAAAGTAGGTCGAAGTTGTTTCTAAAATTATTACTAGTTTAGTACCTAAATTCATAATTTGTCGAGTCAGCGACATGAAATTTTCACCCTATATTAAATTCGTTCCTCACCAGACAGACATAATAAGGTTAAAAGCCGTGGCAATCAGTCTGTGTAGAGTTATCGTTTAATATTAAAGTCTCTGTCTGTCATAAAAAAAGATCTTATATTTCAAGTTTTTTGTACTTAATCATCGAGTTCAGCAACGTAAGGAAAAACAAGATGATGTAATTTTAATTGACAAGTTACTCCATGCTTAAGATTTATTAGGTGTACAAATTAATTCGGTGCCTTTTCTTTATTTTAATTAAAGATTTATTTTTAAAAAGCAACAGTAATTCCGGTTACTGAAATAATCGTTATTATTATTATGTTGTCTTGTCATTTTTCAAATATTCAAAACCGCGGGAAAATATTCAAATCAAATACATTAATTAAGAAGGTATAATAGTAAAGGCACCGAATTAATTTGTACACTGTGAGTTGCATTGAACTTGTCGCAGTGAAGTTGGCTACAAATTCACTACACATTCACGCTGCGTCGGTGAGACGTTGGGCGAAATCGACTCACCGACGCGGCGTGAATCTGTTAGTGAATTTGTAGCCAACTTCACTGCGACAAGTTCAATGCAACTCAGGGTGTACACCTAACAAAATTCTTGGAAAAACTTGCGCCAAATTTTGTTGCTAATTTTATGTAATTCACAGTACTGTAATATTTTACATAATATCTCGAATTCCAAATGTCTGAGTAAGTAATCATTTTATTCTGTTTACTTATCTACTAATCCCGGCTTCGATAATGAACATAATTTCTGTTGCAGATACAAAAAATTTTGGTTTTTTCCCCAAAAAAATATAGGAAATATTTTTGAAATTTAATATTATCTCATCGGAAGGTTTATTGTTTTTTCAATTGTACGATTTTATTTCGCAGCAAAAAAAGAACGAATAATCTGATTCTTTGTTTATCGAAGCGTATTGTTATTTAGGTCGATGGAGTGTCGAGTTTCCGTTCGCTGCGATTGATATCGCATTAAAATTAGCAACTCTGTTCGAATGATTAATAATTCATGTCTCTCTGTATCTTTCGACAGAAAGAAAGGAACTTTGAAACCGCACGTGTATAGCGATGAGTTGGCAAGCTTAGTATTATACATAGTTCATTACACTAAATACTTTTAATTAACTGAACATGTATTTCCAAATTTCACATAGTTTTTATCGTTTTCAACCATTTCTTCTAACTAGAATGAACAATTTGTTTAGGTTTCTTTTTTTTTTTATTGCTTTTTCAGAAAATAGGTAAAATTGATGTTTCTCAAGATATACGATGTTAATAAAATTTTCTCATTTATTCGTTGCGTTTTCACGGAAATAATTCCACTGAATTTTATTCTTATTTAGTTCTCGCTATTCCAGAAACACTTTCAAACTTAAACAATTATAAGAATGACGTAAGGTGTGTTATTGTAAACTGTACAATTGTTAGCTCAACCTATTCTTAACGTGAAAATCATCCAGCGGTGAAATTTGCGTCATTAATCGTTGAGTACGAACCAGGAACCCGCATAGAACACCGCATGCTATTCGCTCGCGGTATTTTTTCCCTTTTTTTTTTCTTTTTCTTTTATTCATTCGATTTACGGTATTGTACAAAGTTAATTAATATTGATTACTGGAACTAAAAAAGGAAATTGTTTTCGATCGAAGAAATCTGTTATCTTGAGAGTGTAAAAGGAGGCCAGTTGAAGATATTTTCGTAAGCGTTTAATTAAATATTCAGGAAAGAATCGTATGTTTCAAATTTAACTCGTTCTTTGCTCTTTGCCGATCGATCTCCTACGAAACAATTTTTTTCCTCTCTTTTTCCTTGTCTGAAAAAATTTCCGGATTAATAATAATGTTTAGTCATCATGAGACTGTATCTCCATCGATAGACTAATCCTTATATTCATTGAGTTCATAATTAATTACAGATGGACTGTTTCTAAGAGAAAAAAGAAGAGAACGATTACATACTTTGTAATTTTAATCAGTTTAATTATTAAGGTATTTCAAAATAGACAGTTTTTTAAAATGACGGTAATGTTATTCCTTTAGTTTTTGCTATCGTTTTGATCGACAAGTTGATGTATGTTCAGTTGGGACTGTATCAGTGTTAATTATCTTTCATTTAGTTGCTGCGGCACTACACCTTACCATGCGAAGGACATTACGATTCTCAATGAATGACTATACCGTTATTTTTATACTATAGCGTTATGCCATGTTGAATCGTTTCTATTAATATATTCTTTTTAATTTGATTGACTCTTTTAATCATCTTTCGTATACAGTTAGAAGCGATACTACATATACTGTTCTCTAAGGTTAAACATTTCAAACGAGCATATAGTCATGTTGGAAAGCTTTGCAAATAGCGTTGGTTTATTACCGTTTGGATGTATTTAGTCTAATGTGTATTTAAAGAAGAATACGAGAGAAGCCGAGTCATTAAGAAAATATACATATCTCCTGTTGTTTGCATTGAATCGATAAGAGATTGTGGCAAAAATGAAGATCCTCTAAAGTATTCGGATAATATTTGCATAAGAAAGTAGTTCACATATAGAAAGCGAAACAACAGAGAGTGATATTCATTTATGAATGAAACGAGTGAATACTAACTCTTACGTTTGTTTTAATTTGTTTTTTCTTTCCCCAATATCAGCAATAATAATGGGAATAAATTATCCGTGGTACTTGCCCATACCATAAATATTTTCGGCTTCAATTAACGAACGATTCCATCGAATATTACGGAAAGAATGTCTGCTGACGTCGATCGGCTGAAATTTGCAAAATCCTCGAGGATTTTTCCATTATAAAGAAGCAACAACCGGTGATAAGCGAAACATAATATCCAACTGTTCGTGACAATGAAATTTCAGTTCAGATTAAAGGGGAAAAAAAAGAAATCTTCAGGAAGAAGGAGAAAACTTTCCAACTGGCATAAGAAGGAAATAAAATCATTCGATAGTTTCTTCTTTCCTTCGATTCCTTGAAACAATATATTGTGTATATCTTATCACAGCGATAAAGATGAAGGCTAAAATGATTTCTGTTTTCAATTAACACTGTAAATATGCGAGAAGGGAATAAAGTAATATTCTCCCGTGTCGTCATTTAAGGAACTAGTTCAACTTCTAGTAAAAAGATTTTCCTTTCCTTAACGATGGGGTTATACTAGGGATCTACGGACACTCGATATTATAGGCTCGGGCAGGCTCGGAAAAAATCGGGCGGGCTCGGATAAATTCGGGCGGGTGTCCGATAGGTGCGTGCAGTCAGGTAGCCCGACTATTTCGGGTCAGGTCGGATAGAGTCGGGAAGGTTCGGACGATTTCCCGCGGACCGCGGGCCGCGGCCTAATTCTTATGTACAATATCAATCATAGTGTCCGTTTGTCTAATATATTTTGTAGTTTCAAATAAATTATTGAATATTCTAAAGCTTTTATCAGATGATTATGTTCATTATTTTAACGCTTTTGTTAAATAATTAGATTTATGATATTTGCTGCGGTTGAATTTAGACTCCAAAGTCATTGCTTTTTCACTAGACGAACGGACACTATGACTGATATTGTACTGTGTTAATACTTGCAATAAGCATGTGCAAAATCTGTTTTATGTGGAATTTTGGAATAAGATAAATTTTATGTGGAAAAATAATACTCATAACGAATTTATTTGAAATGAATTTCATTCCATGCCACTTGTATCTTCATTTTATACAAAATAAATTTTGAACATGCTGATTGTAAGCATTAACAAGTACATGAGAGTTGGGTCGCGGCCTGCGGCCCGCGAGATCTGGTCCGAATCTGCCCGACTTTAACCGACCTGACCCGAAATAGTCGGGCCACCCGATTGCACGCATATATCGGACACCCGTCCGAGCCCGCCCGATTTTTTCCGAGTCTGCCCGAGCCCGTAATATCGGCTACCCTCACATCCCTAATTTATACATAATGTATAGCCATTTTCATTGAACTTGAAGCTTCAAGTTGGTATACCATAAGTACCATTTTGCGAAACTTTTATGCCATGAAATGATAGAAGACGCACATGTTACAACACATGGTCTGACCAACGTTGAAAGCAATAAAACGCAATTTACGACGGAATCGGATCTGCTTGAAATCCCGTTGTTCTAATTTACCTACGATTTTACGTACAACGTTCCAACCACTCTCTCTGACTCCGCTTAAGTTTTCAGTTATATTTAGCAGTATAGCATATATATACTGTAAAGTTTTAGGAAAACGGCATCGAGCAGGATTTACCGACAATAATTCTCTTTTAGACAAAATATACATTTGTAACGTTCACACGTAACGCGAATCGGTCGGAGGTGCACAAATTTCTTTCCAAGTAAAACTAATCCTATTTTTGTTTATCTGACAGACAGTTACGTAGATTTCACGGTCGATTAAAAAGGGTAATAAATGACGAGCGTTACAATAGTAATGGATCGCGTACCGATGGTAATTACTAGACTGAAAATATACGTTTGAAAAAGCTTTAGCTGACGTCAGATGATAGTGACGCTTGTATATTTATTTTCACTGGCAAACTTGAAACGCCTCAACATTTTTCTTTTCGTTTGTTGCGTTTCAGGTAAGTTGTTTATCCGATGTAAATGCATTTCTCGAGAGGAAGAGAATAATAAAACTATCTCCGTGTCTGCGTCATTCCGTTACGTTTCGAATACACGATTTACAATTCATAGAAGCAGTCTTTTATATCTTTGTAACAATGGGAAACATCCGGATCATGATTTTCACGATTCCTTTTAAATTATGTTGCAAATATGTATATTTTTTTTTTTTTTTTGGTATTAATTAGAGAAGCTGCTGAGTTTATCATTTAACGAAAAATCCATCAATGAGTCATTTTAGAATCGAGTCACCCCACTGTCCCACGCAATCTACTAATGGATCGTGATAAAAGTTCACGACCTTACGATAACTCATGTGGGAACCAGCAGCATGAGCACATACATTGATTTTTAACCCCTCGGCATATTGATCGTAACGAGCATTC